TTGACAAGAGATTCCTCTTCAACGGCAGTCAATTTATGGCCACTGGCACGTGTTTCTGAACGTGGTTGGATTCCATCAAGCCGATTAATAAAAGTAGACTTTGGCACCCCAAAAACTGCTGCTGCCTTTGATTTTGATTGAATTTTTTTGCTTCTATACGCGCTGATGGCCATTTGAATTCGATTTTCTTGAGAAAGAGGCATTTTAGATGATGGTGGTGACAAAATGACGCGTTGAAGTATGATTGTTGGAAAATTGCGGAGGAAGTGGACGGGACGGCCGTGTGGACGGCTCGGCCGTGGATTACGTTAAGTAGTTATACGGGCCTGAAAGGTAGCTTATCAAAGTCCCCACTCGAATTCCCACTCAGTCTACCAGCGCGCCTGCATACTCCGTCTTCCTCGTACTCCACCAAGCAGCCTTTCCCCCCAATGCAGGCCACTGCACAAGGAACCGGTCGACAAAAGGCAACAAGAGCTTGCCAGAGAGACTCAACGTGGTAACCCGGGCCCACGATTCCACAAAGATAGTGCGCAGCCGGATATCCTGAACAGTCGGCTTGTCTCCTTGTTTCTTTTCTTTCATCGCATAGCGACTGAACAAACGTAGAAACTTGGCAGCCAGTATCACACAAACAGCCGTCGCGGGTCCGTTTGTCAAGATCAAATCCGGATATGAAGAGTAGCACAAAGGAAGCGGCTTCTGATCCGGATACCGACCGCACAACACGCGGACACAGGCCCAGAAGCACTGAAGGGTAGAAAGCGGCGCGGTCAAGAAAAACTGATGGACGCGACGTGCCCGCGGGACGGTGACGATGGTGTAGGAGGTATCCTGTGACGGGACATCCTGGGGTGTCGCACTTTGTAACGGGGGAGGACCACCCATCAACGGAGGAGGGCTGCCCATTAGTGGAGGAGGACCATTCATCAACGGAGGAGGGCCATCCATGAACGGGGGAGGGCCACCCAGTAGCGGGGGAGGTGCACCCGGAACACCCTGGAGAGAAAACGGGACATCTTCTTCGCCTTGGAGACTCTTTTCGAATTCGATTGCCTTTGCGGCGCTGAAGTCATCCCCCGAGCTCACGACGTAGGTTCGGTAGCTATACCTGGATGTATTAAGTTGCATCCGTCGTAGCATAGAAAACATCTCAGCAGTATGTCCGCCGCTGCCCAGGACGACTAGGAGGTGGATGGGACTGTGTTTTGGTCGACATTTCGGTAATTTGGTGTTCTGAGAGATTGAAAGACCATGGAAAAGGAACTGGTTGACAGATATTGGTCAGCTATTGTCTCGAGAAACAGGGTATAAGTGACTTGGCTACCAGGACGATAGTGAGAACGGCCACTATTGCCAGGACGACCACCGCACAGAGCAAGTTGGTCGGGGAGATTGGCCATGAGGCCATGGTGGTTTGGTATGCCATTTTTGAGGCAGTCTAGGAGCCGACAATAGAGCCCTTGAGACCGGAAATGAAGTGAGTTAGGGATCTACTCCGTACTGCGCCATTGAAGATCAATGTCTCGCATCGTCTAGTAGCAGAGTGGATTCGAAAGCCAATTGTGCTCCTCTAGCAGACAGAGCTTCAGAAATGTATAGAGTTCTCTCCCATATGCTTCATCTCATGAATTGTGACCAAAGCAAGGACAAAACCAGCAGCGTTGGCTCTGGTTGACGGCAAAGCACGTGGTCCGTGCATTTCGGCGATTATTTTCTGTTGTTGTCTTAACTCCCTCCCCAGTAAATAATAATGATACCCTAGACAACCACCACTGCGCTTCTACTCTGCAGCCCCTATTCATCCATTTTTCTTTCTCTCCCATCTTCAAGATCAATGTGACGATTCTTGGCATGAGATGGCTCCTCTTTTCTCCAAGCGACTAAGTTGCTTCTATTGCGGCAAGCGCTCTGCGCAGTCCGACGGAGGCTCCGTCCGCAAATGGCGCTGCAACCACTGCGAAGCCATCAACTATCTGGATGAGGTATGTATCTTCTTCGATCTACAAGCTGGACAGCGCGCTGATTGCATTGCTGGTGTAGAAAGGTGAAATTACGGATCCCCCCGCCGCGGAAACAAACCCGACTGTGTACGGCCCAGGAGCATCGAATCAGACCTTCGAGACGACCGACTTTAAAGCATCCGGATTGTTCTGCGCACAATGTATTCGCAACCAGCACCTATTCACGAGCGCGCTCGCCTCTTACTTTCCATCCACCGATGATCCGAACTATACTGCCTACGAAAGGGAATACCCACAGTTTCGCCGGAGTATGGAGGAGCGATACCCCCAGGTTTGCGCGAAGTGCGAGCCGCTTGTGAGAGATCGCATCCGACAGACAGGTTACGAGGCGAAATCGGATCATTTGAGGCGCATGATGGATAGAAGCAAGGCCGGAAGGGTAGCAAGGCAGGCGCGCAACCGGAACTGGAGGAGTGTACTCGTTTTTGTGGGAGCTATTGGTTACTGGGGCAGCGTCGCTGGACAACTTGGTTGGGATATATTGGAGTCTTGGAAGGCTGGTGGTACACTGTCTCAGGATACAGACGAACCTTTGTCACCGTCTCTGGCGTCATGCGTTCAGCAAACGATGCAGGAGTGGCGTCTTCCAAGCCAATGTTCAGTCGATTTGTCACCATATGCCGGCCTGGCTCTTATCGCGGGCATCCTTTCCATCTGGTGGAATCCAAAATTGCGACTAAAGGTTGAAGGAAGAGGCGGTCGGTTCGTTGGATTAGGGGAATATTACCAGGTCCAGCTCATTGTCATGGTGGCGCGATGCGCCTTCTGGGCTGTCCTCAAGGATCCTACGTCCAGTGGTCTTGATCCGACTCTGCCACCGGCCTTGCATTTGTTCATGATTTTCTTCACGGTCTTGGTAAGTGATTATCTATTTGTCCGTAATGCCACATGCTAACAGGACTCGCGCAGTCCGTTGCGATTTCTCGACGCGTCGTTCAATATGACACTCGTCCCTTAGTGACGTGGAACGAAATCACAGCTACAGCGACGCCCGATCGAAAACCAGAATCAACCCCTGTACAGTCGACTGGCAACATATCGGCACCGAACCTCTCCAATACGAATCTCGGACAGACTCCCCAGCGTTTCCCACTTGAAAAGCTAGCCATTCCTCGACTCTCTCCGGAGAAGGAATCCGCCATCCCCACTCCTCCCCCAGAGGTGGATGATATGGATTGGACTCCCTCTGGCCCAACTGTCCAGCACGAAATCCGACCAACAATCAGTGTACATGAAAGGGATAAGAAATCCGTTCTCGATGGACCGTTGCCGTTCTATGGATCACTACCTGCTGCTCCGAAGCCTCCGGCATGGAATCTTCGCAGCCAACCTGTAAAGCCCAAGCCTATCGAACAAGTCGTTGAGCGCAACCCATTCCACCGCACCCCGACACAACCTCCTCGCCCGTGGGAACGTAACCCAGGTCGCCCTGATCCTGTTTTTGCGCCTCCGAAATTCTTTCCAACGAGTGACCATTCCTCATCAACAGGACTTGAAAGTCTTTTTAATCAAGCTTTCACCATCAAAACACCGGAAGATGAGGGTAAAGAAGACTGGCAGCAACATCAACAGCAGCACCAGCAGCAACGACAACAGGCGCCACAAAACAACGGTCGACAGCCCGTCGATGTGCAAGGTTTTCTTGTTTTCCAATACCTTCGGTTAGGATTGCTCTTAGCGTCTCTCCTTGCCTGGACCCTTTCGCAGAACGGTGTTCTCTCGGTGCCCGGAAACTACGTCGAAGTCGCCTCCTTGGGAAGTGCAAGCCTCCTCGCTGGATTTGCTTTATTGGACGTGCTCAAGCAGCCCATCGTGTATTGGAATGGCATGGAAATTCTTGTCTATTTCGCAGAACTGGCGGCAGCTGTCCATCTAGGAGGGAACCTCCCACGCGTTTCGTATGAGAGGGAATATTTCGATCGATATGGAAGACTCCTCTTGGTTTTCATGGCTGCACAGGAAGCACTCGGTTTGCTATCGCTTTATCGCGCGATTTTCGCGCATGCAGCTCATGCCCGGGAACAATCAACCAACCAGCAGATGAATCCATCTAACCAAGACGCCTTCAATAGCCCGTCTATAGGGTATGAGAACTCGCTTGCTGGTTCCATATCGCAGCCACAGAATTCTCTTTCGTCCGTGCCTCCTCTTTCCTTTTCATCAACCGCCGCCGGTTCCAGTTTCTCAACTCAATCACCCGAACAACACTACCAACTACCACCACAATCCACCTTTGGTGGCCAGCAGGGATTCTTCAACAACAATAACAATCATAGCTTCACCCTGGGCAGCCTAAAGGACAACGAATCAGAAGTTGATCCGTTCGAGCACGACTCAGACACCGAAACCACCATGACAGCTACTACGAATGCTACGAATGCTACCATCCGCAACATCCGATACGGAGGAAGCGCGAGTAGCAATGACTTTTACTCTCCGAGACGTGCTGATGTCGGTTCCGGACTTGGTGGCCTCAGTCTTGACGATAATAAGCCTGTGCGGCGAATGACTCGGAGCCAGACTAAGCAGCGGATGGGAGGACTCGGAGGGGATCCTTATTCTCGAAGGTATTCTACGAGACGCTGAGATGATGCTTTCATCTTTTCGATTTTATTTCAACATCGTTTATGTTCGTTTGTCAAACTTTCCCCTTTTTTCCTGGCTGAAAGTTTCGGGTGCTATTTTTTCGGTCCAGTCTTTTCTGGTTTCATTCTGGTAAAAAATTGTCTATGCTTTTTCTTGGAAAGTTGCTAGCTAAACTTGCATATTTACGGATGGGAAATCTTACTCTCTTTGGCTTATTGTTTCATTGCTTGTTTATCAGGGTACTTGTTATCTTGGGGTTTACTTTATATGTACATAGCGGGTTTAGAATATACGATTTTTATGGCTGAATGAGAAACGATATGCATACTATACTGGGCTTTTGAATTGGCATGTTTGGTACCTGTTTACGCGCTGATTCAGTCCAGAAGTTTCAATAAAAAAGTAGCCTCTGGATCGTTGCTTTCTAGGCCAAGGACGGCCGGGACCACCGTAATCATTCCCAAACACTCGCTCGAGCGCTCGAGCGCTCGTGCGTGTTGAGTAGTTTCAGAGGTTTCTGAATCCTTCCAGTAGACGGACACTACGGAGACCGTGTCATATTTCGTCGTGGAGCGTTGCCCGGGCAGCCGAATAGCTGCCCGACGAAGCTCCTGCGCGAGTTGTGTTAGGTTGCTCGGTGGCAGGGAAATAGAAGAATCATGCAAGTCCATCTTGGTGGTTAGTGTATTTCGCAGTCATCTCAACGGGAGTTGGCAGAGCTAGTCAGCAAGCAGGCGACTACCAGAATTGAGGCAGCAATCTAGGTGCCTGCGTAACGGGCCCAGATGCCCAAGTCTACTTCGTCGACGTAAATACAGAGTTGAATGTGCTAAAAGTTAAGATATGATATCACAATCGTACGGATTTAAAGGCCATAGTCAACTCAACAACAGCCCCAATTCCTCCCAAGAAACATCGTAAGCTCTCGTACGACATTAGCATCCATAGCCGGATTCACCCGGCTTAGAGTACCATGCAAATCTCCCAACTGGAGTTCGTGTAGTTTACGACCATTCAGTACTTCATGCACTTGGCGTGCTTGCTCAGATGCGACGGTCTCATCTGACGAGACTGAAATGTGGCTTTCGATTATCGCACCATGTTTGCAGCGGAGGAATGCACGAGTCTATAGACGTCAGCTCGATTACTATTATTGGTATGATGGTTTTACTCACTGAAGGAGGAAGAGAAGGAGGTAGCAGTGGTCTTTCGCGGGGATCCTCTTCGATGGGAAATGTTGAGAAGGTGAACTGCGGTGTTTGGATGTACTTCCAATCCAGTGACTATAGGCAGTGTTAATGCTATTCAAGGTATGATAAGGTGCTTGTTCACTCACCCGTAGCTCATCAACCCCCTTCTTGATACCAGGTTCCTCTGCTTGAGCCTCTCCTACAGCTCCTGCAACCCAGTCATCACCCGCGTATAGTTCCAAGTCATTCGCATGAGCCCGTGTAGCCCGATGAACAGCCTCAGGTCTGACATCATACAATTGCGCAAACTCCTCCATGATGTTCTCAATCGTATCCTGTATCGAAAATGGCATAAGAGCATCGGCAAACATCGTCGAGACATTCGCAACCGGTGACCGGACACTCTCAACACCCTTAGCTTTGATATAGTCCCGCGCAGGTGACCGCAAAAACGAGCCAAGATCCGCAATATTTGGAGAATCTAACAGGCAGGTTCCGTGGTGCAGGGCTCGGTTCTTTGTCAGTTTGAACGCTGAACCAGAGATCTTCCTTGGTGTATCTGGATTGAAACCAGTGGGAGTCCCGCCAAACAACTGCCGCAGCTCCTGCGACAGCGACATGACTATATCATGGCGATCGTTGACATTGGTATTTGTTGCCCCGATGCGATGCAGCGCGTGCACCACCATCTCCGCATGCTTGTTCCGTGTAAATGTCGTCCGCGGAGAGATGACACTGTAGTTCAGGTTCCCTTCATCATGATACACTGCACCTCCGCCAGACCTCCGTCGGACATATAGCACATCTTCACCATCCTGGTTAATCCCTTCTGGATCTTTCACCCGGTCATTCTGAATTGCGCGCAGGTTGGTTTCGAGCCATGGGTTCTGGTTGCGTCCGATGACAACACATGGGCGGTTTATGTAGAGGAAAAGGATACTTGAGTCTGCGGGAGCATTTTCAAGGAGGAAGTGTTCAATGGAGAGGTTCACGTAGGGATCTGAGGAGAGCGATTGGTAGATTTGGTGTTTCGAGGCGTCGCGACTGGCGAGTTGGGCGAATTGGTGGGATGGAAAGGAGGAATTGCGCCGGATGAAGGTGGTTGACAAGCTACCGCACCGGAGACTCGAGGACAGCAGACATGGCCCTCGTCGTAGGAGAAGCATTGGGAGAAGTCAATCAAAGCAATGTCTTCGGCAACAAATGATGTTACCGGATTTGGCATCATCGAAAGATCTCCGATCTTCGGGGCGCTAAACCAAGATAGGCAATGCCTGGGGGGTGAGTCGAAAAATTGCCAGTCAGTCCATTTCACCATCTTCTCTTTTTCTTTGCCTGTCACTTTCAATTGCACAACCGCTGCGAGTTTGTTCTTCAGCTGGTCACGGGACTTTGCATTTCATTGTCACATTTCTCTCTGGCTTCTTTGTTCTGAGAAGTCTCCTGCGACAACTTCTTGAAATACCCCGCCAACCGTAACTAAGACTACCGTTACAGTCACCATGTCGACGTGGGGAGAATACTTCCGGGTTACGACGTACGTTCTCTACTCTCTACTACATACCTGAAGGATAACAGGATACTGACTGCTCAGCTATGGCGAATCCCACTGCCGCTCCGTCGGCTGCATCGTCGACGGCTGCCCCCCAGGCATGCAACTCACAGAAGACGACATCCAGCCCCAAATGACCCGCCGACGCCCCGGCCAGAGCGCGCTGACGACCCCGCGAAACGAAAAGGACCGCGTCGAGATCCAGTCGGGAACCGAGTTCGGAGTCACCCTGGGAACACCGATTGGCATGATGGTCCGCAACGAGGACCAGAGACCCAAGGACTACGGCGGCAGCACGATGGACCTGTACCCTCGTCCCAGCCATGCGGATCTGACTTACCTCGAGAAGTACGGTGTCAAGGCTAGCAGCGGTGGTGGTCGTAGCAGCGCCCGTGAGACAATTGGTCGTGTTGCCGCTGGTGCTATCGCGGAGAAGTACCTGCATCTTTCGCACGGCGTTGAGATTGTTTCTTTCGTCTCCTCTGTCGGCAACGAGCACCTCTTCCCCCCGACCCCCGAGCACCCCACCGCTTCCACGAACCCCGAATACCTCAACCTCTTGGAAACTATCGACCGCCAGACCGTGGACTCCTTCGCGCCCACCCGCTGCCCCAGCGAAGAAGCCGCCGCGCGCATGACCAAGGCCATCGAGAAATACCGCGACAACCACGACAGCATCGGCGGCACCGTCACCTGCGTCATCCGCAACGTCCCCATCGGCCTTGGCGAGCCCTGCTTCGACAAGCTCGAAGCCAAGCTCGGACACGCCATGCTCTCCATCCCCGCGACCAAGGGCTTTGAAATCGGCTCCGGCTTCGGCGGCTGCGAAGTCCCCGGCTCGATCCACAATGACCCCTTCATCGCGTCGGAGGTCGAGTCGCGCACCGGCACTGCCACAGCCACCAAGCAGCGCCTGACAACCCGCACCAACAACTCCGGCGGTGTCCAAGGTGGTATTTCGAACGGCGCATCGATCTACTTCCGCGTCGCGTTCAAGCCCCCCGCGACTATCGGGCAGGCGCAGGAAACCGCGCAGTACGATCTGACTACTGGCGTTCTGGAGGCCAAGGGTAGACACGACCCGTGCGTTGTGCCGAGAGCTGTTCCCATCGTTGAAGCTATGGCTTCGTTGGTTGTTGTTGATGTCTTGATGGCGCAGTATGCCAGGGAGAATGCACGGGGTATGCTGCCGCCGTTGCCGAAGGATATTCCTACTCGTCCTTCTTAGGTCTGCGTTTGAGGTGATTAGTATGACGATATCACGTCTTTTCAAGTTTGGTTCTTTAGGGTTATTGATAGATGCATTTTGGATTTAAAAATAGTCATGTGAATATGAATGGACGAGCATTGAAAGTTCAGTATCACTACAGTATTCCGGACCAAGTAAAGTAATCAATATCATTATTCATGACTTCATACGTACACGAGTCAAGTCATTTATTCATGCAGCATAAACATAAGAAACAGAAAACCACCCAAAACCGAAAGGGATATCGAACACCAGAAAATGAGAGAACCAAACACACAGTCTTAACCAAGATCCGGGACCAAGAAACCAAAACCAAAAGCCAACCAAAATCCTGCAGGCCAAATAACTGAAGGTTACGTACTCACAGTTCTATAACTGGTACCTGTACCCCCGCTAGTAACCCTAGACGCAGACGCAGTGGTCGTAGATACACTCTCCAGATCACCCGGCATCGCATTGACGACCCGTAATTGCTCCTTAGGAACGGTGAAAGTGACCTGGACGCGACGACCTTCGGCAGCTGCTTCGATATCCCAGTCTTCTTCATCACTTTGAACATTTTCCTTATTGTTAGGATCGAGCATGGCATCTGATTCGCTGACATCATGCGACGTCCGAGGAGTAGGGCTAGCACCCCAATCCTCAGCGCCTTGTTTGCGACGAAAGAGCTCTGCAGATGCACTGACTGCTCGTCTCGGAGTGGCAATTCCCTGGTCTGGCTCCTGAAAAGAGACCCTCTTAGACTCAAGGACGGTCTTTCTGCGATCAAGACCCGAGGTTAACGGGGTAGCAAGGTTTTTGTCATCACTTGATGAATGTTTATCCGACGTGGTCCATTTTCTTGGTCCCGATAGGACGCGTCTCACATTTCCGATCCAGTCGGCAGCTTTTGGTCCTTTTGGTCGGGATAAGGTCGCAGCAACTTTGGTGGGGAGTTCGAGTGGAGAGACTGGCTCTGGTTCTGACTCTGGCTCGAGGGCTGTCACGCCGTCCCCGGGACTCTCCTGCTCGTGGAGTAGGTGCTCCCCTTCCGCCTGTTTTTGCGACTGAGAGGTATACGCTGTTGAATAGGAGTCAGATGAGTATCGCTTGTCCGAAGAAGCGGAAGCGGTTTCCTTGCTGTGGGTGGATGCAACGGCTGATGCGTTCGGGAACTGTCCGTTGTTTGGAATAGACGTGGGATTGTAGAAAACGGTAGCCCGAGATCTCCGAACATTACCCAGTCTCATCGTTCCAGGCGAGCTCGACTGGCTTGAGTGTGGTCGGTCCTTAGTCGAGGAAGCTGGAGTACCGGTACTGCCATCATCATTTCCAAATCTGGTCAAGAACGCATTCTCTTCGAATACCGCACGAGTATTCCCCTGTGACCGCTCGGCGTTGGTGGTCTGCGGTGTCAAAAAGGGTGCTTCTATATGGGGATCTGGTATGTTAATCTCTCCGAGAAGATCCTTTTGTGGGCTAGTTGGATTGGGACCACGCGCAATAAGGTTGTCAGAAGCATCGGCCTCATCCTCTTCCCGCTCGTCAATTGGATGGATATTACCAGTGGGATTTCTCCCTGAGAAGCGGTAGGAGGGTCTGTTCTTCTGTCGGTTGTTCTTCGCCGAGCTCAAGCCATCCAACAACAGCCCCGTCATCTCAGCCCTGGCAGCATCCTCTTCCTCAGGCCGTTTGGATTTCCCATTGCACTTATTGCTAGCCCATGGATAGCTTCGATCGGAATTGAGTGAGGGCCTGTGGATGCTACTAGCCATTTCGGGATCATCCCGGCCCCAGAAATGCGATCGTTGCGCGCCCAGAGCTAGCTTCCGAAGTTCACTGTTCCTCTTTCGACGCCATCGGAATCGTCGAGAGTACTTCCAACCCATCCACCCGATCGCACACAAGACGATGACCCCGACGGGAACTCCCACTCCAATTCCTATCTTGGCCGCCTTGGAAAGAGAGCCGGAATCCTGCGATGCACTGTTGGTAGCCTTCCGGTTGGGGTTTGTATACGAGGTGGCCCAGCTATTGGATGTCACGTTGTAGAAATAGACCTGGGAATTCATAGATCGTTTGGACATTTGCGAGATGCGATAACCACCAGAAATCATCATTACACCTCCCGGAAGCATTGCAGTACCATGCCCGTAGATTCCGGACCCATCACCCAGGAATGAGTCTTCCAAAGAAGGTACTTGCCAAGTCCATGGGCCGTAACCCCCGTATGCCGAGCCAATTTCCAGGATCGCTAATTGAGGACGCGCGGGAACACTCGTATTTCCCACCCAGCCTCCGACGACAATCACTTTGCCACCATCAGGGGAGAGTACAGCCGTGTGGCCAGACCGTGGCTCGATCATACCCTTTGTATCTCGGACGGCGAGCTCTGTTTTCGCACTGGGTGGACTCCAGTCGATGGCGACGAAGCTCCAACTGTCATGTGGCAGAGAGTATACGGCAAGCTCAGACATGTTGAGAAAGGCCTGCTCTGTCTGACCTCCAATGAACAGGAAATCTTGTTGCCGTAGCATCTTGCCATCGGCGGTAACACTATATGCCGGCAACAATGGGGTAATGGACAATCCAGCCTCTGCGATCGGCGGTGCATGCTCACCAGCAGATTCGAAGAGATACGGCGTCTTGCTATCAGTCGTTGGATCCAAAAGCGTCATGTCATGGGAGTAATTTGCTGCGGCAACCCAATTGGTGTTGGTTTCGTTGCTCCACGGACACATGCCACCAAAGGTATAGACAGCACTGTCTGTCGTATCGGTAATCTCATAGGTAAATCCAGCTGCGAGGTAATTGGGTCCGTATGTATGTTTGTCTTTCTTGTCGACGGAGAGTCTTTCCCAAGTCCCATTCCCGATTGCACTATCCGGATCTGGCGTGAACTGCCATACCACGCCTGGATCTGCGACATTCTGGCAATTTCCCGTGTACACCTTGATAATCCCGTGGTCGTCGATCACCGGAACAAATGCAGCGGTATGATCGTCCTCACGAAATGGCGCCTGGCCCAGAAGCGTGGTGTAACTGGGATTACCCGCATCGACTTCCTGGGAGATATTCAACGACAGGAACGCAGTTGTCGCTTGGTCTTGGCTATCGGAATTGCCAGTTAGCAGTATATAAGCTAGCGAGTCATTGTGCGATGGTGAAACGAAGACGTGGGAGGGCGTGTACGGGATCGATGTCGCAGAAACCGGGTGGAGAAGCCGGAGTAGCGCGAATGGGAGGGCTAAGATGGAGGCGATTTTCATTCTTGGGCGATGATTCTGCATCTTGGCGAGGACATGGAGACCGTCGTAGTGTGGATCGCAGACGGAGAGAAATGCATCTAGCGGTTGGAGTGATGCGATGTTGTCGCGATAGAATGGAAGTGGAAGGTGCGCTTGAGGGCCTCGTGGGGGTCCACGGGCAGGTAGCAACAGTCCTAACCAGTATGCTATACAAAATAAGTATGCAACTGTACAGCAGAAATTGAATAAAGTAGTAGAAGAAGAAGAGGTGCAGGGAGGAAGTTCAGAAGAGAACGATGTAAGAGGAAGGCGGCGGCGGCAGTCCGTCAGAGTCGCATCGAGTCTGGTCAATCACCCCCAATAGGCAGTCAATCCAAAACTGGGGAATTGACAGCTAGACTACAAGCTTTCTATCCTTGTACTTGTATTGTAGGAATAGAAAATAAGCCATGTTCAAATTGTATGGTGGTGGTCTAGTTAGCTTCTGTGGTAAACAATGGTTGCGCGGGCAACTTGTGATATTGGCTGTGATAACGCCCTGGGTGATCACAGTGAGTTACAATTATAGCAATACCACTATAAATTCTGTATATTGTACTATAGACTCAAAGAATATAGAATAGACATTATCGAGGAATTTTGACTCGGAAATATGCATGCGCATACTTATCAGATCTTGACAGCAGCATTCATGTGGAGATGGAATGTTTCAGCACAGACATTTTCCGACTCGCATAGAATACGGTCAGAGTAAAACACATTAAATTGATAGAGAATAGGGCTACCGTTTATGTCCTCCTGCAGTGATATGCCAAGTGAGTCAACATTAATGATGCTACTATGGCATATGCACGGATGTCAGCCAGGGTATACAACTGATATCAATGCTTTATACAAGCATTGTCGAATCGTATATGGACAGTGGCATATATAGCTCAACTATGAATCCCATATTTTCAGAAGCAAATCCGGAACTCCGGACAGAAGATGATTGACCAAGCATGTAGACAGCCCAAATAGGCAAACGAGCAATATCAAATGCATTCCGCTGTGTAGTTCTCAGCCGGATATCCTCTGCAACGAGCGGGGAAAGTCCGGAAACCGTTGGATGACAATGTTTGGCACCCCGGCTACACGAGGAAATAGGATCCTTGTGGTTTGTTTCGGAGAGTTTACTGTTACAAAGCGAATAAATTGAATGTCCCTTTCGGTCGACCTGCATTGGAAGAGAACATTTCCTCGGTTATGCTTTGATGATGACCCTGCAAGCATCCTTGTTCGTCCACTGGAAGTATAGCAAGTACCAGTACAAACTAGGCCAAGAAACCGGTTGGCGCATGTCAAACTAAACCTGCGCTGAACATTTGACCATGATTCAGACGCAATGCCACGGCATGCCATGAAAGTTATGTCAGACAAGACCGCAATCCCCTCGTTTTATGTCGTTTATTCTCGGATCCGAACAGATACGATGCCAGCCGTGGTTCAAGCAGACCATGACGAACAGTGATTGAGCAGGAGTACTCTTATGGCTGTATCTACTCGGGGGCCTAAGAACCGTGGATGCATGCCCAATGAGGACAGTAGTGATTGTTGGACAATGGATTATCAGACTGCGTGGAAGGAAGACATTGGTCCAGATCAATTGCCACCAATCCAGAAGTCATACAAGAATGTATAGTTTGGGATAATTTGGATACTCGGTTGGGCGTGAATGACGTCGATAACTGAGATAGTGGATGGATATACCATAGTAGTATCCCTGTAGTTAGTATAGAATGATAGAGAATAAAAAGTGATAGTGGTAGCAATAGAATACTAGTATAGCTGTATAATTGTACAAAGATAAACATTCTGTTCTGTTCGAAGGAATTCTAGCAATCTCCTGGTGTAGAAGTGGGCGCCTATGCAGAGACCCTGTCGAGATCCAGAGCATTCGATTGAGTTGGGGCACCCATGGATTGGATTGCCACAGCGCATGTACATACTCGAGATACAGAGAAACAGAATATATAATGTAAAATATATATGAATATAGCTAGAACAGAATAGAGTATTCATCATCACTCTACAAGTACAAGTACAAGTACATAGTGTTCGTAATCTTATCTGTATCCGTCAGTAACAGATACTCCACTCACCTGATCTCCGCCGTGCCCAGTCCGATCGCTGCTTTCCCTCGTCTCAGACCACTCTCAGTTTACTCTCACCACCAATATTCTTCATCTTTTCTTTTCTTCTCTGTTTCGCTTTTCATTCCTTTTTATTACTCTGCACTCACATTTTCCTTACTTCTCAACTTCTCCCCCCCCGAGTTGCCTCTGACCGCCTCTCAATCCGCCTCCCTGAACCACACCCCCACATATCCTCAATTTTTATAATCTTCTAGTCCCGTCTGGACTCTCTCTCCCCTATTTCCGCTTTCTTGTCCCAGAGTCCGTGCTTCATTCTATTCGTTTTCTTATTTTCCCGGTGTTTCTATACATATCTCCGCTCTCGCCCTCCTTTCGATTGACTGACCGCCGTCAATTCTTCGGGCTTCTTCCACCATCACCACCACCTCATCTCGACAACAACCACTTCACCTTCGACACGTTCACCTTTCGATCTTCGCCCCAATAGATCCTTCTCATTCCTTCTCCTCTTCGATCCGCTCCGATAATTCTCTTATAATTCCTCCCTTCCCACTTACTCCGCCATCGGCGCTCCTGGTGCTGTAGCAGGTCTATCGCCTGGATACCGATCGATTCCTCTCTCGTCCGCTCACACGCCCTACTCCCTGTCCTCCTTCTATATCCATATATAATCCGTACACAGTTGCAAGGTGTTGCATGATCCTCTCTGGCCTCTTTGAGGATCCTAAGTAATGCCGACTCACTCGTGCGGATCATCAGAGCTTTTCACCGGCTCACCTTAGACCCAGTAAATCTTCCATTTATTCAGTGGAGAGACGGGGGTTGAACAAGGAAAGTCGTGAAAAGAAGAGGAATCTAGAAAATATAATAGGAAAAAAAAAAAAAAAAAAAGGAGGAAATTGGAAGAAAACTGCGAAACACCGTGGTCGAAAATGTCGGATCACCAGCACCAGCCGCCTTCAATTGTCGGCCCGGATCTGGTGCTACGAAATGGCTACAACACCACGGCTCCTGCGACTACAGACCATTATTCTCGACGCGATTCTCTCGAGTCCGCCGAACTGGCCGAGGATCCATCGCCGCTTCCTTCCTCGTCGGATTCCGCAGAGCCCAACAAGCAGGTCATCGCCAAACCGCCCTCTGCAAAACTCCCGCTCGATAACGGGGAGTCGCAACCCCCTCTCCGCCATCCTTACTACAACCTCTACTCCGCCAGTACTTCTCGCAATTCTTCCGCTCGCACTTCCACCAGTTCTTTACAGGCCTTGAATGAGGACACTGTCGTCGATGTTCGCTCTAATCGGCGCCCGGCCATGCCCCGACGAACGTCCGGCTTGAGCCAATCCGAGACTCCTGCCCCGGAATATCCCGTCTATCCCGATCAGTCATACGCTTCTCTCCAGACTCAGGTGCACCCCACTTACGAGCCTCCTTTACTGCGCTCGCGACCTCAGCAGACCCATCATGACATTCGTTCTCGCCTAGCCCAGTCTCGTGCCGCCCAGTCTCGTGCCGCCCGCACCGCTGGTAATACTCCTCTGTCAAGTCCTGGACTGTTCTCTTTCAAAAGCCCTCGTCCTGCCTCAACTCCTGTCGCAACCGATAGTGGTACCCGCGTCAGTAGTCCATATCTCCATCCAACCCAGCTCCAACCACCACCCAAAGAGTAAGATCTCCCCATCTTCAAAAAGAATTCGTCATTCAAATTAATGCTGACCATCTTAACCATCAGGACCCACACGGCTGAAGTCGACCGTGATCTCGTGACAGGCAACAAAGTGATCAACGAGTACGAAATCCTCGCAGAGCTGGGACGTGGTGAGCATGGCAAGGTTAAACTAGGCCGGCATGTGACAACCCGCAAAAAGGTGGCCATCAAGATTGTTCAACGGTACACGAAACGCCGTCGATTAGGCAAAATCGGGAGCCCTGAGGATAAAGTGAAGAAGGAAGTTGCCATTTTGAAGAAGGCACGCCATCCTAATATCGTTGGTCTGCTCGAAGTCATCGATGACCCGAACCGCCAAAAGGTGTATATCGTTCTCGAATATGTCGAAAATGGTGAGATCATCTGGCGTCGACGCGGCCTGCGAGAAATCGTGCACGTCGACAAGATCCGTTTGGAACGGGAAAAGGCCGGCATTGATGATTCGCCCTCGTTTCTCGAAGAAAGTCGCCAGTATATCAGAACTGCCCAGCATCTTCGTCGGCAACGAGAAAAGGCACGCGAACGCCGTCAAGCACTGGCGGAATACGCTCAGCAGGGCCCCATCCCCGCCTGGAGTTTGGAACACGGTGCGGAGTCGGAGGATGAGGAGGGCGACGATGAGGAAGCTGCCAACGGTTTAGCGATCGCCCGCACGTCCAGTCGCTCCATTCTGAGCAGTAACAACGACGACTCTCCAAGTCCCTCTTTCTCTTCAGCATGCGACCCTGCATTAAATGCGGTCGAAGGCAGTATGTACGGGCCCTATGCAGAGATCACTCCGCCCCGTCCGTTCGAACGACGTTTCAGTACGGCATCTAGCAGTTTCGGCTATGCACCGTCCGAGCCGGAATGGCTTGCAGAGGACGATGAAATATCCTACGTGCCCTGTTTGACCATCAACGAAGCCCGTCATGCCTTCCGGGATTCTGTTCTCGGTTTGGAATACCTCCATTATCAGGGCATCATCCACCGTGACATTAAGCCGGCTAATCTGCTTCTCACCAAGGATCACCGGGTCAAGATTTCGGATTTTGGTGTCTCCTATCTTGGGCAACCGATGCGCGACGAGGAAGAAGATGAGCAGGCGGAGGAGAACGGTACGGCCGAGGTCGACGACGTGCGAGAATTATCCAAGACCGTGGGTACCCCGGCATTCTATGCGCCCGAACTCTGCTACACTGGTGATGATTTCTTGGATCAAGTGGGCAGTGTGCCCAAGATCACCGGTGCAATCGACGTGTGGTCGCTTGGTGTGACTCTGTACGGGATGGTCTTTGGCCGTCTGCCCTTCGTCTCGGACGATGAGTACAGCATGTTCCAGACCATTGTGAAGAAAGAGGTTTACATTCCCCGGAAGCGTCTGAAGCCGGTGGAGGACGATCCTGGTTCATTTAGCCAATGGCCCAAGTCGCCCGGCAGCGAGAAACGACAGCAACTTGAGATTGAATACGAGGATATCGACGATGAACTGTATGATTTACTCAAGCGCCTCTTAACCAAGGATCCCGTCAAGCGGATTACTTTGAAAGAAATCAAACATCACCCATGGGTGCTCCATGGCCTACCCAACCCTCGCGGCTGGGTGGCGGATACGGATCCGAACTATCAGAGCAAAGGCAAGCGGATTGAAGTCTCCAGTGAAGAGGTGACGTCGGCCGTCAGCAAAGTTCCCATCATCAAACGGGTGCAAGAGAAGATGAGCAAATGGGGTAACTATCTCACGGGACGGAAAGACAAGGACAAAGACGGTCGCAAGTGCACCTCAACCACAGACAGTTTTACCAGCGCAAGTAATAGCAGCAGCACTTCCTTGGGGAAGTATCTTTGGAACAACACGAGCCGTCAACCCAGTCCGCGCGTGGAAGAGGATTGGTCCGCTCGGTCCTCGCGACAGAGCAGGGAAGAGCATCCGCTCTCGCAGAGTGTCGCCGCCAGCCCTGTCGGTCGAGAAAACCAGACATCCTACTTTGTGATGCAGGATTCGCGATCTGATCCCAGTCTTCCGCAGACGCAGACCACCACTTCGAGACCGGATGTTCTGGAGCGCGCTACGTCGACGGCATCCACCACTGATTCAGTCAAAACGGTTACACCGTCAGATCCGGAGGCAACCCTTTGGACAGCACGCCCCACGACTCCCAGTCTTGTCGAAACGCTCGGGACCAGCAGTATCGGTGGTCTATTTGGTGGTGCAAGCCGCCGACTCGCCCGGGGCCTTCAAACGGGCGATTGGCGCCCAGAAAAGATGGTGGCAGCCGGGGAAGCAGGTGCAGGTGGAATAGCAGGGGACCGGCGCTCGGAACCTAGCCTTGCCGTCAGCATCGCTTCAGCGGTCGGCCAAATGCAAAATTCTGGCCTGTGGAAAGGAGCAAGTTCTCCATCGTCGCGAACACATAGTCCACACTCCTTGCACACGGTTCATCGGCGCAATCGATCTCAGCAGCTTCCAGCCCGGCCTTCAGCGGAGTCATTCATCCTGACTCGAGAAGCGTTGTTGCGCCAGCGACAGCCTGAGAACGCACCAAGCTCGCGTCTCGCCAAAACCGTTGAAGATGAATCGTGCTCCAACGAGCCTCTACGTCACTTACGAGAAGTTCCGTCGCCCCCGAAGACTGCAGAAGAGCCTTTGACAGAAAATACGCCTACGGATGTTCCAAGCAGTGGGCTTACCACGTCGCCACCGTCAGCCGCGACCATCTCGTCGTCTTCTGCCGATGAGTACAACAGTGGCATGTCCCACAGTGAGTCTTATCCGAGTATCCCATCTGTCGTCTCCGGAGCGTCCTCGTTTTCGATTGACGGGCCGTATGACGGAACCAAGGACTTTGGAGACGGTGAGCCCGTCACTCAGATTCCGTCGATCCTTCGCACCGGCGAAACCGTCAAAGCGCCGCAATCAATCTCTGATCTGCCGACAGAAGATGATGAAGCTCGGTATTACTGCGACAATGAAGAGGAAGATTCTGACGACTCGGACGATGAAGTACTCATCATTGGCAAGAAGAAGCCGCCGCCGCATAAGCCGATCATTCCCGGCAGCAGCAACGCGTCGTAAATTTTGTTTCCGGCTATTGATGCGGGCCACGATTCTCTTATATCTCATTTTGCATTTCATCTGATGAACGACATTGCAAGATATTCTTCTGAAAGGGAGCACTTGAAAGGCTTTTTTTTTTCTTTCTTTTTTTAAAAAAAAAACATTGATTTAATGGGGTTTTGTTTCTTCAGCGAGCATCCGGTTTGATGCTTTCCTTTCCTACGGGTTTTCGGTCATTGACATTACACACCAAAAAAAAAAAAAAAAAAAAAAAAGACTCTTTTTATCACGAGTTTTCTGTCGATTGTTTGTCAGACATATGGGGCCGTTTTACGATACTGGGTCACTGCGCGGGCAGTGTTTATAGAGATTTCAGGATGCTGAGGTGTTGCGGAGTTGGTTTGAGGGGCATCGTCACTGTTGCTGCCATGCACACACTATACATGATTGATTGTACATATATTGGCGGCTTTGCTTCGATTTTTTCTGGGATGGCGTTGGATATGGTTGTCTCTATGCTTTTCTGGGATGGCGTTCTACGGAACCGGGTCATATATATGTGTTGACTGGTGGGCAGGGAGTGGCACCCTGGGATGAGTACAGTATAGGACATGGAATTAGACAGTTGGTTATGAATGATTATACTCGATTATATTCAACTCTGCAACTCTGTAGTATGTAGTATTCTCGGAAAGTCGTTATCAAACCCTGAGCCGGTGTGTGGGGCGATTCCCAATTGTGGGGCATCGCTGAATCTTGTTACCCTACTAGTATGTACCTTAATCCATACACCACGATCCTTCTATTCTACAGTAAGATATATCAGAAAATAACCATAAATCCCCGTCTTACGGTCATCTGATACCCCAGCTACAATCATCACATGCAGGTACGGACATGCCCGATTTAGACCACCGCGTATCATAGTCTAATACCAAGTACTGCAGTGAATGTAACCCGCCCCAACCAAACCAAACTTGCTGACCCGTCCGTCATGACGTGCACCATGGACTCCTTCTCTCCTGTTATGGGGGCTTATGTCCCGCCTGGTCAGATTATATACTTTCCGGGAGACCCAGGGGTGCGATCGAAGTGCTGGACATACTCTACCTAAGGCACAAGTCACAACCATGAGAAGTCTGGCGAGAGCAAGTGCCCTTCTAGGGACCTTTGTTGCGCGTCTATCGGGACGCGCAAACGAGGAGAGTCGTGGGAGTGGTGAGGTGTTTCTGAGTGTGAATACGGATGCTAGGGAGGGGAATGTGTCGAGCCCGTTGCTTTATGGGGCGATGTTCGAGGTACCTTCCCTATACACTTTTCTTCTAATCGAACTCCACTGACAAGACAGGAAATGGACCACTCCGGCGATGGCGGAATTCACGCCCAACTCCTCCGCAACAACGGCTTCCAAGGCTCCGACCCCGACCTAACAGCCTACAAACCCATTGGCGATGTGGATATCTCCGTTGATTCTCTCCGTCCCGTTAGTCACGCCATCAACGCTTCTCTCCAAGTAACCGTACCAAATTACGCGACTGGATTCATGGGTTTCGCGAACACGGGATATGCAGGTGTCCCTGTTACAAACGCTACGTACCAGAACTCGTTCTGGATGATGGGGGAGTATAATGGAACTGCGACGGTGCAGTTGGTTGGCTCGAGCAATGGGGATGTCTTTGTGACGCATAATTTGAGTGTGGAGAGCACAGAAAAGGAGTTTAGACGGTTTGAGACGAGTTTCAATTTGACCAGGGCCGCAAATGATGGGGACAATGAATGGAGATTGTTGTTTGATGGTGCGTTGGTTAATGGGAGTTTTCTGAACTTTGGATTGGTGGAGTTGTTTCCGCCGACTTATAAGGGGAGGTATGTTGCGCCGCTGCAAACTAAGTTGGCGAGTGATCGAATAGCTGACTGTCTATCTAGGGCTAATGGCTTGCGCGATGATGTCGTCCAGTTCCTGGAGGCGAGTAAGCCTACGTTTTTGCGCATACCGGGAGGTAATAACATGTACGTCTGTCCTAGTTTTGTCTCGACAGAAGCTAATGTATGCAGCGAGGGCCTTTCAATTCCGAAACGATGGATTTGGAATAATACCATTGGACCTACAGTTGACCGGCCTGGACGAGATGGTAGTCTTTTATCGAATGACTTTGGAAGGTCATTGCTAACTCTGCTACAGGTAATTGGTTCTATCCTAATACGGATGCCCTTGGTCTCGATGAATACATGTGGTGGTGCGAAGACATGAACGTGACGGCCGTGCTGGCTGTTTGGGATGGCAAATCTTATGGCGGTATTGTATCTGGACCGGACTTGAAGCCCTTTGTTGATGATATCATGAACGAACTTGAGGTATGTCTATCATCCACCACATCAAAGCCAGTATACTAAATCGGTAGTACCTCCTCGGTCCCACCAACACAACCTGGGGCAGTGTTCGCGCAAAGAACGGCCGCAAAGACCCCTGGCCCCTACAATACGTCGAAATTGGCAACGAAGACGACTACACCGGTGGATGTCCCACATACCCCGACCGATTCACCCAGATCTACAATGCCATCAACGCCACATATCCCGATATCAATATCATCATCTCCACTGGAGTACAGGAGTGTATACCGTCACCATTACCACCGGACGTCATGATCGATCTGCACTACTACCAGTCGCCGGATTCGCTGGTTGAATTGTTCAATCAGTACGACAACTTCCCCCGGGATCGACCTATTATCATTGGAGAATGGGGATGTCGCAACACGACAGCTGAACGAGGACAATTTTGGGCGTTTGTGCAGGGGAGTTGCGCTGAAGCGGTGCATATGATTGGGTTTGAGAGAAATAGCGACGTTGTTAAGATGACGGCTTATGCGCCGTTATTGCAGAATTTCGCGTTTACGCAGTGGTCGGTATGTATGTCCTGTCTGCTCACATCGGGATCAGATAGCTAACGATGGCAGCCAACTCTCTTCGGCCTCTCCTCGAACCCCAACTCCTTAACTCCGTCGACATCATACTTCATCCAGCAGATGTTCGCCGGCAACAAAGGAACCTCCATCCTTCCCGTCAACTCAACCACGGGCTTTGGACCAGTATACTGGGTCGCCTCACGGAACGAGACAACCGTCCAACTGAAACTAGCCAATTACGGCGCGAACAACCAGACCGTCATCGCAAATATTCCGGATACAAGATCAGGTACTCTGGAGATATTAGCAGGACCGCAATTCGCGGGGAATAAGCCGGGGGATGTTAATATCCTGCCGAAGAGGGAGAGAATTGTGAGTGAGGGGAGAACGGGTAATTATATGGTGGAGATGCCGGAATGGGGAGTTGCGGTCTTGGCTGTTGAGTGATTAGTTTTATTTCGTATGTTTGTGGTATATTGATGCTTTATTGTATAGAGGGTGTTAATGTACTTTGGTGATGAGTGAGGAGGATATTAATTTAGTGCATATTGAGTGTCAATTAATCCCCGACATGAAACGGGACATAGGGCAGAGTACTCCACTGAGTATAAATAGAGGGTGTCAAACAGCAAGATATCCTCTTTTTTTCCTTCTTCCACAGGCGCATTCGTTCTGGTAAAACAATATGCATTTACTACCCCTCCTCTCGCTCTCCACCGTAACCACCGCCGCTCTCACCTACCGCGGCGCCGACATCTCTTCTCTTCTAATTGAAGAAGACGCTGGCAAAAGCTACAAAAATTCCAATGGCGAGACGAGGGCCCTCGAAACAATCCTGGCGGATAATGGAGTGAACTCAGTCCGGCAGCGGATATGGGTGAACCCGAGCGACGGATCGTACGATCTGGACTATAACGTGGAGTTGGCCAAGAGAGTGAAGGATGCAGGAATGGGTGTTTATTTGGACTTGCATCTGAGCGATACGTGGGCCGATCCATCTGATCAGGTATGTTTTATTCTTCCAGTAATTATTAACAATGGCTGATGTTCGAAGACAACCCCCTCCGGCTGGTCAACAACAGACCTCGACACCCTCACCTGGCAAGTCTACAACCACACCATCGACGTCTGCAACACCTTCGCCAGCAACAGCCTCGACGTCGAAATAATCTCCATCGGCAACGAAATCCGCAACGGCCTTCTCTGGCCTCTAGGCAAAGCCGAGTCAAGCGATGGCTACTCCAACATCGCGAAAATCCTGCACTCGGGTGCGTGGGGCGTGAAGGATTCCGATCTCAGCACAACGCCGAAGATCATGTTCCATCTGGATAACGGGTGGGATTGGGAATCGCAGAAGTATTTCTACGATAGAGTGCTTGCCAGCGATACCGCGCTGGAGTCGAGTGATTTTGATTTGATCGGGGTGTCATATTATCCGTTTTACAACGCGGACGCGACGTTGTCGGCTTTGGAGAGCAGTCTGAAGAACCTGCAGTCATCGTACAGTAAGGGCGTGGTGGTCGTTGAGACGGATTGGCCGGTTACATGCTCGAGCCCGGAGTATGATTTTCCGTCGGATGTTTCGTCGATTGCGTTCTCTGCTGATGGGCAACGATCGTTTTTGGAGAAATTGGCTAGCACAATCTCCACTGCCGGCGGAGTGGGATTGTACTACTGGGAACCGGCATGGATTGAAAACGCGGGATTAGGATCGAGTTGCGAGGATAATCTCATGGTGGAGCAGGAGGGGGAGGTTAGGGGGAGTGTGAGTGTTTTTGGAGATCTGTGATTCTCCGTAGTCTGTATGATGGAACCCTGTCCCCGGCAGTGTGGCTGTGGTCCGGGGAGAGTTTCATCAGGCTGATTTCAGGGCCGGAAATGTTTAAAATGTTCGTGTTTGATATAAATAAACGTGAGACGGATATTTTTATCTGTCAGATTCTTGTCCAGGGGTATGACACTGTCTACTATGTAGAGAGTCTGACATGTATGAGCTGTACATCTCCGTAGAGTATCGTGGAGAGTACCTGTATCATTGGATGGGTCTGGATAAACTCCAATAGCCCAATGTCAAAGAGCAATAATTTCCCGTCTCCTTACTCATATAATTTCCGCTTGAATGGACATATGTATGTAGTTGTATCAACTCACGTGCATCGGTGTCAACTCCCACTTGGATAACTTCATTTCAACCTCACCTCTTCCTGTGACTCGGTTTCCCCCCTGTTGCAATCACTCCAGGATATTAAATCAGCATTCTGAAACCAGCGATACTGCTCAATCAGGTAAATATCCAACTAGCATATGGTCTTTTCTATTTTTTGCATATTTTTATCGCACTGTGTGTGCGTATCTGTGGAGCGCCGCTGACTTGCGCCACGAGGCTGATTCCAAGGTTCACTCCGACTTCATTTCTCACTATCTGACCTCAGCCTACATACTTGTGCTCTGCGAATGGGATTCCCTCCTCCCTCCTCCTCGTCTCTCCCCCTCTTGGTACTTTGGGATCGCGTCGGCCTGTTCGTTTTCAAGGATCCCCGCTACCGCTGTTTCTATTCTGCACTCTTGCTACTATTCTGAGATTGTCGCATCGCCATGACTTCTCACGACGACCCGCGGGTTAAAAGCCGCAGCCCCTCGCCTCATCCTCATCCATACTTCGATCCCAATAATACCAACTCCAACATCCAGAACACCGGCGCGTCGGGCACTAATTCCTACAACTACTCCGCTGGTTATCTTGCGGCCCCTCACGGCCTTCCACAATCCTTCGAAACCAGCCTCCTTAATCAGTTGGAACAATCCTCCTCGCCCAACATGCCCATGCCTTCGGAGGAGAACTTCTCCAATCTCCTCAATTCCAATCAAGCCGATTTCGATTTTTCCCTCTACCAGAACCCCGCCAGTCCGAGTAGTACTACCGCTCCCGAATATGACTCGTCCCTGCTGCTCGATCCCCAGCTTCACCAACAGTCCCGACCGTCTAGCCAGTCGATCAATCCCGCCGACTTGGTTAGTCCCATTTCTTCGCCCCAGGACACTACGCACCAGCACTCCCCGGGCCCCATGTCGCCTCCAAGCTCCGCAGGGCCGTACTATACCCCGCAGCATTCGCGCCATACATCTTTGGATCCGTCTACCGCTGCGTTTTTGACCGCGGGACACTCCAATGCCGACTGGCAGTCGATGATGGGCAGCTCGGCGTTTCAGGGCCATCGTCGTGCGCCGTCGGAGGTGTCTGATGTCTCGTCCGTTGCGCCTTCGCCTTACATGTCGCAGCATGAATCTTTTGACGGCGTGGAGAACAACCCTTCGCCGCTGCTGGCGCCTCAGAATGATCCTGCTTACGATAACCTGGGAATCGAATCGTTCACGCTGTCCGACCACCAGCATCAGCATCAGCATCAGCATCAGCATCAGCATCAGCACCCGCAACAGCTTCAAGGCTTCAGTCCCGCTCACAGTCCGTATCTGTCTCCGCAATTGATGCCCCAACAAGGACCGGAGATGGTCCCCAACATCCCTTACATCTCTGCCCCGGCCGATAACAACAACACACAATACCCCAACCCTCCTGCCGACATGTATGGCAACGCGGATGCGTTTCCAAGCATGCAAATGCCGGGAGACATTGGTCAAGCATCGCAGATGGCCCCGCCGTCGATCAATGTCGAGTTTGCTCCTCCTTCAAGGGATCCTACTGTTGCAGTTTCGAAATCGACGGACATTGACTCTTTGAGTCCGCCAGCACGTTAGTCACTATCCTTGTTTCTTTCTTGATCCATGCTAATTCCGTTTAGGCCGTATTCGCAGTGTTTCCGACCCGTACATGCGCACAGCTCCTCGCCCGCGGTCTCCATCGGCCGCGAGTAGCTTGGCTCCTTCGACTCCTGGTCGATCTCTTTCGCCATTCGACCCTGTTAGCTTCAACCAGTCTCTGAGCAATCCTAGTTCCCGGGAGCCATCTCCGGCCCGGTCTAGTCGTCGACAGTCAACATCATCCATTGAACGCAACTACATTCTGGATTTGGCCGATCCGCAACGGTCAGGAGCCTCTCCCAACGACCGTGGACGGACCCAGAAACACCCGGCTACTTTCCAATGCCACCTGTGTCCGAAGCGGTTCACACGAGCCTACAACCTGCGCTCTCATCTACGAACCCACACTGACGAAAGGCCATTCGTCTGCACCGTCTGCGGCAAAGCATTCGCACGCCAACACGACCGCAAACGACACGAGGGCCTCCACTCCGGCGAAAAGAAATTCGTCTGTCGCGGCGACCTCTCCCGAAACGGCCACTGGGGCTGCGGCCGCCGTTTCGCTCGCGCCGATGCTCTAGGCCGCCACTTCCGCTCCGAAGCCGGCCGTCTCTGCATCAAACCCCTCCTCGACGAAGAATCCTCAGAGCGCGAACGCGTCCTCATAAGCCACCAACAACACCAGCAAACCGGCCATTTGCAACCCATCCCCCCGCCCCTCATGGTACCTGACATGAACGGCCCGCACACGGGTAACTTTGTCCTCCCCGCCGCGCTGCTAGCGCAGTATCCTGCCCTGCAGACACTGCAGTGGGATCAGATCCCGGCTGGGGCAGAGGATGGTGGTGATATCGGAGGTCGGAGCAGCTTCGATGCTAGTTCGGGGGGCGAGTTCGGGTACGAGGACGATGAGTCCGGGCTGAGCAGTGTGTCTGGGATGAGTGGGGGGTATCCTAACCAGGGGAATATGTATAACCAGGGACAGATGTTCTAACACTGGTCTGACTGAGTTGTGACTGACCTTACCTTACCTGGATGTTGATATTGATGTTGATGTTTCGTTGATTGACTGATTCGGTTCCAATGATAGAAGGATATCTGGCGTTGAGTATGGTTGACGGCCGTGGCTGTTTTCTTTTGTTGCTTTTTTATTATATCGTCCCCTTTGTTGCGTTACGTGTTATGATGAATGTCCACTACATGCACATACCCCCTGGAAGTATGGATGGACTCCATACTCGATTTATACCCTGTTGTCAGGTAGTAGCCTGTTTAGTTCGGTTGCATGAATGCATGATTCTTTTCCTTTACTTGGACGAGACTGAGTAAAAAAAAATTCGCATAAACGAAACTTCATTCGAGTAACACCTGCCTAAGTAAACACTATTTACTAGTTACCACACGCGATCAACTTCCCAACAGCCCCAATCCACCTTCCTCCAAATTTCTCCTCACTAAACCGAACCGCCGATCTCCGTGCTCTCTCCCGCATAGCGACCTTCTCCTCTCGAGGAAGTGCAAGCGCAGCCTCAAATGCCGCCGCGAATTCATCTTCCGTAGTCGCCCGGAATCCAGTCGCTCCGTCGCCTAGATCAATCACGATATCCTCCCTTGGACCACCGGAGTCGTGCACCACGCTGATCAGACCAGCGGCCTGGTACTCGACAACACAGATGCCAAAGTGCTCGTTCCACATGGCGTTTACGCCGATGGAGGCGGTACTCAAGTGCGAGAGGATGGTGGGCCAGGGGGCGTCGCAGAGGAAGGTGGTGGAGTCGCGGATGCGGAGCTCGTGGGTTAGTAGGCGGAGGTTGTAGATGTGGGTTTCGTCGGGGGAAGAGTGGCGGACGGAGCCGATTAGGACGAGGCGGGGTTGGATGTTGTGGGGGTTGTTCTCTTTGAGGTTGTTGAGGAAGCGGGCGAAAGAGCGCAGGACGAGGGGGTGGTTCTTTTCAGGACGGAATTGCGCGATGTAGAGGATTATGGGTTCGCGGGTGGATTCTGTGTCCGCGTTGACGGTGATGCTAGACTGTAATTCCGAGACGGCCGTTGGAGGGAAGATGACTGTTGGTTCGGAGTGGGCCTTTCTGGTGCGTGATGGACCCCAGATTGTGCGGATGTGCGCTGCTGTCCATGAGGAGTTGCACATGACTACGTCCACATGGCCTCCGACCCAGCCGTACAGACGCGCAAATGCAAGCCAGTACCTCCGCTTGAGCTGGCCCCGCAGCCCCTTTCCCGCGCCGGCGTTGACGCCCTTTAGACCGGTTTCATCGTCCAATGAACCAAGCATGTCGGTTGAGATGGTGGGGTAGTGAACATATGCGCCTGTCGGTACGGATGGGAAGAGCATTTTGCTGAATGCAAGCGTGAATGCGTAGCCCATGGTGTCGATAAACGTGTCCGGAACAAGGAGATTGAATGCGTCGTAGGCAGTAACCAATGAACCCAGTGACTGGCCCAGGAGCGTCATGTAGGGGTACATGCTGGGCACGACATATCTGCGTGTTGTAAGGTACAGCAGGACCACTGTTGGTGCGTGCAATTGGATGTTGAACCGGTTCTGCATCATATCAATACCTTGGCCTAACATTTGTATGGCAGTGTAACAACATACCTCGACCCTCTCCAATAGCGCCGTCTTGGTAACTTCATGGTCTCCTGTGTATACCACACAAATCGCCTTGGGCCATCGTTTCTGCGTGGCTCTCAGGGCTTCCCAGAGAACACGTTCTCCCCCGCCACCTGCGTTGCTAGACGATGTCAGAGGGTAACCTCCTTATAGCAGCACAGGCAAGACATACCAGAATGGATGAAAGAACCCAATAATACCATCCCAAGACTCATCTCTCTTCTCTTGCCCGTTGTTGTGATTATTGCCAGCTGTCCCTACACTAGACGTATCGACCTTCTCCCAGTCCTCATCTTCCGCCTGAGTCGTGGACGGTGACAACTTCTCAGCCCGCTTGGCTTGAAACTCTTCCTCCTCAGTTCGCACCCGTGAGATAATATACTCCTTGCGCGATCTGGTTCTCTTCCGAATAAACCATCCCACTCCGCGCAAGCCCAAGCGGAGAAAGCTCAAGGGGATCGTGGGGAGGAGGACAGAGGTCGCAGCGAGGGCGAGGAGGGAGATCAAGATGTTTATCAAAAGCGTCATGGCGATTTAGGGCATAGTAAAAGGATTGTTGTTTTCTTGCTTCTCGAAGGGAGGGGTGTTTGAGCGTTGTCAGTCGGAGTTGGCAGATGATTGACGGCGCTATCGATAAGTGGTATTACCGTATGTATGGTATGACGTGTAATATACAAGTCACATGACTTACTCAGAACTACTTCTAGGTAGCTACCCTTTCCATCAGGAAACGTCTTCCATCAAGATTCCAAAGATGCCGAGCAGAATGAGAGGCTTACGACTACGAATTATTGGAGATGAGCTGGAGTTTGTACACCGCTATAGGCCTGGGGATACCATTCATTTCATCTAGGGGATCTATACCAAGGAAAACACCAATATCGTGTTATTCACAAACTGGGTCATGGTGGATTATGTTCCATCTCTTGTTTACCTCGGGGCCGTAGGTCATTTCATCGACGATTGTGCCCGTCGCATAACAGCGGTCCATGATGACCATCACTCATAAAACCACCGCCCACGAGCCCGCTGCCTATAAACAACAAGCAGTACATCACTGAAGCATGTGTCAAGGTGACGATCCGAAAATGCATTTCGGGGCCCAATTAAATTCGTTTTTGGTCTTGGTAAAACGCCTCCGGTGTGTAGTTCGTTAAGAAATTGATGCACTTAAGCCTTTTTCAGTGGAGGATGTCCAATAACAAATTTTCTCCATTGCTTGAGACCCGGCCGCTTGAACATGAATTTGTCCAAAAAGATCGATTGCGTGGTAGCGAGATTTGTACTTGTGATCCAGTAGATAATAAGGGCACAAGGCATTTGGTACACGTAAGACGCAACACCAACATACAAGGCGAGAGTCTGGAGGAACAGCTTCAGCAGCCGCGAAGAGACAAGTCTAACCCTTTCTGGCCGCGGCAAGCTGGCAATCTCTTTGAAAGAAGGAGCCTTCCATCCAGTGCGGATATTCGTAATAATAGATCCCGCCAAAAAGATAGGAAGAATGCCCGTTGGATCCCCAGAAAGAAGATCTGGAAACCACAAGCCTCCCTCGGTAGCCAACGACGGCTCAGCGGCCAAGGATATATCTGACGAGCCCCGCGTCAGCGACAAGATCCACGGTACCAACCCGCTACTGTTCCCGGACATCGCTCTCAAGCTTTCCATAATCGAGAGCCAGACGGGAAGTTGCAAGAAAGGCACGGGTTTCCAGAACCGATGGATGTCCCAGACTTTATCCAAAGCGCGCTTCTTGGTTTTGATCATCTTTAGTAACTGCGTGTTCGCTTGACCTGCCATCATCGGGTCTTCACTGGAGCGATTGACATGCTTTCTGATCTGTGTTTGGTAATTGTGTCTCCAAGAAGTCATGATCGGAGCAATATCTTGCTCCTTGCGTGCTTGAATCTTGCTGTACATCTGCAGCGGCAGTCCGACTGACATCCGGACAATTAGGGCCGTCAATGGGATAGATGCGACCCATGGAAGGCAGGAGACTGTATGGACACCATGAATGAAGCCGGCAGAGGCGTCTAGTACTTCATTGACGAGTAGAGCTGGTCTTGTCGCGTGGAAATGGCGGATTTGCCGAGCCGAGATGCGTGGGGTGCGCAGCGCTCGGAGGGAATTTATAGGCATGTTTATTGAAATGACAATTGCTTAGTATAAGAGACAGAGGGGCAATGCGATTAAGGTCTGCAAGATCTGCGGAGGCGGTGGCAGTCTGGTACATCGGGCCGAGCAGCCAATGAAAATCCAGGAACGTATACTACTATCTATACATAGTTTAAGTCTTCAGGAACTGCCCAGATCAGTCACTTGGAGTAGTGAATGTAGTAATTGACGAAGAAATGAAGGAAAGCGTTGATTACATGACACCTTTCCTGTTGGGGCGCTGTAGGCTGCAGATAACAGAATCTCCCACCAGACATTTCCCTTCCATCAGCAATCTTAACCTCACACTCTGCAGACACAATATAGTTAGACATCAATCAAAACATGCCATATTACATCAATCGAGATGTTAAAGCAGGATGGCACCAGTATCCTACGGTTCAGAAACGGTTGACGATCCAATGGTAAGTTGCCGCCTAAGAGCATTATGGCTGTTACTTATTTCTAGGTCATCCGGATTGCTTCTGTCGTCGGAGACAGGTACAGACGTACAATGCTGGAACACATCTCACAGGTCGTGGCCCGCCATGTAGGCTTTACATTTTGCTTCTTGCGGTAAATCAGGACACGCTCCTTGCGGCTACAGCAACTGACAACCGGACGCACAGGAGCCATGACCATGGCACCACCCAAGTCCCTGTGGGAGACGGGACCTGCACGCACCACATAGATGACCCCCACATCACGTTCTACATGGGCTTCATGCCAGACAGGAATGAGTTCACTCATGAGGGCCATGTATTGGTGGAATACATCACCATCAATGGTGTCAAGATGCTGAAGGGCATCCCCGTCCAAGGGAAGTCCATGCTACTCTGGGACAGGGAGACCCGCGAGTTGGCAATTCTTTGATTTGTTTCTGTATTATTATCTTGTATTTTAATTATCTGGGAAATACATTCGGTATCAACCATTAACCGGAATTATACGTAGCAAAACTCATGATAGCTTCTACCGCGCAGTCCGACACCCTAAATAACCAATGCTCCATGCCTTCAAAAGCATCAGTTGGCTGATTCAAATCACCAAAACACCTTCTTCAACGGCCGCTGCTGGCGAACCAAACCGCTTTAAAGTCACCAATGCTTCGCTAATATCCTCTGCGGAAATACCCAAAAACGGAAGCTGAGCCATTCTAATAGAAACAAAATGGTCCGTCGGCTGGCAATCGAACATCCAATGACACTGTCGCAAAAAGACGTGAGGGTGATGGCCCAAAAACAGCAAGAGATAACTATCATGAATGTGCACCCAGTCGGTGAAAGGAGGTTGGCCATGTGGCATTTTAGGTCTCTCGTATCGATGGTCTGTGGGACTGAATTGGGGTATCTCCATGCGCTGTCTGCCCTCTAGAGCATCTGGGTCCGATATACCTGTCTCCCACAAGATAATACGAGCCTCTGCACGCTGCATCGAGTGGGACTCGCCCGGGAGGTACTCTTGCAGGAATTCAAACTGCCTCAAAGCGTTGTGGTCATTCAGTTTGGCCCTGACGAACGACCGCTCCAACGGCGGCAAGAATTGAAAAACCGCCTGAAGATGGTCCGTGATGGTAGAGACGGTACCTCGACACGACCAAAGAAAGTACTCGTGGTGCGTCTCCCAGTTCGCCGGCTGGTTAGGGTACGGCGGCTCATCGAACAACGCTGGTTGGGTATGGATCGCGATTGGTACCGGAGCAGATCTATGCTGACCAACGAGGCGCTCGAGTTGCATGAGTCTGTTCACTATAGCTGTGAGGGAGTCTCTCGTCTGCTGATAAGTAGTGTCTCGGGCTGATTGGGGTCTGGAAAAGATCCCTGTGAATATACCAGGAACCGAACGATGGTTGGGACTCAAGGGAATTGGTTCGCCCTCGTCATCGCTCACGTCTATGTCGGCGAGCGCGAAGCTGATGCTGGGGTCGTCTTCTAAGGGTGGGTCGAGTCTCATTGATGAGAAGGGGACGAATAGGTCATCTTCGCTGAGGTTGTCGTCTTGGAAGGGGAAACGGAGGCTTTGGCTCCCTGGCATGTTGCTTGGTCTCGTTTTCACGATACGATGGAGTCGACTGGACTGCTTTAATTAATGGCTCGTCTAGAATACGTACTGGTGCGCCAGCACTCACCTTTGCGCTTGACTCGAGATGCCCTCGAGCTTTTTCCCAGCCCCAAAAAACAGGGACCCAAAAGCCAAAAAGGAAATGAGTGCCGCCTCGATCCCAACTTCAATCCAAAAACAATGGCAACGACAAGCGACGGCGCAGCAAACAGAGATTCGACAAGTCGACACCGGCCACTCCTAAGCAACGAGAGAGCTACCAAGCAACCAAGCGCCCGGAAACGCGGCGAAGCGCAAAGCGAAAAACAAAAGAAAAAGATGGTCAAGGGAATGGGGTTAGGACCAGTCTGAATATGGATATGGATATGAATATGTACAGGAGACGAGACGATAGGAGAAGATGGTAAACAGAGTACAAAGGGAAATAAAAACAAAGCTGCTCCTATAAACAGTGACTCCTATTTTTCTTTTATTTGCATTAACTATCATGCCGTCTCATAGGCTACCAAATTATTTTCATGGTGTTTAACGATCGTCTTTGGAAGTGGGAAAATCTGTAGCATAGAATGCCATTTTTTCCCCTTGTTGTCGTCTGTATCTTCTTTGTAGGATTGACCGTGTTTCCTTCAACTGGTCAATTTGTTTCTGATTCTCTTTTCTCTGTATACCTGCTTCATCAAGAGCTTTAAAGAAGCATTGTAGTTAAGTGAGTAGTTGTGCCTGCTATACTGCATAAAGGAAAAGAAGCGAAGCGACTCGAAAAGCGGCTCTATCACCACGCCCTATTGAGCTTGTTTGTTGCAGAGCAAGAATCGAAGGTACATCCTATGTTCAGGGCATGGCTGTTCACGTGGCAGTCGGAGAATAAGGAAACGAGCAACTATGGTCCGAATTGAAGAATGGAGATGGCAAGTGAAATGTATAATATTCTACAAAGATCTAGCATGCATCCCAAAGCCGCCTAAGCTGACTAGTAAATTGAAATCAACGCCGTACCAAACGTGCTGTAAAAAAAAAAAAAAGACCTACCCAGAAGTGAAATGACAGATGCAACACAAATACAAACAAAGTGCGAGGGTCGAAGATTAAACGGGGAAAGATCAGAGCTTGGCTTTCTCCTTCTCGTCTGTAGCGCTGGCTTCCTGATTGATGGCAACTGTACGAGTGTCGGCGCTGTCGCCGAAGAAGATAACCTCAACAGTAACATCGTCACTAGAGAATTTTTAGTCCAGAGGTCTTCGAAAGAGGGCATGTATCTTACCGGTATCTCCGTGAATACGGGCTAGGAAGAGTCAACAATGCGCAGACCATGTCCTTGTGCTTGCCGCCCATGGCATTACGGACAAGGTGAGTGGCAGCATTGTTATCCTCAGTAACAAATCTCTCGGCGGCAGCCGAGATATCGTACTGTTGTTGGCGAATGGGGGCACGCTGGCCTCCTAGAGCTTCCTGTTGAGAAGCTTCCACGGGCAACTGCTTATTCTCAAATCCAAACCAGTTCTTCAGCCACGACTTGTCACCACCAGCGCGCTGCTGTTCGAGCCATTGGCCCACAAGCCCGACAACTTCCTCATTATTCAACATCTCCCAGAGACCGTCGGTCGCGATGACGACGAAGTCATTTTGACTAGGATCAATCTTGGTCGTTGTGATAACGGGCTCTGCGGTGACATAAGGAGGGGTCTTGAGTAGTGGAGAGGGGGTTCTTCCGAAGAACTGCCGCTTAATCTTCTCCTGGGTTTCTTTGCTCCACTTGTAGAACGCGTCTCCGAATGAACGGCTGGGCTCCAATTGGCCGAGGATTCTTCCGTTGCGGACGACGTTGGGCTCACCAGGATGTTCTTCCCGCAGACGCTTCATTTCCGACGGAGTTCCACCAGTCTGGTCTTCGGAGAGTGGCGTAGCAGTCCATTTCCCACCAGGCCCTCGACGGCCCAGGACCGCACGAGAATCACCAGCGCAAGCAACCTTCAGATCCTTGGACTGAGAGTCATAGAAAGCAAGGAGAGCACAGGAGCCAGACAAAGCAGGAGCAAGGAGTTCAGCAGCAACACTCCGGGAACTAGATTTGAAGACCTTGTCAACACTGTTGTGCACGATGTCGTTATCCAAACGGACGAATCCTTGCTTGATAGCTGCATCCACTGCCGCAGAGGATGGGAGGAGCAACGAAGGGTCGGTAGCCGCAGTCTTGTAGGTAGAATTCAACTCTCGGGCGACGTAGGAGATAAGGACATTGCGTAGTTTGGCCGATGTGGTCCATCCTCTAGTTCGGAATCAGAACACGTTATGAGATCCTCCCAAGATGATACTTACGAATGACCGTCAAACACCGCCCAGAACATCCAGTCGCTGTTTGCGCTGCCCTCTCTAGAAGCGGCCACGGACGATGGCACCTCGACAATCTTCTCCGCATGATCATCTTCGATGGGCGAGTTGCTGGGAACCTGAACAATGTCGTATCGAACCACTCCCTTGCCGCGATTCACCAAGTAGGACTCTTGGTTCTTCCTCAGTTTCTGCGTTGCTTGCTCCGGTGTCAACATTCCGAGAACGCGGCGGTCCGAATCGTCGGTCTTCTTGGAAAGGGGCTGGTCTTCGGAGAGGACAGTAGTGTAAAACTGGTCGTTTTCCACAAGGAGCGCACGACGAGTCGAATCCGATGGTGCTTCGGCGTGTGCTGTAGCGATACCCGACAGCGACAGCGAAGTTCTATTCAGACCTGCCACTGATGCTAACGGGGAGTTGTCACCCTGGTAGGCATACCAAGCTCCTGAGGCAATTATAGTCGAAATCACAGCGAGGGAGAGGTTTCGTAGCTGCATTGAGGACTGTAGAGAGGCTGGGATTCTGCCGACGGGCGAGGGGAGAGCCTGGTGACTGGAGAACGAAATGCACGGTTTCCTAAGTGCGACTCTCCATCCCGGTACACGCCGAGCAGTGCGGTAAGCCTGAATAGCCGCACGACGCATTTGGCCTGCGGATAGAATAATATCACAACACTTTGAGAAGCAGGAAAAGTCCAGCGCCTTCTGGAAAATAGAGAAGGGGATTTACTCCGAAAGTGAACGTGAAACCGTGCTCGATAGTCGATACCGCGGAGAAACGGGGAAGGTCAGGTGATGTAATGACATAAGGTAAGGTAGCTCACGTGAGCTTCCACTTTGGGATTCCGGTCCTGCGCTAGGCCCGACTCGGCAGTGTCGTCATTCCCCGCGGTCTTTTGAAGATTTATTTTGATGCTTTTTAAATGCTGACAACACTAAGATTATAAACTACTCTGTCCTCTTTAATAGTCCTCCCGGATGTCCTCCCGCGCGGTTCGCAAGCTGCAAAAGCTTCGCGAGCAGGAATTGCAGCAAGCCGACCAAGACGAATCGAGCGATGATGAACCCGTTTCGCGACCATCTAAACCGAAGCTCAACGCTTTCGATCTTCTGAATGCTGCGGAAGAGGAGGAGGAAGAAGAAGAAGAAGAAGAAGAGCCTGAAGAAGATACCGAATATGTGACCCCCCAACCGCCACAACCTGAACCTGAACCCGAACCCAAACCCTCGAAACCCACCGAAGCCAGCAAAAAGAAGAAGAACAAGAAGAAGAAAAAGAAGACGACTCCCAAAACAAGCGGCGCAGAAGAGCCGGCAGCTGCCAAGACAAAGGGTGCAAAGTTGGACGATATTGACAAAGCCCTGAAAGATCTGGCCGTCGAGAACAAGCCCGGGCAAGGTGACAACGGTACATCGTCCGCGAGTAATCGCTCGTTCCCAAAGACCCCCGAAGAACTATTAGGCATCGACCCGAGAGCCCTTAATTCAATTAACGAGATGAAGAAGCTGTTCGGAAATGTCGTGCTGGAAAACTTCGACCAGGATGACTCCGGGGCAGGCCGCAGAAGAGGAAGAACCGAAACGGTGGATCTTGGGCGCGCTCTGACGGGAAGATACTGTCCGGCAAGTCGAGGACAAAGCTTAGCGGGCGTGACTTTGCGGCGGAACTCTCTCATGCAGGCAAATGATGAATGGCCCCGCGCTCCTAACGGTGGTCTGGGAATGGAATTGGAGGAAAAGCTTCTGGATGGTTCTACGAAATACCGGATCGTACACAACCCTTCGTATCAGGATGTACAGCGGCAATTCGATCTGTGCGTCGAGTCGATGGACCCGCAAAGACTAATCGCCCTCCTTCAATACAACCCGTATCATATCTCCACGATACTTCAAGTGTCGGATATAGCCAAGCATCAGGGCGACCATGCCGTGTCCGCTGACCTTCTTGAGCGTGCCCTCTTCAATATTGGTCGCTCTGCCCATTCGACATTCAACAACCGCATCAAAGAGGGGCAGGCAAAGCTTGACTTCGGGCATTCAGAGAACCGGGAACTTTGGCTTGTGGGGTGGAGATACATCGCTAATTTGGGGATGAAGGGGACATGGAGGACCGCATATGAATGGGCTAAGCTGCTTCTCAGTCTTAATGCAAATGACCCATATTGCATGAGACTAATGATCGATCACTTGGCTCTTCGAGGTAGGGAATATGCTCATTTTGTTGAACTGTGTACCCAGACTCTGTTGAGTAAGGAATGGGAGCAGTATCCCAATATCCAGTGCTCGCTTGCACTGGCCTACCTCCGCCTGAACAACCCTCAGGAATGCCGGCAGCAACTACGTCTTGCCATGTCCCGCTACCCATGGGTGTTCTGCAGACTCGCACAGGAACTAGATATCCAGCCTATGCCCAAACGAGTCTGGGGCAAGATGCCACCAACTGATGTTCATGAACTACTCACCGAACTGTACATCACACGAGCGAAGGACCTCTGGAACACACCAGAGATCGTTTCGCTAATTGTCGAGGTCGCGGATACTCTACCAGAGAAGGAGGAACCTGTTGAGCCACCGGAGATCACATTGGATATTGCTCGTCATGTGATTCTTTCCGACATTCCTCAGGTCACCACCCATCTTCCTAATCGCTTTGTTTCTGGGCGTATTTCCGCATCCGATCCTCTCCCTCCGTATGAACCGGACGCTCATCGCCAGCAGTCCGACCCGACCCCGTCATACTTGTCTCGGATTCCGGAGGTTGGACGACCACAGTGGCTTCGTGATCTTCTCGACCAGATCAACAACGGAGCTATTCACTTCCCCCGGTTCCGACAAGGAGAGGACGAAGAAGCGCACAATGATGATGTTCATTCCGGCGAAGAGACTGAGGAAGGACGTACGGCAGGCGTCCCACATCCATCAGTCGAGGACCAACCCGTGCTCCAACAGTGGCTCTTGGCTGATGGCATGCAGGCTTTGGAGGCATACCTCCGAGAGCATGGTGTCGACCCGGGTAATTGGGATGAGCTTATTGATTACACCCCACTTATGGATTATGTAGATGCACTGGATGGAATCCAGCCCGATTCAGCCCGACAGCAACTCCTGTACGGGCCGATCCGAGAAGCGTTGGGTGACATTGTGGTGACAATGTTGGAAAACGAGTTGGAGATGCTGCAGGATCAAGTTTGATGGCGTATCGTATGCAGAGCATGTGAATGGTGATGCGGGGTGTGATGGTACTTTTATAATACAGAATTGATACCACTGGAGAAATGCCGATTGGTCTGGATGTATATAAAAAGGACGCAGCGCCGTGCCGATCTCGTGGAGACTTACTGTTTTGTATATCTATACATCAGGGGTGCATAACACACCCTCTTCAGCCCAATGACATGCATGCATCACTGCGCCTATCAACACTTTCGGCAATTTCGACGGCATCAGTGCGATTATGCCTTCATATGCCAAATTATGCTATCGTTTGCTATTTCTATAAAACCCGAAACATAGTCGCGGACGTAGTTAACACTGCCCTGCCCTGCTTAATCAGCAATCCTTATCGTGGCCGCTCCACCATTCTGATACTCCGTGATTCAGATCCTTTTTTTACAACTCAAATTTCCTTGAATGAACTTTGCCTCCTGAATTGTGCTTATTCCCCTTTTGGGCACATCTTCTGGATGCTGAAACTTCTCCCGTGCCTCATGTTTCCTTTCCTTCAGCTCACCTGTGCTGTCACTGTCAGATAACTTTATAGGCGTTGTCGCAAACCCTCCCTCTCGTCATGTCACTCTTGGGGTTAATGTCTAGGGTCTCTGCGGCGCAATCCGTACCCTTGACGGGCCGTGAAGCTGCATCGGGTCTTTTGGGATCTGTTTCATTGACATGCTGGATATTCTTGTTGGTAAGTTTCTTCTTCTTTACCTGAAGTATATGAAGAAAGGGATATATACTCACGATGCCTCCCCACTAACAGGTCCCCCAACTGATCGAAAACTACCACAACGGAAACGCAGAAGCCATCTCCCTCCTCTTCATCTTCATCTGGTTCGTTGGCGACATAACCAATCTCATTGGTGGCCTCTGGGCCGGTCTCGTCCCCGTTATCATCACCATCGCATTCTACTTCTGCATCGCAGACGGCGTCCTCATTGGCCAATGCCTCTACTACAAGAACCGCAACTCGCGCCGCGAATCCCTCGAACGCAGACGCCGCTCGTCAACCGAAACACCCGATCCGACGACCCCGTTGCTGGGTAGACACTTTAGCGATAACCTGGAAGCTGGTCCGGCGGCTGCGCAGCGGGATGCTCTTTTGAATGGTCGTCGTGGTAGCGAGATGGAGGACCCATTGACCAAGATGTTGGATGAGGGTGAGGATGGTGGACGGAGTGCGTGGGTGAAGAATACTAGCAGTGTTCTGGCTATTGCGTTGATTGGCTGCGTTGGATGGGTTGTCGCATGGCAGTCGGGCATGTGGAAGCCTGCGCCGCAGGGTGAGAATGGGGGTGTTGATATGGCTGTGGGGGCGCAGGTATTGGGGTATATCAGCGCCGTGTGTTATCTGGGGTGAGTGAATTTCTGATTGAGGAGCGATCGATCTTGGATACTTACTAATGGGAAACAGTGCGCGATTGCCTCAGATCTGGAAGAACCACTGCGAAAAATCGTGCGAGGGTCTTTCCCTGCTATTCTTCGTTCTCTCCGTCTTGGGCAACCTGACCTATGGCGCTGGGGTAAGTTCGTCCCCTATATAAGCCAGTATCGTTTTCTAACGGCACAGATCCTCTGCCATTCCACCGAGAAGAACTACATTCTTACGAATCTCCCGTGGCTGATCGGATCGTTGGGCACAATGGCCGAGGACGTGATGATTTTCGTGCAGTTTCATCTGTACGCCGTCCGGGATCCACCCAGTGTCGCCGTCGCTTGACTTGCAGCATTCTAGAAAATCGCCGTTTTGGGTTTGGTTTGGTTTGATCGCGCATGTGTTTCGGGGGCACATGTTCTGACACGTCGATCTATAAAAAAGTTATGGAGTTCAAAAGTTATAGGCGAATCTATGGGGCTAGACAATTTGCTCGTTTTATGGGAATAGGATGGCGTTGGGTGTTTTCTACTTGCAATCGGAGCTTGTAGTTATACAGAGAATAGAAATGCAGACGGAATCCTTTTGTTCATGGTCACATGGCAGACATGGCCTGAAACTGGGCACTAGACTAGACAAGTCATATCGCAATTAATGGTATATACCCGGAGATGTTGTAGAAGTCCCCGGTAAAACAAAGCAAGTCAAACGTTTTTGCTTTTTTTTGTATCATTTCTATTGCCGGAATCCTAGCGTCATCCGTTTCATTACCTCTGTCACGACATAACCCATCATGCAAGCAAAGCGCCCAGTCCCACTGGATGTCCTTGTCCGTAGAATCTTTTTTCTTTTCCCATTTCGGTCTTCGTGCAGGGGCGTGATATCGGATACAAGGGGGTGGACGTTAAAAGGAGACAGGAAAAAACGAGAAACACGAGAGAGAGAAAACGAGACGCTTAGTCGAAAAGACCGAAGCCCATGTCCTCGTCGGACTCCTCCTTCTCTGTAAAGAAGTTAGCGCACCGGGTTCCAGGCAATCGTCAAATCAGAAATTGTGATTCTTACCCTCCTCCTTCTTCTCCTCAGCAGCAGCCTCGGCGGGGGCCTCAGTGGCACCACCAGCGCCGGCGGGGGCGGCGGGGCCGCCAGAGCCAACGTTGGTCAGGAGCTCCTTGATGTCCTTGCCCTCGAGAGCCTTGGCGAAGATGGAAGTCCAGATGGGCTCGACTTCCTGGACCTTAGCGGCACCGAGGAGGGTCTGGAGCTTGTCGGCCTGTATAAGGAAAATTCATCAGCCGGAGTCCGTCTTGACATGCGCATTTTCCTATTTTCCAAAAATCCTCCATTATAATCCCTCCTCTTCACGATGGCGCGTATGCCATTTATTGTATTTCCATCCCTTTCCCAACAATCGCGCGTCACTTCAAATCGAGGGCAAGGAACGTACGGTAACCTCGACACCGTCATCGGCGAGGATGAGGGCCGCGTAGGAGCAAGCGAGCTCGGCAGTAGACATGGTGGTCGGCGAGGTTATTGTCGAGGGACTGGGGAGTCTGTAGTTGGCGGGATGGGATAGAGAGAAAGGAAAGAGAGAAAAGATCGCGAAGGAGGTCTCAGCGAACGACTTACCCGAAACGAAACCCACCGCGGCGGTTGGTCCAATTTGTGTGTTTGGCTGCCAAAGCCCTAAGCGAGAGGGCTGTCCCCTTTTGGACTAGTTTAGGCGGTGAGTGTCCCTGCTCCGAAACGGGAATAGTGGACTGCGATGCCATCATCGTCTCCGCCGCGAGGCCTGAGGCAGGAATCATCATACTACCTCATGCACCGCTTTTAGTACTATCAACTTCACCTTCGTTTCTCCGACTCGTTCGTTATTTGGATAGACATTGTATTATTCTCGCTACCATCGCTTCCGCTTTTCTCCTTCCTCGCCGGACTCTCTCCGGTTGCCTCCATCATGGACTCCCCCGCCGTTCCTGTTCCGCGTGATCCGCAAGAACAGCCTATCCTCGAACGCCTTCTTCGCACCCGCGATGCTCTTCTATTGCTGAAACGAGACAAATCGTCCTACATCAAGTCCCGCGATGTGATCCCGCTGTACGAAGCTGTGATCCAGGAGGTGGAACAACTGCATGCAGTCCGGGAAGGACAGGATCCTCGGCAACCTCACAACCGACGTTAGTACAACGGTTTGCACACGAGTCATATGGCTTGGGGATATGACTAACTGGACTGGACTGGGATTATAGTGGACTACGTTTTGGATGATTGCTTTCAGCTGATTTCCTTGTTGTTCTTGACCGTTGGCAAAAACAATGAAGCTCCAGCAGTGTAGGTGAACCTCTCCGCGTGTTGACGTATGTGGCTGACAGGGATTCAGATATTCACTTGCGACTACGGTCAAGGTACTTCCATTGCTTGATCACCTGATTGTACTTTTTTTCTGACTAGATCTAGCGCCTGCTCGACCACCTCGAAGAAGCCGGCTTCTACAGCTCCAAAGACCTTTCCTCCATTACGAAGACCTTGGCAGACATGCGCCAAACCCTCGAGCGCGGCAGGCAGACATATTCCCCAGCCCTATTGAAGCTCCTGGAAAGTCGGATCCAACAATGCGAGTGGCATCTAGAAAGTCTGCAGAAGGGGCTTTCCATTTTGGCACCTGAGCTTGCGCCTACACATGAGACACTTGTTTCTATTTTGCGGTCGACATCTGCTGTTAATACCCGTTCGAAGGTGTGTTGGTGCAATTCATCATATGAGATCCTGGACGTCTATGCTAACCTCAAATGACAGTTCTCGCCATCGGAAGTGACTAGCCTGCGAAAGCAACTGGAGAAGATTCAGGGATCTTTGAAGGACGGTCGATTTGTCGGCGCCGATGGCGCACCTCTTCAGGGTCAGGATTCGCTGAAAGGATTGTTAGAACGATGTTGGCGGTGGACTGAGATTGTTTTGGAGCGGTGCGCACGACTCGTACTTCAAATCAACGGACATTTGGCTGATCAACCGTATAGGGAAGGGCAAATCACCGAAGGATTCCAGGAGCAATACGAACGTCTGGTTGAGATTCGCAATCAGTTGGACCGGCTGTCCGTGACGCAAGCGTGGTCTCTTCGTGAGACAGACCTTTTCGAGTTCCAGCGGAAACTTGATCGCATTGACGAGGCGCGAGTTAACGGAAACTTTGTCAGCCCCGATGGACAACAGGCAGACCTCCATGCACAGCGGGTACGTTCCTTATACCGGGGTTGAAAACTGATTAATGCTGACAGTCTCACCAGACACTCTTGTACCTGATTCGTCGAAGCTACGCATACATCTACGCTCTCCTTATCTCATCCGAACCGGTATCCGAGGCATTGCTGCCAGTATATAATCAGCTGCAAACGTTGCGGCGGTGCTTGTTGGAGGTCAAGGAGTCTGGAGGCGTGTCGAACTCGCGTGAACTTTACCCGTACAGCATGAAGGTTTGTTTCTTTTCAAGTTCCGGAGATCAGGGACACTAGCTAATCTGTCATAGCTCAATTCGATTGACAACATGCGAGTCGACGGCAAGTTCTATGTGGGCAGCGACATTCCCGAAGGCCAGGGCAGCATCAATGCATTGCTCGCCGAATGTTACGATATTGCATGGGAGCTCCGCGCATCGGTAGACGAAGAGGACGAAAGGAGTTGATAGAGCTTGCTCTTCTAATATGTACTTTTGCTGCTTTCCTTTCATCTTTCCCGACTACTACGTGTTTTTATTCTGCTTTATCTATTGTATCTAATTCTGGGGAGGGCTTCTTATCGCTGTACACTGTTTCTTCGGATGGAACTTGCCTTGGGATTCATGATGGCGTTTTACTAGGACATGTGCTTTTGGGATGTTAGTATGGCCCGGTACCTCTATAGGGAGGATACCAGCCCTGATATACATGATGCCATGTAATACATAGCTGTGCTTTGCCATTTATGGAAGTGACAAAAATACAGATACAATACAATACATACCGTAATTCACGGGGAACCGGCATCGGCATGCAGCAGCCAATCAGAGCAAAGGCAAAAGAATTCAAAACCACCGCCTGCAAAAAAAGGCCGATTTTTTATTCTTTTTCTCCCCGCAATATCTTTCTCAGGACCACCAGAAAATAAGGTCGAGATGGTGAGGCAGCTTGTCTGGCAGCGGGCCATCGCCTCTCGGAGGGTGAGTGAATCCATATCTCTCGAATTGAGTCGATTGACTAACGGGCTTTTATGGCATATAGCTGGCACCATGCCTATCGCCACAACGAATGTTCAACCGCCGTGGCCTGGCCACAGAGGCCTCGTCGTCGCGCATGCCCCCCTACGAGAAGACCGTCCAGAGACTCGAAGAAGTCCGCCGGGTGCTGGGCTCCTCGCGCCCCCTCACCCTCGCCGAAAAGATCCTCTACGCCCACCTCGACAACCCCGAGGACTCCCTGATGACCGGCACAAACAACGGCCGCGATATCCGTGGCAATGCAAACCTGAAGCTCAAGCCGGACCGTGTGGCGATGCAGGATGCGTCTGCGCAGATGGCACTGTTGCAGTTCATGTCGTGTGGTCTGCCCTCGACCGCTGTGCCTGCTAGTATTCACTGTGACCATATGATTGTTGGAGAGCGGGGTGCGGATACGGACTTGCCTGCGTCGATCAAGGGAAACGCAGAAGTTTTCGATTTCTTGGAGAGTGCGGCGAAGAGATATGGCATTGAGTTCTGGCCGCCTGGTGCCGGTATTATTCACCAGAGTGTGCTTGAGAACTATGCTGCGCCTGGATTGATGATGTTGGGTACGGACAGTCACACTCCTAACGCTGGTGGTCTTGGTGCTATTGCCATTGGTGTTGGTGGTGCTGATGCTGTTGACGCCTTGGTTGATGCTCCTTGGGAGTTGAAGGCGCCCAAAATTCTGGGTGTTCGCCTGGAGGGCAAGCTGAACGGCTGGGCCAGCCCTAAAGATATCATCCTGCACCTGGCTGGTAAGCTTACCGTCCGTGGTGGTACTGGTTTCGTCATTGAGTACCACGGCCCTGGTGTCGAGACTCTCAGCTGCACTGGTATGGCTACCATCTGTAACATGGGTGCTGAGATGGGTGCTACCACCTCTCTTTTCCCCTTCTCCCCCAGCATGGTGCCGTACCTGCAGGCCACTCACCGTGGCCATGTGGCCGAGGCGGCCTCCAAGGTCGCTGCCTCGGGACCTGGTCACCTGCTGCGTGCTGATGGCCAGGCTGAGTATGACCAGCTGGTCACCATCGACTTGTCGACCCTGGAGCCCCACATCAACGGTCCCTTCACCCCTGACCTGTCGGTGCCTGTGTCCAAGTTCGCGGACCAGGTGCGCGAGAAGCAGTGGCCTGAGACTTTCGGCGCTGGTCTGATTGGTAGCTGCACCAACAGTTCGTACGAGGACATGACCCGTGCGGAGGACCTGGTCAAGCAGGCCGCTGCTGCTGGTCTCCAGCCCAAGGCCGACTTCTTCATCACCCCCGGTAGTGAGCAGATCCGTGCCACTCTGGACCGGGACCAGACCCTCAACACTTTCTCCGAGGCTGGCGGTAAGGTGCTCGCCAACGCCTGTGGACCCTGCATTGGACAGTGGAAGCGGACAGACGGTGTTGGCAAGGGTGAGGACAACGCCATCTTCACCTCTTACAACCGTAACTTCCCCGGCCGTAACGATGGTAACCGTCGCACCATGAACTTCATCGCCTCGCCGGAGCTCGTCACTGCCTTGGCCTACTCGGGCAGCACGACCTTCAACCCCATGAAGGATTCCCTCAAGACTCCTAGCGGAGAGGAGTTCCAGTTCCATCCTCCTACTGGATCGCAACTTCCCGATGAGGGTTTCGCTGACGGCAACCCGTCCTTCAAGCCGACCGCGGCCGTTCCTGACGCCTCGTGCGATGTCGTGGTCTCCCCAACATCCGACCGTCTCGCCCTCCTGGAGCCCTTTGACCCCTTCCCTGCCGGTGACCTCTCCGGCCTGAAGGTCCTGTACAAGGTCAAGGGCCAGTGCACAACCGACACCATCTCCGCTGCTGGTCCCTGGTTGAAATACAAGGGCCACCTGCCCAACATCTCCGCCAACACCCTCATCGGCGCCGTTAACGCCGCCACCGGCGAGACCAACGTCGCCTACGACGACGCCGGCAAGCAGCACGGCATCCCCGAACTCGCTGAGCAATGGAAGGACCAGGGCATTCCCTGGTTGGTCGTTGCTGAGGACAACTACGGTGAGGGTAGTGCGCGTGAACACGCCGCTCTGCAGCCCCGCTACCTCGGTGGCCGGATCATCGTGGCCAAGAGCTTTGCTCGTATCCACGAGACCAACCTCAAGAAGCAGGGTTTGGTCCCCTTGACGTTCGCGGACAAGGCGAACTACGATAAGATCGATGCCTGCGACATCGTGGACACTGTTGGATTGTACGATGTCCTGAAGGCCGGTGGCCAGGGCTCAATTCAGATCAAGGTGACCAAGAAGTCCGGAGAGACGGTGCTGATCCCCGTAAACCACACATTGAGCAAGGACCAGTGTGGATTTGTCCTGGCGGGAAGCGCATTGAACTTGCTGGCCAAGAAGGCTGGTGGCAAGGCATGATTTCTAGTATATTTTCTTTCTGTTATGTTCATACTTCATGTATATGGCGTTAAGTAGTTACGGTTGCATAGATAATGTAAATATGAGGCTTAAAGCCTATGATGCCATTGCCCCACACCCCACAGGTTCATCTAATAACCGGTTCATCCGCGCTTCCCCGGAACCAATTCTAATCAATTTTTCTAACAATTTCTCCTATCTATACTGAACGAGCACAGAAAATCAATTACAATGCCAGAAACAGTACGAACAGCCTTCGCAGACGAACCCCGTCCCCTCCTCTCCTACGGTATTCCCTTCCCCTCCGCCGCAGCCCGCCATGTCCCCGGTCTCTTCAATGCCTCGCGCGTCTACATCATCTGCTCAGGGTCATTGGCTCGCAACACAGACTCCCTAGAGAAATTGAAGAGTACCCTAGGCGAGGATAAGGTTGTTGGTGTGCGAATCGGGATGAAGAGCCACACGCTGTGGTCAGAGGTATTTGAGATCGTGCAAGATGCGAAACGAGTCGGCGCGGATCTACTGCTCACATTGGGAGCGGGGAGTTTAACGGATGGTGCTAAGATTATAGCATTGGTATGACTCTACAAACAACCCAATCTAGAATGGTACTAACGAGTGTAGGCCCTCGCAAACAACATCCAAAAAGCCTCCGACCTCCTCAACCTAACCGCAACCAGCCCTAACAAAAGCTCCATCCACCCACCCACAGTCCCCATAGTCTCAATCCCAACCTCCCTCTCCGCAGGCGAATACTCCAACTTCGCCGGCGGCACTGACGACATCACACCGGGCAGCAACAGAAAACACTCCTTCAGCTACCCAACACAAGGACCGCAGCTGATTATCCTCGACCCGGAACTTACATCTACAACGCCGGATTCGATCTGGTTGAGTACGGGTATTCGTGCTGTGGATCACTGCGTTGAGACGTTGTGCGCTTTGCGCGGTGAGAATGGGACGGATACGTTGGATGCGATGGCGAGACATGCGCTTGGTTTGCTGGTGCCGGGGTTGGTGAAGTGTAAGCGTGACGCGAAAGATCTGGACGCGAGATTGCAGTGTCAGCTGGGGTCTGTGGATGCCATGGCTGCTTGTGCGAGTGGGAGTATTCAGTTGGGTGCTAGCCATGGAATTGGACATCAGCTTGGGCCGTTGGGTGTTGGGCATGGAGAAACAAGCTGTATACTTTTACCAGCTGTGTGTAAATTCAATGCCGCGCATAACGCCAACAATGACCGCCAGGATCTTGTGCGGCAGTTCCTCCTTCATGACGATATTGTCAAGGACGTGCTGAGCCGTCGTGGTGTTGATGAGGACAAGGCTGGTTTGGGCGATGTGTTGGATGCTATCATTCGGGGACTGGGACTGCCTCGGAGCTTGAAGGATGTCGGGGTTGGACGGGAGCAGTTGGATGGGTTGGCGGAGAACAGTCTACACGACCGGTGGTGTGTGTCCAACCCCGTGCCGTTGAAGGAGAAGGGGCAGGTATTGGAAATTTTGGAAAAGGTTGTATAGCTATAGTGAAGTTTATTTGGACATATTCGGTACAGTACAGGGCAGAGACTAGCTATCCTTGTACAGCTTGTATAGCACCTAATTATGCTCATACTCCTCAATCATAAGCATCTGTCTATACGCCCGTTCAGCAACACCCCTAGCCCTGGCCTTCTGCACAAACCGCTTATCCGACATGACAAACCCAAACAGTCTCATCCACTCCCTCCAACGCCCCATACTCCACACTCCCAGTTCAGTTATACCTTCATTCTCTGCCTTCTTATACTGCCCATAAACCCATCGACACTCATCAGGCCGCATGACCCATTGTGCAGCAGAATGTATCAAAATCCCCGGCTTATCCGGTCCCTCAATAGGCTCTTCTTCTAAACCCAGGTATTCAGGGCTATCCGGTAGAAGTTGATGGAGAGCACTGAGACCACTGCAATCGTTCAAGTTCGAGGATGTAAGACGCGCCATTGCAGATTTGGGGTTGCGTAAGCGGTAATTTGCAGACCACACCGATATCTCGTCCTCAAAGTACGTGTAGATACTTTCCCAACTCGCTTCAATCGGTCACAGCGCCATCTTGGGACATGGATCATTAAGATCCCCAGAAGAAACACCGGTATAAGCGTAAACCTCATGTCGTGGCAGATCCTTAGCACCTTCACAAACTCCACCATCCAACTCTGTCCATCATGATACGGCGGATACGCCGTACACAAACGAGCAAGCGACCCAAAAACAACACGGATGTCCCTCCTCGGATCCGGTGCAAAATGGCACATGTCGGTGTCCTTCCATCCCCTGGCATGTTCGTCCGGCGTGATCTTGTACTTGTATTCCTCCGGTCGTTTGATCCATTCAGCGTGTTTGCGCTCCGCTATAGATATAGTTATGGAGTCGAAGTCTTCGGCTACCTCGGCTGGGGGGCGTTTCCGTAGTCTAGGCCTTCTAGGTGGTCTTTCATTTGCTCGGAGTGGTTGTCGTCGTCTAGGGAGTAGAGGAATCGAGGAGGGAGGGGTTTGGTGTCGTATTTATCGGAGTCTTCGGGATTGCGGTACGGGGGCAGGTTGAGGGTTGACATGTTGAGGATTGACATTTTAGAGGTGTTATGCTTAGTGATTGAGGGCGGGGGCGAGAGGTGATACTTCTACCTAGAGTAGTTGCGTAGCACGCGGGCAGATCCAGATCGGAAGGCGCAATGTATTGTGAATTGTTGATTGTTCCTATAGCGCCCATACAAGTGACTGTAATAAAATGACACACGCCATACTCATTCACCTCTATCCATAAAACCCCCCAACCTCGAAAACAACTCCGCCTCCATCCTCTCCCCATCCCCTTTCTCCATAATCGTCCCCATATCATCCGGCTGCGGTCCCAGATCAAACTCCCACGGATTCCCGATATCATTCCCCCTCATAGCCTCCAAAATACACATGCGGAGATGCCATCGCAGAAAGTCAGGGCTAACACGATTGTTAGGGTTGGGCGGGTTATAGCGGACTCTGCGAGTCTGCATCCACCTAGCATCACGGCGTCTTCGCCGAAGCAGATGATCTTGAAACCTTCCTGTGCGTAGATTAATTAATTAGCATTGCCACAATTTATTTAGTTGAGGGATAAAGGAGAAATACATCTGGATCAATACCAATCCTCCACGCATCCCAGATCATATCAATACCCGCCATCAAAAGCAAGCCGTTTTGCGGTGAAAAGATTCTCGAATTACCAACTTCTCTGGGGCTGCTGGTATCTGCAATCCAGCGTCTGTAGTTTTGCGTCTTCCATTCGTTTATCCTACTTACGGAGTAGACATGGGTGCTCGAGAGCCCGAGGAAGGGTCGGTTTTTGGCCCGTAGGCTCTTGCCGGAGATAGCGTATTTGCGGTCTCGTTCACGGAGGACATTGCGGAAATGGCCTTGCTGAATAGTGTTGATTAGATTTCTATAACATTATCCAGGGATAGATAGTTGGTTATCAGACTATCTTGGTTGATATGATCCGAGCTAGGTGGTCTCGAGTATACCCGCCGTGGGGCTCTATCTGATGTCACGTTGATATCCAAGGATCCTGAGTCTGTTACTATTAACATTATATTTCATTTTAGCTATGCTTTAGCAGTTATACTGACCTTCGTCAAGTACTATATACTTCCTTGGCACAACCATATCATGATCGACTTGTCGGAGCAAGTCTCCCGTGGAGCCATCGTTGTTGAGATGGAAAATCCTCCAGCACACGTTCAAAGGAAAGTTGACAATCTCTCGACAGTAACGGTATAGGCATTCTTGTGCTAACATATGGTGATGACTCCCGGATTTCAAGTCCTGCCACAGAATATCAATTAGTCCCGATATATAGTTACACGCCGGCAGTTACTGATCTCCCATGATGTCACCGGTATGGCTATACACGAGAAGGTTCTTTCTGTATAATTTGAGGGTTCGAGATTCCGGGTCATGGCTTGGATGGATTAGATAAAAGGAAATACCAAAGGTGATTATGAGTGATTACGGGGTCTAAGGGATGAGCTTGTTGGGCTGCCCTAGTTTTATATATTTGCATCGCTCAGTCAGCAATACGCAGTAGTTAGTTAACTAGTTAAATTCTATTATGGTATGACCTTACACTATCCGGCACAATTACATATCTATTCAGACAACACAATTAAACAGATCGAATCATCATACCTATTCTAGACGACTGATCGGGTGTATTTCAGGGCAAACGCTGATCTGATATCAAACAAAAAGAAAAGAAATGTATGCATCAAACACCACACATCAAGATATCAAAGTTATCATACTGGACATATATCATACTTGTAAAAAAAGAAAAGTTGTGTGCAAAAACCGAAACCTATTTCCCATTACGTTCCCTCATCATTTCAATTCACTGGAAGTAGCTCCGGACTGTGGCCTGGTTATCCGGATTCACACCCGAAAGAATGTGATCTGCGTTCAGCCCCGTGGCGGCCACGAGTTTCTTTGCAGAGGCGGCCACGCGTGCGGCGGTCTGGCCTTGCAGCGTCTCGGCTTCCAGGGCCTGCACAATATACCCGAATACCTTGTCAGCAGCTGAGAGCACGACGGGGTTTTGCCTGTTTCGGTTAGTAACTGCGTTTATAACATGAAGGAGCAGGAAACTTACTGTTCGATCAATTGTGCAAGGAACGAGTAGGCATATGGTGCTGCCTCCTCGTCAAAAGTGATAGGCAGGGTGTTGATCCAGTTGGCCACAATCTCCTGAGGGTTCTGCACCTTGCTACCGTTGAAGTGCAAGATCTTGGCAATACTGGCCGAAGCGTTCTCCGTCGCAAACAAGTGCTCCTCCGTCCGAGACTGGTGAATCTGCGTCACCTGGAGGAGGCTGGGAATACTGGCTGCAACAAAGTCACCCCAAGCGGGGCCACCCTTCTGTGCGGCAACACCAACTCCGTAGGCGGCCGCTTGCCGGTTGGCGGCGTTCTCGTCCTGCAGACCTGCGGCCAAGGGTTGCATGATGTGGTCCTTGTAGTTCCAAGCTTCAGCACCGCAGAACTCCAGCACATCGTCCATGATGCACAGAGCCCATTGCCGCTGTGTCGGATCGGCGCTGGTGACGAATGCATCATAGAAGGGAAGCAGGCGCTGCCACGACGGCAGGAATGTGTTGCCTTGGTTCTTGAAGATGGTGTGGAACGCCTTGTTCATATCGCTGAGCAGGTTCTGGTCATCCTCCACTGCGTATTCATATTCGAGGTCCTCCTCACCCTCTTCCGCGTCGGCCTGGTCTTCCAAGCGAGCCTTCACACGCAGCTGGTAGTCTTCCAAAGTCGACTTGGCCGAGTCGATGAAGGCCTGCATGTGTTGTTGGGTCAAAGAGTTCTTGCCCACCACTTCGACCGATTCGTAGAAGCACTGGTACATCTCTGCCAAGGTGTCCACTGTGGGTTCCGCGCTCAGCACCTCAACAATCTTCTCGCCAACCTTGTTCCACATCTCTGCGAACCCAGGCGACTGGTCACCGTGGGCCTTCTTGTACGAGTTCAGCAGCTGAGGAATGAGCTTAGCCGACGACACCCGCACAGGGTCGTGGAAGAAGAAAGCAAGTCCCGGGACGGCAATCTTTTCCATAGTCTCCAGCACGTACGGCTCGAACGCGGCTTCCAGGATCTGAGCGTAGATGGTGATCAATTCAATAGCGGTGTTCTTGTCCTCCAAGGCGCTGGTCTTGATACCGATGACCTTGCCCTTGAGCGGCACCAACTCCCAGCCCTCGTCTTGTTCGACCTGGTCGATCTGGTCTTCATCGTCCAACAGCTGGATGTCAGCCTTGGCAGCCGCAACAGCCAAGAGCGGTGGCATAACGCCAGGGAGGTATGGGACAAAGTCAGGGCCCAGAACACGGCACATCCGACCCCAGCAGTGGAGCAGGTACTGCGACTGCGGGTCGTCCGCATCGACGATGTTTTGCTGGATGTGACCGAGCAGCTGCACCAAGTTCAGGGCATCCTGGCCCATCTTCTCCTTACCCACGGCCAGCGCAATGAGCGTGGCGCACTCCATGGCCTTAGCACGCAGCAACCGGTACTCCTTGGACTGCTCCTCCTTCAGGACATTGAACAGCAGCGGCATCAGGGTTTCGTAGTAGTGAGCGAACGCAGTCTCGGCGGAGTCGGCGATCGTGGCAATGGTCGACAGAGCTTGCTCCTGCACATACCGCTTCGGGCTACGCAAGAGCAGCAGGAGATGCTGAAGAAGATCGGCCAGGTATGGCTCAAGGACTTTCCGCTCTGCCTCCTCACAGAAGTTGACCAGAGCTGCGGCAGCGTGGGCCTGAACGCGAGGCTCTGGGCTGTTAAGAACGGGGATGATGTTGCTCAACACAATTGCGTGGTACTTCTCCTGCATCGTACCGGCGAAATCGGTACTCATCTGACCCAGAGCGTTACAGCCAGCATATCGGACACGGGGGTGAGGGTCTTGGAGGGCAGGGACAACGAGCGTCAACACCTGGTCGAGCTCGCCAACCATAAGATCGCGGCATCCTTCGGAGATGGCGGAAATGGCCATCAGAGCCGCGTGGCGGTCACGCCAAGCAGAGGAAGACATCATCCGGGGGATCCATGAGAAAGTGGCAGGGAGGATAACCTGACCACCGAGCTTGTTGGCTAAACGGTCCATGCACTGTTCACCGGCAACGTGGTTGAGGTCGCTCTCCTCGAGATCAAGCTATACAGCATCAGTTATTCGCATGTCCATATTCAAGTCAGAACGCAGAGGCTTACATCTTCGGAGGTGTTCCACTCCTCGGCGTCATCATCGTCGATTCCAATGTCAGTCATCAAGCTGAGACACTGCGTGACCATCTCCTGTGCGAATTCGGGATCCTTCTTGCATGTGTTGGGTGCGTAGTCGGCGAAGGTAGCCATCAATTCCAAGGCATTCTGGCGGGCTTGGTCGCTAAGCTCTTTGTCGGCAACAACACTAACGCTGAACTTGAGCAGGTTGTTAAACATGCCCTTAAACATCTTCGGGCAAATTTCCGCGAGCTCAATGAGAGCCACAAAGGACGAAGACAGCTCGTCGCTGTCCTGTGCCTCCTTCAGAGGGGGGAGAACATTGAGCAGGTCGGGCATGAGGGGAAAGAACTTGGGCTGGGACTTCTTGGAGATCGAACGGAAGAAAGCAGCGAAAGCTTCCATGGCTGCGATGCGCACCTGCACATAGTGTCAGCTCAACTGAGCCCCAGAGAGCATGAAGTCGCGAATGCCCGGCATACCGAAGGATTGTCATCCTTGAAACCTTTGCCGAAAACACCCAAGACGGCATCCTCATGCTGCTTCTCGATAACGCTGGGGGTGGTCGAGAAGATGCGGAAGGAGGTTTCGCGCAAGCCCGCATCGTCGGGGGATTGACTGGCGTGGAAGAGAACCCCAAGTAGTTCCGGCCATTGGTCTCCTATAAAACGCAAGAAAACCGTCAGAAAAATCTCACCCTCGCTTGCACTCGTTGCTTAAATCATATTGCCTACCGTTGTCGGTGTATTGTCTCGCGATTTCGGCCACGGCATCGCCAATCTTCTTCCGAACGTCAGTGACCGACTCGCCGGTCAAACAGGACACCAGCTTCTGACGGATGACCAATCGCTGTTCTCCGGTGAGGGTCGAAAAAAGTTCTTTGGCTTCGTTCGTGACGGGGTCTTTCCTTGTCTTGGTGGCTATTCTTCGGAAAAGCACTGCAGCGAATGTGCGTGTCTGTTGTTGAGAGGAAATAATCAATACAACCGAGATCCAGTGATTGTACACGGATTAAGAAAATAATAAACGGAGCAAGGGAGAGACAATTTTGGTCGTCCCGTAAGGAGCGAGTAATTCCCCCAATGGGACCAGTATCTCCCTCTCCTCCGACCCCGTGGAATTAAGCCAAGCCAGCATGACTTACTATTGTGTCCTCAGCAGCCTGAATCTGCTCCACCAAACCCATCAACAAGACATCGGGACGGTTCAGAGCCCAGTCATTATTCAGCTGTTCTTCGGCCTGGGAGCGGACGGCGTTATCGGCGGTGGTCAGGGCGCGCAGCAGCTGGCCCAGCGCGGAGTGGACCTCGGGAGGGAGTAGAGACATGATTGTTTGCTCGTTGTTTCGTAGGGTGATTGTTGCTTTAGAACCACACTGGTTTCCCGTTCAGGAACAAGAACTAGTTCGAGAAGATCGGAAGTCTCAAAAACGTTAGACCCAAGTGGGGAGAGGGGTGTCGTTTTTTTCTTTTTCTTTTTTGGTGGTGGGGGGTATGAAGAAGGGAGTTCTTCACGGAGTCGTCACGGGAAAATAGGTCAAATAAAAGCGGAAAAAAGAGCTTTCAAAACCAGGAACAGCTCAAATGCAAGAACAGCATCCCAGCCGGGCAAAGAGCACGAACTGGACACGGATAACGAGGAAGGCGTTGGAGATCGCGGTGGGAGGGAGAAAACAGAGGAACGTCTGAAAAATTCCCAGCCTCGAACAAAGCCCGCGCTAGGCCCAATCGGGTGATTCCAGGCACTCAGGCATAGATTCTACCATTGCCTCTGAGACTATATTCAGAACATCCTGCACTGTATACAGAATACTAACCATTGATTAGCTCTACGACGATTACAATTATCTGAATCATGGTGTCAGTGTAAGAACCGCATGTCTTTGTATCATCAAACAGCACTTAATGCTGTGCGGCAAGCATTTATACAACCCTGTCCTCCTCTCCATCTTCCTATTTTATATAGACTCGTTTGACTTTCCTACCTTTTTTGAGATGCCAGAGCGACGATATAGCCTTAATGAGAATGCTTGCTATGCGAATGACTCAACCATACGACAAGAGAAAACCGCGAATTCCATACATCAAAACCCTGGCTTGAAGCTGACTTTGCAGACACGGCAGCAACGATCATGCCGGGGACGCGGGAATGTTTTCTACCTGGGTTCATTGTCAAGAAATGGTTGAGAAGTAAACGCAAGCGATTACAAAACATAAAACAATAAATATTTACAGGATCTTCTAACTAACAATATATGCATTGAATGCAAGAAGCTCTAGCCACACTAAGCAACAGCGGTATCTGGAGAATTACAAAAATTGGTAGCCAAAATAGCAACAGAGGAGACATGGCAGAAGGGGATCAAAAGAGTGAACGGCGGGCAAAGGATATATCGCTCTGGACGGGAGGGATCTATGTGTGTAAAGATAAGAAGGCCTCCTAAAGGAGCCCTTTTCGCTGAAACGAACAGGAGGGGAAACGGTAGAGAACGGAGTGGGGGGAATGAGGGGAGAGGTAAGAACCAATTACAGAATACGGAGCATGAGGTCTACCATTACCGTCCGCTGGGCCGGCTGAGGATAAACACACCGGCGATAACGGCAGCAAGGGTGACAATGGCACCGGGGAGCAATAACTCATTCGGCACACCGGCAATGAACTGCTCCTCCGGAGGGTGAGGGTGCGAGTGGAACGAGTGGGCGCGGGTCTGGCTCACAACAGGAGGCTCTTCGGGCAACGCGGCCTCCACGACACTCTTCTCTTCAACAGGAGTAGCGGTCTTGATAGGTGCGGGTTGAGGTTCGACTGTGCCAGAGACAGGAGGCTGTGTAGGATCGTGGACGAACAGGTCGACCTTATCCCGGTGGGACTGGTGAGCGAGGGCCACGGCATCCGTCAGATCCTGATCTGTGGTGATCGAAACGGTGTCACCCTCGTTATCCAAGTAACTCAGGGCATATCCGGTGTTGCTGAGCCTGCCATCTTCGCAGTCGGCCGCACCGCCAACTGCCTCAACTTCAGGACCCAACTTGGCAGTCACCTGAGTCACCATGTCGGCAAGACCAGCGGAGGGAAGGACGTTCACACGGTGCACCCGGCCGCTTGGTGCCTTGAACTTGAAGGGGAACGCATGCTCTTCTTCGTGATGGTGAGCCTCAATGATCTCAGAGTGGTCATCTCCCTGATGCGATGCGGATTCGTTAGGCATCACACTATCGCGATGGTCGAAACTGTGCTTGTGAGAGTCGGGACTGAGCACGGAACGATGCGCCGTGTGGGGATGGTGACTGCCGGAGACAACCTGACTGCCAGAGACCACCGAGTCGGATTCGTTGTCCATCGACAACCAGAACTTATTCCAAGCCGGGCCCTCATCATCCTGAGTGCCCATCGAATTGATCTGATAGCGAATGGTCAGCTTATAGAATACTAGATTACCCAAGTGGTACTAACTTGTTCCAGTGTGGCATATGTGAGTTTGAGGACATCCACCATTCCAACAATCTCACCAGATTCGTTCATCACGGGCAAGTTCAGATAGTGACCATCTAGTTTTTCATTAGTGACAAGTCCAATCGTTTTTGATCCTCCAGGTAATAACTCACCGTGCATCTTTCTGAGAGCCGCCTGGATACTCATATCGGACGGGGCAAAGTCGGGATGAGGGGTCATGACACGGACCACACTGCAAGTGGACGGGTCAAGTCCTGGAGCAATCACACGAAGGACGACATCCTTGCTGGTGAAGATACCGGTAATCGATCCCTGGTCCTGGACAAGCAAAGCGGTGGTGCGGTTCTCCTTCATCGCGGCGGCGGCATCCTTAACGGAAGTGCGGACAGAGACGGTGACCGGCGGCATACCGTCCAGGACAGTCTCCAAAGTCGGACCCGACATCTTCTGACGCAAAGCCTCCACATACTGGATGATCTGCTGGGGTTGGGAGGAGCCCAATTCACTCTGCACGCCCTCCAGTGCATCGTATAACTTCCGGGAAGAGCTGTAGGCACGTTCGAGTTTCTCCATCGCATCGTAAAAGCACTTGGTGATATCGAGGACACCGGAGATATCCTGGTTCTCGTCCATAACCGGGAGATGTCGGAAACCCTTCCGGACCATCAGATCGAGCGCATCCGTCGCACTGGTATCGGTTCTCGCACACAGGGGGTTCTTCGTCATAATCTCGGAAACCGCGACCTCTCGGGCCTTGGAGCCAATTCCAACCACACGGAAAGCCAAATCCTTAGCCGTGAAGATACCGGCAATTCGATCGTCATCGTCGGTAACCAGTACGCAGTCCTCCCTCTTGGCGGCCATCAACTGAGCAGCTTCGGAAATCGTGGTGCTGGGCTTGATCTGAAGAGCCTGACTGGGTTTCAAGGCCAGCACCGTGCCGGGAGGGGCCTTGCGAGACCGTTGTGCCCTTCCCGTGGTATGCCTCTTCTTGTTCAAGTCGGCCTCCAGCCTGCGTCGAATCGCCTAATCATATGAGAGATAATCATGATTAGCATATGCAAGACAAAATAGAAAATTTAGAATAAAGACACTTCGGTCCCTCTTGTTTATAGCAACATCCCGAGGACTGTTCACAGCATACCTCATCGCGCTTCGACTGATTCTGTCTTTGCCTACTGCTAGCGGCACTCATGCTGGTACTGCCAATATCGCTAGAAGCTGCGGGTGTTGCGGTAGAGTGAGGGCGCGGGATCTGAGAAGCTGAGATGACAGATGCGTTGTCGAAGTCCGGCACTCTGCTTCGGCCGCTTGATCGGTGATTCTGGTTTCGAAAAGTACTGCTGCCAGTGGTCGACATATTATTTTTCTAACCGACAGACCGCTTTCTGCACAAGAAGGAGGTTCGAGCCCAACGAGAGGTGCGAGGGATGATACGTGGAGAAACAGGGAAAACAGGCCAAACACTCCGGTGGGGAGGGGTATGATAGGTGGCAGCAGACGCTAAGAAAAACGGTATGTTCGTCTGTAAAGATATGTATGAGTGATAATACCGAATGCGTTGATCGGATCAACCCAGACAGTCTTCAATACTCGAAATAATAGTATAGATAATAGAATGAGAGAGTAGTAGAAAGGCACAGGAGGGAAACACCCAGTTGTGCGAGGGAAAGCAAGGTGATCCGAACAGGGGGAGAGGCACCAAAAAACAATAATACAAGTACGCAGCGTTACCCGTTGGTCGGGTTGGATTCCTGACGGTACGGTAACTGTGGTACGGGCGGCCGCTAAGCCGTTTCGGGCTCACGGATTCGCTGGTTCGTGCTGTCAGGTGATAATGCTGCCTGAGAAATTATTCGCCTTATCAATCAGGCATAAATGATGGCATTTGTTCCTCAGGCAGGTATCCCGTGACCCAGCTCGCTTAAGGGCATAGGGCTTCGCACAAACCGGGGACACAACCACATCGCGAGCCTCCGTTTCATAGAGGTGTGTGCCTTTCGACAACCCACCCCCGACAGCCAACCTTTGTCCAGATAAATCCGACAAGATGGTCAAGAAGCGTGCGAGCAAGTAAGAACGATTCCTTTTCCTTTTTTTTCCTTTTCCAGTTCAACACGCTGCCATTTCAACAACGTTATACGGTCCTCCGCCGAAGAAAAAAAAAGAATGACGGTCTACGGGTTACATATCGACTATCTCCCACCGTGTTCATGATGGCAGCAAAAAGGCGTTTTCGATTTCGACATAGATATTTTTTTTTTGAATCAGGAAAACTGACTTGATTTGTTTCTCCCAACAGCGGTCGTAACAAGAACGGCCGCGGCCACGTCAAGCCCGTGCGCTGCTCCAACTGCGCCCGCTGCGTCCCCAAGGACAAGGCGATCAAGAGATTCACTATCCGCAACATGGTTGAGTCCGCTGCCATCCGTACGTTCGATCCTAAATCCCCCGAAGTTGAACCGGCAATGGAATGAATGCATGCAACGCGCTCTGGGAGAGGAGTTGGGTCTTTAGAATGGGAAGGAGTGGTGGATTATTGAAACGAGCTGCGCGATGATTGCTGAGCGGTGCATGCATTCATACATTGATGGTGGCAGAGTTTCGTCCATGACAGCCCGGCTGACCTGCGTTTTCACTTATGCAGGTGATATCTCTGACGCCTCCGTTTTCACCGACTACGCCGTCCCCAAGATGTACCTGAAGTTGCATTACTGTGTCTCCTGCGCTATCCACGGCAAGATCGTTCGGTACGACATCATCCCTTGAACTACATACTTCGCGAAGGTTATAGAAACAAGCGACTGACTGAATTACAGTGTCCGCTCTCGGGAAGGCCGCCGCAACCGTGCTCCCCCGCCGAGGATCAGGTACAACAAGGATGGCAAGAAGCTGAGCCCCCCTCAGGCCGCTAAGGCTATGTAAGGAAAGGACACGAAAAAAAGAAATAAATGGATTTAGGCTGTCAATTTCTATTTTGTGTTTCCTAAAATAAACTTCTCTTGCATGGTTCCAATGGACAAAAATCGGGGTTTCTGTGCTCTTGGGGGTTTTGCAACAGGCGTCGTCCGCGCGATGATTTAATGGTTTGCCGTGGGACAGGAGTCGACGACAATAATACTCAAAAGAGAATGAATTGAAAAAAATTATGATATCGGCTTGTCCATGGTCTTGGGATTGATTACGGGAAGAACCGAGACTGGAAGGGAAATGTTTCTCCCTAGATCTCTCCAACCCTAGGTACAGACTACCACAATTGAGGGCAACGAATTATGCCTCTACGTTTCTTTCTCAATCATTTCGCTTTTCGTAGCCTAAGACTTGTCAATTCTGTGGCTATCCTAGTGAGCCCTAATCGAATTTGATAGAGTACCTGAGATTCGTTAACACAGAACTTGCACTATAGGTGCTATGAGTCCCCAATCGCTTCGAAATCGATCATTGTCAACCTCCGCGTTTCTGAAGTCAAGCCAGACCCGGTAGCATGACGTGGTAGCATGTTACGAATTCGTGATTCGAGCTGCACGACGAAGTTGGACGCCAGCATGGAATCGAATGACACCCAATCCCCATTGGGTCTGAAATGTTATAGAAAGGAAGAATGACACAGCAATCGCCCGATGTGCTTTCGACACTCGGGAAGAAGGTGGGTCGATTTCGGGATGCCGTGAATGAGTGCATTACACCCTCTGGGTAGCTGGCAGGAAACAGAAAGAATATCGTCGTCGAGACCATGTAAACGTGCTGAGCGGTCTCCACTGTTTTGCTCAGGATCTCATTGAAGAAAAGCACGAAGCCATTGAAGCTCGTATGCAATTCTTTGGGTAAGGACATGTATCTCCCTTCCACTTCCGGTTTGACTTGCATTTTCGTGGACGTGATATATTCAAAGCTCGAAAATGATTTAGCCCTTTCAAGCTGCCGTCCGCGCACTTTTGCGGTGAGATCGAGCTCGCCTGTGATCTCCATTCTCATGAGTGTTTTATCTGAACTAGAATGCTCATACTCCACGTAGACATAATATCCGTGGGTTGCTCATCCATACTAAAAGTGGTGCCGTCCACTGCTTGTGTTATCTCGAAGTCGATCATCGTCATACCCCCTGTGCGAGGCTGTCGTCCAATTTTATTAGAACCTTGCCGCTTGATCCTAGTAGGTCGTGAATTCAATGGGGACTTATATTCTTCACTTGTCACACTGGGTGTATGAGAATGCGGAGGAAATTCGATGCTCATGTGCAGGCTAGACCATTATTTATTCTCGTTCGTAACTAGTCCCTCCATAACCTTGACATGCCCACAACATCAAACGGGGTGATAGGTCTCAATTCGACAGTAACAATGCCGGCTTAGCCTTGGCTCCTTCATATCTCCTCATTGAGGTTTGACCGCAGTATGGTTGTGGCGGTTCAATTGTTAAAGTCAGGCGGGTTTTGATAAAAATCTTCGGCCTGTCCCAAGAGCCAATGTCCGGAGCGCTTCATCCACGGATCCCCGCCAGTATATAGAAAGCATGCCCTCAAATCCCCAAAGACAAACAAAGTGCCATAAAAGGGGCAACTTGAATTGATAAGGCTGCGAGGATTCGTTGAACTCAGCGTCTAAGTTCTGAGCTATACCGAAGTATGTGAGAATGCCGACATTACACGGCCGACGTTTTGTTGGAATCATCATCGACTTCCCATTCTGTTTCCACAACATAATGTTTATATGCCTTCGAACAACTAGTTAGCTTGATTTCCGTAATTCCAGGATGTTAAGGTCTTGGAATTACGGGCTGTCGTCACCAACTGTCTTTGGCGAATCAAGGCGAAATCATTTGCTTCACAGCAGCGCACAGTATTGGTTTCCTTCGCGGTCTCTTTACCTCGATTATTGCTTGGATGTGCTTGCTCTAGGTTCCTGGGTCTCCGTCCGGGGAAGCTCAGAAGAGCAGGTTATTATGCCGTGGTAACATAGGGATACTGGCTCCCATTTCTCTATCACGATCTTGGGCCGGCTACTACTAGTGATCGAGACGTGATCACCACTAAACCACCCGGTTTTACCAGCCATCTAGTAAAAGCCGAAGAGCTTTTGAACCAGCTCTGTTTAGGCTAGCTATCTTTGGGGGTATTTTTCTCGGTTTTTCCATGGTATATCCAACTTCTAAGCTTGTGATAGAAGATTGCAAGAGCTCAAACAGCTTCTCTTCCACATCAGACTCAGAACTGAAGTTGCTGACTTCGTGGATTGTCTTCTCCCTGGCAAATCCATACAGATACGATTGACGCTTGGTCTCGTTGGTGAATCTGCATACTGAATCCTCATAGACGTCGAGTCAGCTTCGTGGAGTCAGCTTTATGCAAATAGTGAGAGAACTCACACATATCTCGCGACTAACTTGGCTGCGGGGTTTTATAATGGCAAACTGGCCAAAGTTGAGCAAAAGGAGGAGCTGTGTTTGCCCACGAGATGATCAGATTCTGATACTAATGCACTCAGTTCTGTCATTAACTTCTGGGTTGCAGATAGTGATGTGAAGTTGGAATATATGGGTACCATGTTGCGTATCTTGCTCAAGAGGTGAATTCGGCAGTCTTGAATGGTGTCCTGAATCTATTAAGGCATATGTATCGGTAACAATCGCGCGCAATGACTTCAATGCAAATAGCGCTTTTCTAATGCGCAGCTCTCATGAACAGCACGATCATTTTGCGAGCGTAGCCACAAGACGGCGCCTTATATAGCTATATAACCATCGTACCAGCACGAGCTGAGGCAATACACAACCCGGGCCGGGACTTCGATTTCGATTTCGACTCCTATTTTGTAGCCAAAAACCAGGTTAGCTAAAATAAAAGAGGACCATACAGATATAGGAAATACCACAGACCGACAATGCAGATAGTAAATATCAGTTTGTTCATTCTTCCTTCAACCCTATGCCCGTCTTGTCCCCGATACTGGCTTACTCCTGGGCGAGATAAAAGACAGGCTGTGGCGGGTGGTAGCTCGATGGTGTGTGGATAGCCAGACACCATGCTTCCTGATCTTGCCAGTCTCCAAGCCCGTTTTGATTTTGCCTGGCCATTGTTTGTTCAAGTAGCTCAACTCCCTGGGTCACCACAGAGTCTCCTGCTCGCCATTATGTGGGGGAGCGAGCGCTCTCATGGCGGCGCTTCGCCTCAATAGAGGCTTTGTGGAGGAGAAAAATACAAGGTCAAAGATTTATATAGCTGGATATAGAAGGGTGACATTTCGTATATAGATAAAAGATTTGACCCTGCCAAGTTTGTCGTGGTGAGTTCTGACATAGGGATGTTGCTGGTTGCCAGGTACAATGAATAGCGGTGGATTTATTGTACTAGAAATGAGCCTGGACCCGGATTATAGACTTAAGAATAGTAGATGTTATATATGGGGCTCATATATACCATGGCGGCAGTCTGCCTCTCATAGAGCACAGGATGGGGGTGGAAAAGAGGAGAGGAGAGAAGAAAAGGTGAAAAATGCAAATATCAGTAGGAGGGATTGATTCACGTGAATAGCCCAGTACAATGCGCGTTTGCATGCCTCGCGCGTTTGCAACCGGCATTACTCATTTAGGAAGGCCTAGAGTGCAACATATCAACCTATAGAGATGTATACGGTACAATTCATCACCAACCTATATAGCCACAAAAAAATGCGAACAAGCTATCAAGGATATAAATACCCCTTCTCAAAATAATTCCCATACATATCCACCACCCCACTCCGACCTTTGGGCGCCGGATTCTTAACAATCTTCACCTCCCCCTTCCAATGCCCTTCGACATAATGCGCCATAGCCAAATGCGGAGCCGATACTGTACTCGGAGACAGCGAACGGGATTGAACGGCTGGTAACGACGGGGAGGGAGAAAGTAAGCTGGTACTCGATCTTGATCTTGTGTCTATGCTCGGGTTTGGGCTCATTCGAGACATGTTTTTTCGACTGAGACGGTCGCGTTGTAAGAGAGCCTCGTATTCGGCTTTTTTGGTGCGTCGGAAGGAGGCTAGTTCGGCAACGAGGTCGACCATTGGAACTTCGACTGGGCGTTGACTACGTCTGTCGTCTGCGTAGCTTGAACCTACGGTTGGGCTGCTGATGAGCGAATTAACTCGTGAGCGGCCACTGCGCTGTGAATTATTCCGGCTCGGTGGCAGCAAAGTATCCCGCCCTAAGCTCCCGGGGGACATAGAACCGTCATCCTCGGGCATCAATGTGACTTTCTCATTAAGAGCAGCCATAGGGAAGTACTTCCCCGGATCATTTTCAGGGATTCCGCACTCGGTTTCAAAGAAACTAAAATCATCCAGTGCGGCTGACCACATGTTCTCTAAGTCTTGGTCTCCCGTGCTGGAATTGAAAGCTCCGCTGCGATATCCAGCAGCCTTCCATGAGCGTTTCAACTCAGACAAGGGGGTGATTTCGAGGACCAAGCGGCGTAGTGCAAAGAGGGATCTGGACCGAGCTTGTTCAGCTCGAAGCCGTGCTTGACCAGGAGGCAGCGAATAATCCGACCCTGCCTGAAGCGATGCTAGCAATGCTTCATTAGAACAGGCGGTGATGAACCGACACAGAAATGAAAGTATAGGGGAATTGACCGGCACGTGCGAAGGCACATCGGTCAAGACCAGAGTCTCAAGATGGGGAACATGGGATGGGTGTAGATAGGGATGCTTGCTATCTTTGCGATCTTTTCGGGGAATAGAAAGGTTCTTAGGTCTCTTGCTGAGCAACTCTTGAATCTTTTGGCCATATGGCCCATCTACAGATGGGCGTGTGGTAGGACTGATGACCTCTGGGGCTTCGTCATCATTGTTTGTCGCCTGTGGAGGCTCGACTACCTCTGGTGCGAAAATTGATCCGCGCTTTAGCTCTGGCAATGGCTCATCTGCATATATCTGTAACCCTTGAACTCTCCCGGCAAGGGGAGGAGATTCTATGGGCCGCGAGACGGACGTATCCTCAAGCTCGGCGATAAAGTTTTCCTCTGAGGGCAGTTCATGAATCTCATGAGTGGCACTCAATTCTGCGGGCGCATGATTCGGTTCAAGCTCGATCTCTGGACCAGAACCTGCAAGCTCAGGGAGAAAAACATTTGGTGAAGTGAAGTCTTTGGACGGTGCTTCAGCTGTGACAACAGCATGGTGAGCCCGAATATATGTAAGGCTTTCTTGCGCAACAGACCCCAGAAGGGGTATCAACTTCTCAGAACCGGGGAGTTCCTCGAAGCTGGGTGAGAGATCCTGTGCCTGTCTATTCAAGGACTTGGCCGTATTGACCGTACCTACATCCAGAGAATGAAGCCGTCTTGAGGCTAGCAGACTTGCAGCACCTTCAACCGTGATCTGGTTGTCGGCGAGATAGAGATGTGTTATCCCCACATGCGGCAGACTCTCAATCCAAGAACGGCCTGTAAGAGGCTGTGTGAGAGTTTCTATAAACTGTTCATCCAGATCTGACCGTCTGAAGAGGTGAGCAGAGGGGTCCGACGAATACGGAGACGCATCATCTGCTTGTGGGCGAGGCAAGAAACATCCCTGCAACAGAGACCGCACTCCCATATCAGTGAGGAAGTTATTCCGCAAGTCTAGATACCGGACCCTAGTCCCAATGGCATTAGCCAGGAACTCAGCATGACTATCCCTCAGTCCGATTCCCCGTAACTTCAACACCTGGAGGTGCTCGAGCTGAGATAGACAAGACAAGACGCTGCTGTCTCGAGCAGGCGTGGTCCAGGATAAATCCAAATATATCAGTTCTTGAAAGTGCAACAGAGCCTCTGCAAGACCCTGAGAAGTGGTATTCGGTTCGTGCTCTGCTAGCAGCAGGCGCACATTATACGCATCGGCTGGTTGTGCATATTTCACCGAAGTCTTCAATGCTGTCATGGCATTATGGTCGAAAAACGGCAGTCTGGACACTATCAACGATTGGACACATGGCAAGTATTCGAGGATATCTCTCAACCATTCTGGTCTCGGGCCACCGTATATTTCCGATAGTGCAGGAGGGAGATGGAGCGTATGGGTCAACATTCGCACCTCGACGCGGGCGTATTTCAGGGTTCTTCGGAACCTAGTCAGAGCAACTGTTCATATCAGCGAATGTGAGCTAGATTTGGTGTGTTTAGATCCGCTTACCGTAGACCGCATCATTATCCGTCCCAAAGTGCGACGCCGGATTCCCCCAAAGAAAAGGCATAAAAAGCTTGTGCCATCTGCGACAGACTAGTGAAGCGGCGCAGAGATCGGCCGATGGGATATATTGAGCGATCACAGCCCAGGCATCTCGGGCCGTGGCAGTCTCGTAAGATGGAGGGACGACATCCATCTTATGCGGGGCAGTGTATAAGAGGCATTCGAGAGCAAACCAGTCCGGAGAAACTCATTTCAGAGCAAGAGAGATTTCTGTCGCTTACCAGCAGCGTAATATGTCGCATGTGCGGACTGCAATCTGACATGAAGCTTCGCGTCGACGATCGCTGTCGGGCGCAGAACCAGCCCCATTGTGTGTGCCCCGCCACGTATAGTATCAGCAGGGCGAAGAGACTGACGCTGTATTGATTAAAACAAATGCTGTAGCTCCGATCCTATGCGGATGGCTGTTAAGAGACGGGGTCAAGAGTAGAGAGGAGAGAACGCTGTCGACCAGGAACTCGAACCATTCGGCGGACTGAGTGGAACAAAGTACTCCGTATATCAGCACAACACTAGAGCAACTAATAGACACTGTGGTTAACGTCTTTCTCTGCAGAAACTCGGACAAAGACCTTCCCTTTTCAGCAAACGTGAAGCTTTTGAGTCAAGTGATCAACCTCAGCCGTGACGTCAGTCACCGCTCCTCCTGTTCGACCGTTCTTCACCCCTGAAAAAGCCGAACTTCCCCAGATCCACGATCCGCTGTTTGAAACACTGGCCATCTTAGCAGCTGTGCTATACATACTAGCTGCTCATACATGCATGAAAATGGACCCCTGGCAACGCAACCTCCGCATGATGCACCATCTCAACGAATTTCTCGATCTCGACTCGGCCAAATCCAACGTCGTCGATGAATTCGTTTCCCTCTTCAACGCCATCCGAGAAGGTCTCACGCACATCGACGACGATTTCCAGATCCCCGATTCGCAAATCAACATGCTCTTCCTGTCGAAATTGAAATCGCGACCGGAATGGGCTGATTGGGCGACGGCTTTGCTGCGCGATCCGCAGGTAAATGGTTCTGACTCGACGGCGCGGATCTCGTTTCAGGAATTGGCCCGCTGGGCTAGAGAGGAGGAGAAGGCGATTCGGGTGCGAGAGGAGGGGGAAGAAGAAGAAGAAGAGGAGGAGGAGGAGGACGATCATGACTCGGGGATTGAGCTACCGGTTCAACCACCGCCGTCAACGTTGCCGGCTGATCGTGAGAGCGCGATTGATCCGTTGGGTTGGGGTGGTGCTGCGCCGAGGATACAGAGCAGATCTCGGGCGCTTACGCAGGATGAGATCAACGCATTTGTCGTCCAGAAAATGGACCAGGAAGGGCTCTACAGAAGCGGGAGTACCAGAGGTCACCGCAAACGACCTAGTCAAGAGGAAATCAATCAATACGTGGTTGAGCAGATGCACAGAGAACAAGATCGGGGAACGCGAGCGCGAAGCTACAGCCAGCCAGAGCCAAGGATCGCAAATCGTCACCACCAAGAACAACACATGCGACGTCAGCAGTCGGCACGAGTCCCTCGTTGCAGGTTCTGCAGTGATCTCCATCCGTCGGATCGTTGTTGGCGTCGCTGGAGAGTTGCTGTCGAGGCACCCCAGGCTAACTTCTTTCCCAAGCGAGTGGAATACCGTACTGAGGTTCCTGGTCAACCGCCCATGTATCGCACTGGGTTTACTCTCTACTGAACGCATTTTCCTTCTTTGCATTGTCCTCTTCTGTCCTTTCTGCTGCTTCTTTGCTGCCTCTTGCTTTCTTTTCTTTTGTCTATTCTGTTAGCTGAGCATGGCGTTTTGGATCGGTTATATCTGCTTGCAAGAACACTGTGATATCCGGCTGCTGGACAGCCAAGTTTTCTTTTGTATATGCATCCATCTATCTACCTAGTCTCAATAATATTCAAGAATGAATTCAGAACATACCAGTGGCCCGATGATACGGAAGGGTTGGGAATCCTAGGTGACGACCCTCTAATTCCTGGAAAGTAGCATCGTTCTTACGCGCCGCCGCCGAAGTCGCTCCGTTCGCATCCAGCTCCATTTTCCGCAATCTCGCCTGGATCACCACGCAGCTCTCGGACCATGCGCACACGGGACCTGGCAAGCCCTCAGTCAGAGCATATGGGTTATCCGGCATACGGTAGTCACTGCAAGAGGCGTTGTAAGGAGCCGTCTCGCGCACGTGGAGCAAAAGAGTCAAAGCCTTGGAAAGAAAGTAGTCTCCCGTGAGCTCTGGCTGCACACTCGAGATATCGGTTTGCGTACGCGCTTGATAGTTGCGTTTCGCCTGCGCGGCCAGCTCGCTGTCATACTCGAAGCAATCGTGCATAAGCAGCACCGACCATGCATTGCCTGCAATGCCGTGGCATAATCCGCCGCCTTTCGAAAGCAGCCCCTCTTCCCATATCCGCTCCGTAGCCAACTGGATGGCCTGGTCCCACTCGGGCTGCCAGTGGTTGGCCATAAGATGGGCATTTCTCCTGGCACATGCCATCAAAAGTAGGAAACTCGGGCTACCGTGACAGACCTGGATCAGGGGTGAGGTAGGATTGCCAACCTGACGGGGAGGAATACACGTCGGGAGATGCCCATTCTCTGCAATAGCAATCTTGCAAAAGCCCGTGATCGTCTCTGCTATCCAGGGGAAGTAATTGCGCGAGGCGCCATCACTGACTTCTTCCACGTTACAGGCAAGTACAGTAGAAAGGATTCCGCCTATGTATTTTGATTAGTTTAGTGATTTGTTGTGATTTAATTGTGTACATACCCGCCCCATGGACACTTGAATGAGAACGTCAGTACTTTTACTCATTATATCGAGGGAAGTGGGATACTCACGCTCCAAGACAGTAGTATTTCTCCATCCACATATACATCAATGGAAGAGCATCCTTGTCGCCGTATAGCTTAGCACAATCACGCGCACCTTGTCTTCCTGCCTCAATGATCACATCGACCAGTTTCGGAATAGATTCATAAAGAGGCTTCAGTGCCTTCTCCGTGTCGTCGTCAAATTTATGGGCGCGGATATTCAGAATCGACCACAACAGTCCTGCGCGTCCATATAAGATTTCATCGCCTCCCAGATTATCGCCAGCATGAGGGACGATATGACCATTATTCAGAGCCAGCTCGACCGCCTGATAGAAGTACTGAATGTCATCTTTGGAAACGGCACTGTTCGATGTGGCTGCAGCTAGTATACGGAGAACGGCTGCTGGTATCGGGGAAAGTGACCCCAAAGGAGACAATCTACTGGGCAACAGAGGTAAATCTGGGCCAGAGTAGATCCTCTCATTGGCATCTTTTCGGAAATCAGGCGGGCTAGATTCATTGTCCTTCTTCAAAGACGCAGCTTGATGGGCGAGTCGGAGGAAGGCCAGCGTAATTCCTAGTGGCAACGCAGCTGGTCAGCTTAACCCTGTCACACTAAACTAGGTTTCAGATTCTCTGTATTATTGTCATACCTGGATTCCCTAGGAAAAGGCCCCCGATTCCCCATTCGCCAGGAGGAGGACTGCCCTCCTTCACCATGTCAGCTCCGCGCCTGGCCGCATCACGTAATTCCTGCAGAGTCTGTTGCAATGAGTTTTTGTTGATTTCGATTGGCTTAAGAGCATTTTGGTAGTACTGAGGACGTTCAGTCGCCATTGTGAATCAGGAACCGGTGCTTAGAATGGGATATGGTTGTTGGTGCTTGTATGTCCAGAATATCAGTAGTTATGGTGCACACAAAATCTGCCCTCAGAGCGCAAAGAGGCTGGCTGAGCCCATAGTGAGCAGCTCCAATCACAATTAAGCCTGAGGCCAGCCCCAGTGCATTTCAGCTCAGAGCTGTCATACAACTCAACTCCCAGTGTGCCTTCCGTATTAGGAAAGGCGGGGGAGCAGATCATTCAGCCTCGGATGGACGATAATCCGCTGCTGACTCAAACCTGACTCAGTCACCGGGACGACGTGTTCTTCCGCTGCGTTCTCTCCATTCCGGACTCGAGAATACTCGCCGGTCCTCGAAGTGCCCTTACCAAACAAGTTACTACTAAACGCGGCCTGATCGCCTTACGGAGGGAGAAACGTTATTGCTGCTGCTCCTCTGCAGAATGTCAGTACTGCTTCCTTTCGTCCAGATTCTCCCCAAAAAAGCCCTTGCTCCACTCTCCCTGTCTGTCTCATTCTCTCCCCTTGTATTGGACTATAAAAAGCCGAGCATGGCGTTTGTTTCCTTTCGGAGATTCCGGATTTATTACATCCGATGTATAGCATGTCTATCTGGAAGAAGGAGGGAATGAAGCACTATGATAGAACTCTATCACAATTCATGCTCAATGCCTTCTGCTGCAGTGACTAATATGGTAAACAGTCTCGTGTCCCGTTGTGCTGGGCTAGGGCATCATCATGCCCGCAGTACACGGTGATCTGATGGCCCCGGTGTTCCCTACCGAGGAGTACTTTCCGGACACCATCTTCCCACGGCAGGTGACCCTCAGGGACCGAATCACCATTGCGACGTTGGTCCCGTTCCCGTCGTCAGACCTAGTTCCTAGATCCCTGCTGGGGTACCTGTCTGACCAACTGAACAAGGAAATCGAAAAAGGAGATACCTATGCTATGACAGATCCCATTCCGTTTAGTCTGTTTGGGCCATACTGGTTCTCCAATTTCGGTGCCATCATGCTCCTGGGCGATATCAAGAGCGTGGAAGAGGTTCAGGCGTTGGACCAGGCAGGAACCAATTGGTCCAAAACTTGTCTGGGCAGCTTCAATATCAGACCGAACTACCCAGGCCGTAGTAATCATGTTTGCAATGGCATGTTTATCGTCACGGATGCTGCTCGAAACAAAGGTGTAGGTAGGCTGATGGGTGAGACGTATTTGGAGTGGGCTCCCCGAATGGTCAGTATCTGTTTGCAACTTGTGTCATAAGTCAGGAGATCTGACAGGGAAATAGGGGTACACGTATGCTGTGTTTAACTTGGTCTATGAGACTAATGTTGCCTCATGTCGGATTTGGGACGCCTTGGGCTTCAAACGAATCGGCAGAGTGCCAGGAGGTGGTAGGCTCCTATCCAACCCGGGGCAATTTGTCGACGCAATCATCTATGGGCGGGACCTCAACCTTGAAGGTGATGATTCTGCTACACAAGATCGTTTCGAGAAGATCAGATATTACCTCAAGCATGCCAAATACCCACGGGGAGCCGATCGGGCTGAAAAGAGTCGTCTTCGGAGTGCAGCGACGCATTACAAGCTTATCGGTGGTGACGATGGGGAACCTGAGAGGCTGATGCTGAAGGGCAAGGAGGTAGTATCCGATCCCCAACAGCAGTACGACATTGCTCAAAATATACATAATGAGCACCATGCGGGTATCAACAAGACCACTGCGGCCATCGCGGTCAAGTATCATTGGGTCAGGATCAAGGAAACCGTCAGTCGAGTCATACGGGATTGTCCTGAGTGCAAGGAGACTCTCAAAACAACCCCACTGGGATTCAGAGACGATGACCTTCCCGAAAATGAAGAAAGAACCACCACTTTCCATCAACAGAAGAACGCGCCGGATCTGACCTCGCATGAAGTCTTGGACACGAAACTGTACATGGACGAGTCGACAGCTGGACCATCCACTCAAACCTCAAGTTTTCAGAATACAAATCCCTTCGCTCCTACGCATGCACATCCTATCCAAGAACCTCTCAACACAATAACCGACTACTCTACAATGCCTCTTGATCCGCAAATGATTGAAACCCACTCACACCTTTCTCGCTTCCCACACTACGACGCCATGGCAGACCCCTATTCTCACGGCTCCCACATTCTACAACCCACGAATTTTGACGACGAAGTACGACATCATGCGGTCAATGAGTATCAGATGATGGTTGATGACACAGATCCCAATGGCACAGGGCTTCAGCCAGAGACGCTGGGGCTAGTACATCCCCATGCGAATGAACTGCAGGACGCACATGAGATATTAAATAAATATGCATACGGAGGACGACCTGAAGATGATTTGGACTTTACATGACCTTTTTTTCTGACCTTTTCCACTGGTTTCGGAGTTTTGATGTCTAGCGATTCCGGGGGCCCATACTGTAAAGCACAAAGGGCATTAATTATTATTATTATACCTAATTATATAGACTATTGACTGGGAATATCATATACTCTACTTAATACATCAATTCCTCTCTAGGATTCAGTAATGTAGCAGTATCTAAACCATCGAGGGGCACTTTGGTAGGGTTGCGGGGCGGCATGATTGGTCACCGCCTGTGCGTTTGGCGACGAGGAGCAGCTCTGGGAAATTTTGGTTCGAGATCATCGACCCCAGAGAACTGCCCGACATCCTTTTCTTCAGGCCACGTTTCGTCGAGTGACCTTATTCTCAGTTGGGGATATCTTCTTGTCTTTGCATTTCACGCCTAATAAATAACTATTCACCATGGCCTTTGCCGGCCAAACACCCACGATCGTCGTGTTGAAGGAGGGTCCGTACCGCCCGCAATCTATCTGTAATCTGGATGTTTCGCTGACTTGGGGATTTTTCATTGCTTGATGGATAGGGACGGACACATCTCAGGGAAAGGGTCAGATTGTTTCGAACATTAACGCCTGCGTTGCGGTGCAATCCACGATCAAGAGCACGCTCGGTCCGTACGGAGGTGATCTGTTGCTTGTTGACAACAGCGGCAGACAGACGATTACAAACGATGGAGCCACTGTTATGAAAGTGCGTGATTCAACAAGAATACTTGGATGGAATGAGATGAAGGAGGAGCATGAATACTGATTACGTGTCTTGTTGGTTACAGCTCCTCGATATCGTCCACCCCGCCGCCCGCATCCTTACCGACATCGCACGATCCCAAGACGCCGAAGTGGGAGATGGAACAACTTCGGTTGTCGTTCTTGCTGGTGAGATCCTTAAGGAGGTTCGGGAGTTGGTCGAGCAGGGTGTCAGCCCACAGACTATCGTTAAGGGTCTGCGGAGGGGGAGCGCCATGGCCGTCAACAAGGTGAAGGAGATTGCAGTGGACATGGTCGATGCCGCTGGTGGCGAGGAGAAGAAGGTCCAGACTCTCCGGAGGTTGGCTGCGACTGCTATGAACAGCAAGCTGATCAAGCGGAATACGGAATTTTTCACCAAGAGTGAGTTGGCTCCTTGTCTCGGGTTCGTTAATACAGGGGAAACAGGCTGACTGGAAACTAGTGGTTGTCGATTCGGTCCTCACGCTGGATCAGGACGACCTCAACGAGAAATTGATTGGTGTCAAGAAGGTTACCGGTGGTGGTCTCCAGGAATCGCTTTTCGTCAACGGTGTTGCCTTCAAGAAGACCTTCTCGTACGCCGGTTTCGAGCAGCAGCCCAAGTCGTTTAGAGACCCCAAGATCGTTTGCTTGAACGTCGAACTCGAATTGAAGAGCGAAAAGGACAACGCCGAGGTCCGGGTCGAGCAGGTGTCTGAATACCAAGCCATTGTCGATGCCGAGTGGCAGATTATCTACAACAAGCTCGAGGCTATTTACAAGACAGGTGCCAAGGTTGTTCTTAGCAAGCTGCCTATTGGTGATCTTGCTACACAGTACGTGATCTTTCTCTTTCTCTTTCTCCTACTGAGAGAGGCTTTTTATTGACATCTGCAGGTACTTCGCTGATCGTGACATTTTCTGCGCTGGTCGCGTTTCTTCCGATGATATGGACCGTGTCTGCCAGGCGACTGGTGCCGCAACGCAGTCGACATGCACCGACATCCAGGACCGTCACTTGGGTTCCTGCGGCTCGTTCGAGGAGAGCCAAATCGGTAGTGAACGTTTCAATTTCTTCTCGGAATGCCCGGGTGCTAAGACATGCACCCTGGTCCTGCGTGGTGGTGCGGAGCAGTTCATTGCCGAAGTCGAGCGGAGTTTGCACGATGCCATCATGATTGTCAAGCGCGCTCTGCGCAACACAACCATCGTGGCCGGTGGTGGTGCCACCGAGATGGAACTCTCGGGCTACATGCACGGATTCGCAGACCGCAACGTCCCCCACAAGCAGCAGGCCGTCGTCAAGGCCTTTGCCAAGGCTCTGGAAGTTATTCCCCGTCAACTGTGTGACAACGCTGGTTTCGATGCTACCGATATCCTGAACCGCCTGCGTGTGGAGCACCGCAAGGGCAACGTCTGGGCGGGTGTTGACTTTGACCACGAGGGTGTCCGGGACAACATGGACGCGTTCGTGTGGGAGCCTAGTCTGGTCAAGGTGAACGCCATTCAAGCGGCAGTGGAAGCTGCTTGCTTGATTCTGAGCGTGGATGAGACAATAAGTAAGTTGACTCTCGAGAATCGCCCATCTGGATCATTGTTAACAAAGCATCGCAGAGAACGAAGAGTCCGCCGCGCCACAGGCACCGGGTCGTGGTCTTCCCCCGGGTGCTGCTCAGCGCGCTCTTGGTGGACGGGGCCGGGGAATGCCTCGGAGACGGTAAAGGGACTATGTAATAGAATAAGAAGGGGAGGTATGTAGATGCACGGAGATGATGGGGTGGATCTAGAGAACAGCCAAAAATGTCTTTCTTGGAGACGGCGATAGGATGATTGAAAAGGAAGTTGTCTTGTCTGTTAGAATGGCATATATTGTGCTATAGGTATAATCTTGATTGTTCATCATGTCCATAGTTTCATCATACTTGCTCTACTGGTGCCTTATCAATCTCAGCCAGCCACTCAGCCTCGGCTGTATGCATCTGATATGGGGCTCAGCCTCATGCCCATGACGTTGGTTGTCCTTCTATTCATTATAAATTTCTGGTGACAGTAGAATTATATACATGCAGAGACAGATTCAAGGAGTAGAATTGACAACTGCATGTATACAGCAATGTACAGAGTATTTCCGAGGTACATGCATTGGGCATCCATAGCAATCATAAGAGCTTGTTCCTACCCCTCACAGTAGTACTAGTACTATTTTGCTAGTTATCAAACAAACATTAGTTAACTAAGAAAGGGTAGATACCTTAATAAGCACTGCCTATCATTGCCACTCACTTTCATGGAACCGGATCTATAAGTAGAATCACCGCCACGAGTCGTTCACCCACAGTTCGCTCAGAGTTTGGAATAAATTATAGGGCTGATTGTCTTATTTTGTCTCTTCTACACTGACTACTAACACACATACTGCACTGTACACGTTCAGTTGTATAGTAGAGTCATATTTGCCACCTTTCCGGCCGCCTGGATTATTTTCCCCGTCTCCACCCAATCTCGATCCGTCTTTCACTCTCCCTCGACTTTCTCACCTCCCACTTTTTTAATAACACTCTGGTATACGGCTTACTCGTTGATTTGTGATACCCTGCGATACCCGTGATACCTGCTATCCTATATATTCCTCGTCTTCATCCCCGACTTCATTGCTCTCGCCAGAAATGTCTTACTATCCGCCGTATTCGGGCCCTCCCGGTTATCCCCCGCAACAGAATTATGCTCCTCCCAATTACGGCTCCCAGCAACAATATCCGTGAGTCTCATCCGTTGTGCACGATTTACTTGAACCCTGCGATGCTTCCCATGTTTTGAACGACATGCTGACTCCCTCAGACCAATGCAGCAGTCCTCGTATGGCGGTTATCCCGGACAAGCCTACCACCACCATCAGCAGTCCAACCCCTACGGATACGGTCACTCTCCCCAGCCATCCTACGGATCGTCGGCCCCCAATAACGGTTATGGAGTACGTTTCGCGTAATTTGGCATCATAGAAAAGAAAGAATACGTGGCTGACATGTGGATCCTAGCATGCACCATCGGGATACGGTCAACGTCCGGCCGCGCAGTCTGGAGGTTCGATGTATGGGCGACAACAGTGTATGTTCCTCCATTCGCCACCTTGTATCCTGGGAAAACAACGCTGATCTGGTTTTCGTCTATTAGACGGTGGTGGTGGCCCGGCTCGGCCGCCGTCTGAGCCGGTCGCGTTCGGCCACGGCGCTCCGCAGGGTTACAACTTCCAGTACTCGCGCTGTACGGGAAAGAGAAAGGCACTGTTGATCGGAATCAACTACTTTGGACAGAAGGGCCAGCTGCGTGGCTGTATCAACGATGTTAAGAATGTGTCCACCTATCTGAACCAGAGCTTTGGCTATGCTAGGGAGGACATGGTCATCCTTACCGATGACCAGCAGAATCCTATGAGCCAGCCGACTAAGGTGAATATCCTGCGTGCTATGCACTGGCTGGTTAAGGATGCGCAGCCTAATGACTCGCTCTTTTTCCACTACTCCGGTATGTCCTTCGTCTAACCCTTCCTTCGATGTTTTGACCCTTTGGAAGGTTACTAATGAATGGTGGTAGGTCACGGAGGTCAGACACCAGACGAAGACGGTGACGAAGATGATGGATACGACGAAGTAATCTACCCCGTCGATTTCCGGGTGGCAGGACACATTGTGGATGACGAGATGCACCGGATCATGGTCAACTCCCTTCAGCCGGGTGTGCGACTGACGGCCATTTTCGACTCGTGTCACTCTGGTTCCGCCCTCGACTTGCCTTACGTCTACTCGACCTCGGGTGTACTCAAGGAGCCCAACCTGGCCAAGGAAGCTGGTCAAGGTTTGCTGGGTGTTGTCTCCGCATACGCACGCGGCGACATGGGCGGTATGATGTCGACTGCCGTCGGTTTCCTCAAGAAGGCAACCAAGGGCGACGACGCATACGAGCGAACCAAGCAGACCAAGACTAGCCCGGCGGATGTCATCATGTGGTCCGGCAGCAAGGACAGCCAAACCAGTGCGGATGCTTCCATCTCTGGCGAATCAACCGGTGCCATGTCCTGGGCTTTCATCACGGCACTGCGCAAGAACTCTCAGCAGAGTTATGTGCAGTTGTTGAACAGCATTCGGGACGAACTGGCGACCAAGTATTCGCAGAAACCGCAGCTGAGCAGCAGTCATCCTTTGGGTACGTAATTTGCCAACGTATTTTATATCTGGTCAAGCTGTGAAGCTAACTCTTTGCAGACACCAACCTCCTTTATGTTATGTAGATAATAGTAACGCGATACCATCAATATTCTGATATGTTTTTATGGCTGGGACATGGGACATGAAAATCAAACGAAATATTTACTTGGTTTTTTGCTGCATGGACATTGCACTGTTTGAAAAATGGCGCAGGCTGTGGTTACTATCCAAGAATTGGAACTATTGATATATTTTGGTTGTCATTACAGTGTAGATTGTGATAACCCTACATACATAAGCGTAACATAACGTAGCATTCATTGCTGTTCCATCTATCCATGATTCCATTCCCATTTTGAATAACTTTTAAATGCCCCAACACCAAGGTACAAGAAAAAAGATAAATCACCACCGCTTCGGTGCATCAACCACCGTCCTCGAAAACGATGCACTAATCGTCTCCTTCCCTTTCCTCCTCGACGAAGCAATGATTCCCGTCCGATCTGTAACAGGCGTCGCATTAATGATATTATCAAACGCCTCGTCATCCTCATCCTCACTCCCTGCGGACCCCGACTCGGCATCTGAGTCCTCGCGCAGGACGGGTTGATCTTCTGGACGGGAGACCTTCTCAGGTTGTTTTGTCGGGTGATCATCGTCGTCGACAGAGGGGTTCTGGAAGGACTTGGAGTTGAGGATTTTCTGGCGGATTTCGGCCATTTGGGCTTCGTCTTCGGAGTCATCGGAGATGGCGAAGGGGTCTTTATCTTCCTCCTCTTCCTCTTCGTCGTCGGATCCGTTCTGGTCTTTCTTCTTCTTATTGCCTTCCTCGTCCTCTTCATCTGAACCCTCGTCCGAATCCGAATCAACAACCTGCCGATTCGTATTCCCAACAGTCCACATATCATCCGCACCCACATCCCGATTCGCCGCATACTCCGCTTCAATCTTCGCCAGCCATTCCTCCTCCGTCTTCTTAACCTCTTCCTCCGTCGCGCAAGCAGCGTATCGCTTCAGCAGCTTCGAATTAATCTCGAGAAAAGCGTCGCCGTAACGGAATGGTTTGAGCACGTCCTTGGCCCAGTCTTCGTGGCCGCAGATGCAGAAGCAGGCGGCGAGGGCTTCGACGCAGTTCAGACGCCAAGGTTTGCCGTAGTTGACTGTATTTGCGGCGATGAGGTAGGGGAGGAGTCTTTCGCATTTGCCGCCGATGCGCGACCAGGGGACTTCTTGGACTCGGACCCAGGAGCATTCTACTACTGCTGCGCCATGGGTTTCGAGGAGTTCGCGGTCTGCGGGGGATATGATCTTTTTCGCATTTGGTCTGTAGCATTCCCTCGTCAGTACCGCGCAGTAGAAAAGAGACCGTTCAAAAAAAAAAAAAAAAGGAAAAAAAGGAAAAAAAGGAAAAAAACCTACGAGACAACCACACCCGGGTGTTTCTGCCCAATCGAAAGCTCGCGCATCAACCCAAACTGCATCAGCCTCTTCCCCGAGCATCGTTTCGGATCGCAATGGCCCAAGTCCCAGCAAGCGGCCTTGAACGGGGGTCTGGAGGAAGTCGAGGACTCGTTATCGCCGCGGGGTACAGGACGAGCACGGGGGCGGGGGTTGGGTTTCTTGCCTCCTCGGGAGAAGTTGTCTTTTTTGTGGCGGACCATGTTGTCAGTTTGTTGTTGTAGCTGTTGTATATATGTAGTGTGTTCGTGGTGAGGTATAGAACGTTGTATGACAGTGAACGGAAAAGGTTGACTGTTGATCGATCGGACTAAACTAAGCGCCACACGTGGAGTAGCGACCGCCGCCTAAACCCCCAACTTGTCTATCTCCATACTCTATACCAACAGCAAGAGCTCCTTATTCAACCCACACTTGTGACTGTACAGCGTCAGTGTGGGAATCGCATTGAATATTTCTATTTGCTTTACTTCTTTGACTCTCTCCCGCCGTCACCCTGGAGGCAGCATCCGCACGCATGGCAGCGAGGGACCGGTTCGGTGCCTTTGCTGACCTGGGGCTCACGCCGGTCCAGCGCGCAGTCCGTACGTTTGCAATCAAATGATGGAAACGACAATTCTAACGGTTATAGGTCATGCCTGCGATATCTCCCAGTATGAGCCCAACCTCGCCCTGAACCTCGAAGTTGCGGACCTGATCAATTCCAAGAAAGGCAATGCGTGAGTGCTCGGATAGGATACGTGTTTATTACATATTCTAACGGAGGTTATGGATAGTCCTCGAGAAGCGACCTTCGAAATCGTCTACCTGATCAACTCCCGGAACCAGAATGTATCGTTACTTGCGCTGGCGGTAGGTTATCAGACCACTACACACTACGCGGGGAACATAACTAAGAGGACTCGGAATATAGCTGCTCGATATTTGTGTCAAGAACTGCGGATACCCCTTCCACCTCCAGATCAGCACCAAGGAGTTTCTGAATGAGCTGGTACGACGGTTCCCCGAGAGGCCACCTATGCGGCCGTCTCGGGTGCAGCATCGCATTCTCGAGTCGATTGAGGAGTGGCGGCAGACGATTTGCCAGACGTCGCGGTATAAGGAGGATTTGGGCCATATAAGGGACATGCACCGGCTACTGCTTTACAAGGGTTATATGTTTCCGGAGATTCGTGCTGATGATGCGGCTGTTTTGAATCCTAGCGATGTATGTGTTACGCTTGTGGCTAATGTGCGCGGGGTTACTGACAGATGGTAGAACCTTCGATCGGCTGAGGAAATGGAGGAGGAAGAGAGGGAGGCGCAATCGGCGAAATTGCAAGAGTTGATTCGACGCGGTACACCGGCGGACTTGCAAGAGGCCAATCGGTTGATGAAGGTTATGGCAGGGTACGACAATCGACACAAGACGGATTACCGGGCCAAGGCGGCCGAAGAGGTCGTTAGGGTTCAGCAAAAGGCCAAGATCTTGGAGGAGATGTTGGAGAGTCACAAGCCTGGGGATCCCATTGCGGAGGGTGATGTATTCGAGGTAGGACTGGAACCATGTACATGGTATCTGAGACGAACGACTGACCTGTATAGGAACTGGCGAATGCGCTCATAAGTGCCCACCCGAAGATCCAGAAAATGTGCGAAGAAGAGTCGGATGATGCCGAGGCTGTTCGCAAGTTGTTGGAGATCAACGACAGCATCCACCGCACTATCGAACGGTATCGATTGGTCAAGAAGGGTGATGTTGACGGAGCGGCACGTATTCCGAAGGGTACACTGGGCACGACGACGGGTGTGTCCAAGAATGCGAACAATGAATTGTCTTTGATCGATTTCGACCCGGAGCCTAGCCCCAGTGCCGGTGGATCTCAGCAGGCTGCGCCTGCACAGGGAGGCAATTCATTGGAAAATGATCTGCTTGGACTGTCGTTGGACGACCAGGTGCCTTCTGGGGGGATCTCCTTGGGACCTAGTAAGTTGTTCTTCATGGATGGTGATGTAGGCGATTCTAACATGTCTTAGCTGTTCTACCGACCAACCCACTCAATCAGGCAACATCTCCGGCACCACCAGTGCAGCAAGCCCCGTTATCTTCTAAGCCCAACTATGATATCCTGTCATCGTTGAGCTCTCCGCAACCAACCACCCAGGCTCCACCTTCCATTCCCGCGTTCTCACAGCCACCACAGCCGCCACCCCAACAACTGCAAGCACCAGCAGCAGACCCATTCGCATCGCTGATATCTGGCAGCTCTCGAGGCTCAAGTCCATTCTCCCCGGCTGTAAGCCAAACGCCACCGGCAATGACTCGGAGCGGAACTCCCGCTCGGCCGGCAGCACAGCCGACGGAAGAGGACGAGTGGAACTTTACCTCATCGCTACCAGAGAGCAGCAGCGCGCTCCCCAGCACAAACAAAGTGGCCGTGCTGGACTCGTCATTGCGAATTGAGTTTGTGGCACGGCGACATCCGTCTCAGCCACGATTGATTCACGTAGTGGGATTCTTTTCCAACCGCACAAGTCAACCGATACAGGAGCTGCACTTCCAGGTGGCCGTGGAGAAGGTTAGTGATTCTATTGGGTGAAGCTTATCGGCATGAACTTAGACTGACGAACGCGTGTTACAGGCATATCGCTTACAACTCCGACCGCAAACTGGCCGGGAGATATCCGCGCTGCAGCAGAACGGCGTCCAGCAGGAGATGTTAGTGGATGGGGTTGAGTCTGGGCAGGGTGGCTCGGTGAAGATGCGGTTTCGAGTATCGTATGTGGCAGGTGGACAGAGGAAGGAGGAGCAGGGGATGGTTCCGCCATTAGGAATCTCTTAATCAGGGGAAGGAGATTCAAGAGGGCGCGGAAATTCCGACGTGGAGTCAGAATCCAACCGGGATCCTTCTCCGCTGGACGGCCATTTGTCCGATTAATCATCGCCAATGATACAACTTAACCGACGAAGCGCCGCAGAAGGGCACGGCTGAGCTAAGAGGGATGATGAATGGAGGGGAGGGGACATCGGACATGTCCGTGTGGAGACGACGTGGCTAGTGGTTGGCTGTTGATTTGCTTCATTTGTGTCATTTGACAGGATAATAAAAAAATCCTAAGTAAGGGCCCGTCCCGTGGCATTTTACAAACAAGAGCATATACGAGCAGTGACAAACTTCACCCCACCCCCAGGGACCCATCAAAATAGTCGTATCACAACCTCGTTCCCTGGGACAGAGTGCTAGGGATGCTTGTAGAGAGGGCATTACCTACAGCCATACGTACTGAATGGAAGAACGGAGCAGAGGCCGGTGGCGAAAAGAGGGGAGGAAAAGTAAAGTTTGGCACGAATGGCGAGATTTGTCAATTTGGCAGTGACAGGCCAGACCCTGCCAGAGCCATGCAGATCCCGCATCTCGTTTAGATACGAGGAGTAGGGAGAGGGGGCGTTCCGTAGAGAGGGTACGAGTGTGGTAGGGGAATGCGAGAGGGTTACCCAGGGTAGGGTAGGGTTAGGTGCTGACAGACACATGGGAGGTTCTGCAACATAACACAGAAATAAAACTTGCAGACAAAACGAAACGAGACCCTGAAGAACCAGATCGACTAGGTATTCCTCGCATCTTTGTTCCATGGGAAATCCCGTAGTTGTGGCAAGTACTAGTAAGTAGCATCCTAGAGAGGTGACTTTCCTAATCCGGCGACTCTGCAACGTGACTTCCTAGGCAACTTGCCCTTCCATCCGCCTTCTACTTCTTCACCCCTAACCAGTTTATTTTTTCTCTATGTAACCTCCATATATTCCCCATATTCTTCAGGACACAGTTATTCGCACGATACAGCGCCCCTCTCCCCTCCCAGTCTAGATCAGTTCTCTTCTCATTTTGGCCTCTCCGCCGTGGCAAACCGTACACTGTTTCCATGGTTCCAGCCCTCACATCGACCTAACCTAGCCCTCTTTCCGTGGGTCTGTACAGGCTGGAAGTAGTAGTACTTGGCGCACCTTTCTTTCTTTCTTTTTTTTTTTTTTTTTTTTTTTTTTTTTTTTTTCTCCTCGGCTTGACAGCTAGCTGCCTTGTCGCCAGGCGGTGGTGCAGGGTTTATAAAGTTGCAGGGTTGCCTTTCTGCCTCTGTCTGCCCCTCTATTTTGGATACGCACATTCTGCACATTCTTCTTCTCTATATATTTCTCCTTCTACCTCGCCTTTTTATTGCACTATCATCATATGCATTTTCTTCAATAGCAGCATACGAGATTCCATCATGCCTTCACCTGACTTGGATTTGGATGTGTCTCCTATTCCCCGTTCGCGGGAGGAGAACCAGGAACGGTACGTCGTTGCACAAGCCAGGATGTGATACTTCTGGACCGTTGTGCTAATCCTTGCAGTGCTTTTATCGCGGCGTCCCGACGCAAAGACCGCAGCCTCGATGCTAGGTTGGAATCGGCCAATCGTGCCTCCATGTTACACAAGAAGCGTACCGGGAAGAGCCTGCACATCACCAAGGACATAGTCGAGAAAGAGGCCATGTACGAAGAGGTCGATGAGCGGTACCAAGAGAAACGCATTCGCATGCTGCAGGCTCAGAACATGCAGATCGAGGAACAGCTCAATCGCCAGCTTTTGACTGCGTTGGCTGTTCGCAACCATCGGGGCTCGACGTCCTCGGCCTCGTCAGCTACGACCAATTCTGTGACTTCTGCTTCTCCTAAACCACTTGCTTCGCATCAAAATTTTAGACGGGCCACGAGCATGGCGCCACGATCCTCGATTGATGAGGTGCGCAAGATGAGTCTGGACTTGTCGAGTGTGCGCTCGTCTGTTTCGGAGGGAATGCAGACGGGAGCATTGAACAGTCCTATGATTATGGAGAACAGCTATACGATGTCACCGGGTTACGATACTATCGCGTCTCCGCAGCACACTCAGCCTGAGTGGTATAATCAGGTGCCCGCGTATGTCCAGCAGACACAGTGGCCTCAGCAATGGACGGGATTCCAGCCCCAGCAAGAGCAGCCGCACGTCATGCAGGATTATATCTCTCAGATGCCAATGAACGTTGCTGCGACACGGCCGTTCAGAGATCGATTTGCATCTGCTCCAGAGATTCCATTGCACGGCATGCCTACGAACTCTTTATCATTGATGTCTACCGCTCATGCTCCGGCGCCAGCGCAACAAGAGCAATCGGTACAGCGATCACAACATAGCCGCGTGCAATCTGAACCGAACATGTCGATGGCGATGATGATGCACAACCTCCAGCAGCAGCAGGCGCAATCACAGCAGCCGATTTCCAAGCCCGCATCGCCCAAAACGCAACCCACACCAGACGCCTACTCGTCGCCCAGCACACCACCGCAGTCACCCAGGACGACCAGTGTCAGTGTGGGAACGATGGGAGTATCACAGCCAGACGCGGAGACGCTGGGCAAGAATGACGAGGGAATTCTATTTGCGCAAGGACTGGATCCAGACTTTGATGAGTTCAGTCAGTTTGCATTGGGACTGGGGACTACCACGGAACTATCGGAGCGGGAGCCATTCGGGTTTGAAGACTTTGTAACCCTGGATGATTTTACAGCTGCTGCATGATTTTGATTCATTTTTACTACGATTGTTTTATGGTTATGTCTATTGGCTATGACTGTATTATGGGACTATTGGATGGGATGGGAATAATACCCCTGGCGTTTTGATGTTATTATTACCTAGCTTTTGCCGTGTATGTACTTACGAGCAACGAGAGAATAAAATTTAATTTAATGTTGCACTCGCGTCTGAAGAGAAAAACCCCGCATTCTAACCTTGATAATATGCATCGGCCATGATTCGATGTCATGGTTTGTACAGCCCTGTGGTCGCTGATTGGCCGGCTATTCCACCCAGTCATAGACCCACTTATAACTCATTGCGACAGTAGGATTGGCTATCTCTAGCCAGTCCTACCTAGAATAGTTAAACCTTAGTTTACAGTGAACCAATCATTCTACAAATCGCGCAAATCACCTGCAGCCCACTGATCCACATAATCAAAACATGCAGCTATGTACAGACTGCTCTTAGGTGAGTTAATAGGGTTTAGTTAGTTACCTCTCAGGGTTCATTATGTGAGGGATATAACTTACTGAGGCGATGTAACTCAGCCAAGAGGGGGGAAGTTAGTTCAGTTGGCACCTGTCACTAGTCATGTTACTTTTGTTTTTACTGGATGTCGTTGGTTTAGTTGGGCGATAGTTGTGTGTGTCTAGTACAGTTGAATTCGGAAGGTCTATGCTATCAGATAGTGTTAGTATCTTCTAGACCTGTTCTATTTGTTTATCTAACTATCAAAGCACGCATGCCCTACCACAGACACCATAGATATGGGGTACATACTTTGTACATACAGTGGAACTACTTCGTACACAATTCCAAATAGTTACCCAAACCATCTTACATAACCCCCTCTACAAGCCGACAGACCTTGACTCGGTCCTCCCCGGCGATAACAGTGCCCACAGCAATCCCTACCCGATATGTACCCTGCCACAGCCCCTCCATCGATCTGTGCGTGTGTGAATCACCCAAACCCACTGGTCCTTGACGTTCCCACTGTCCGTGCCCAGGTGGCTAACCATGGGTGGTAGGGCTGGAACCGTTGGGTAAGGCGGGCCAGACTGATTACTCAGCATGAGTAAGAGGCGACACTGGTGAGTTAGGGAACTGGCTAGCTGGCAGGGTTGTTGGTGTCGGTGTCGGTGTCGGTGTTTCCGGGGGTGAGGATTGGCTGAGTAGTTGCAGGAACTTGAGCTCAGATCCGTCAGGTACAAAGTATTGTATAATATCCATTCTTAGCTATGCTATGCTATGCATGTATGTATGTACTATGGGGGGGGGTGGGTTACTGTTATCTCCACCGAGATCTGCCGAGTTCTACATCACTGGCCAAGATCGATTGATCGTAATAATCCCCATTTCTGTACGTATATGCAGACAGACGCGTACACAACTTTACCATATCATCTGTGAAGAACTGTTGCCCTGAAACGCAAAGGGCGAAAGAAAAATGCAAATCAAAAACCTCGGCTGAACAACTCACGCCCCAACTCTCCGCTCCGCCGGACACTCATGCTAGAACTACTGCTCCGTCGGCGATGCGCGCGACTCTCCATAGGATCGGCCGGGCTTAACCCGCTGGCCCGTGCTTGTAGATTGAGAATATCCGTCAAGCTTACCACGCCCAGCAATCGGCCCGACAGGCGTGCTCCCGGTAGTGCTGATGCAGGAATTGATGTTGCTAGTGTGGCTGATCCCGGCTGTGGTGATAAGTGGGGACTCGGCAAGTGTGGGTTGCTGCTAGGGTTTGTCAATTGATTCGGCTTTGGCGATGTGGGCGGAGACACCGCTGGGTTTGGTGCTGTGTTGGGCACAAGATGAGTTGCTGAATGTGACGGTGTCGAAGGTCCGGATGATGCTGGGGAGAGCGGGTCCGTCACCCACAATCTGTACAACATTAGATTTTGCATAGTTGGATAGGGAATCATGGATGCTTACCGATGTGATTTGGTAGCCACCACCTTCGCCACCGTATGTGCAAGGGTCGAACTAGGATCCACATGGAAGACCGGAAAAGAATCCTGGCCATCGATCAAACCTCTTGTAGACAAAACCACTGAGACAAAATGTGTGCACGTGTTGTGCAGGAGAGGGAGTGACGAGGATCGAGTCAAAAGCTACACTCGTTAAAGACTCGTCAAAAATATAAGAACATATGCACATACCTTGACGTCTGTCGCGGAGATATTGCCCACTACGTTGAAATGGTTGTCAACCACTGCGACGGATGAGATGCCCTCCTCGTACATCAACCGCAGGGCTTCACTAAGCGGCCGGTCTGCACTATTTATAATTAGCACAGCTGTACAGCATGCGAGAAAAGTAAACAGGACTCACTTGATTGAAAGCACAGCTCGCGACCCTATTCCCAAATCTCCCAGGGAACTCGGATACAGTTGTTCGACTGTTGGAAACGTGCGACCATTCTCCCACAGAAACTTGACCAACCGGAACTGGCTAAAGATTCCCACCACCTCGTTATTATTGTTCTCGTTCACCACTACAACACGATGCACGCCACCCCCAAACGTCTCCACGGCACTCATCACGTTGGCCGTCGCGGGCAATGTCGTCATCGGCTCCTTCTTGCCCAGATCCTTCACATCTCGCAGTGGTATCTTGCTTCCTTCCTGAGCTTTCCGTGCTAATTCCCCATATAGTCCAAGTAGCTCTTCGTTGGGTTCTGTCAGTCCCGCCGCTAGCAGGAGGTATGCGTTAAGGTCGGAAAAGTCGAATGTGCCCACGGCGGACTTGTGTTCAGGTGTCTCGCGAATCAGCAGTACCGCAATGTTGGAGTCAATCAACGCCTATCCATATGCTGTCAGTATCTCCCAGAGCAGAAGCCAAGAAGGACTGCTTACATCGGTTGCTTCCTCAATCCCCGTATCGACCTCCACAAACTTCAGATCCTCCGGACTAACCAACTCTCCAATCGAAATATGTCTCCAGTCACGACCAGCAAAACTGGTATTTGGATTGTTTGGAACAGGTGGGTTATCAATAAGACTCAAGACTCCGGCGTTAGTGATCGATGGCTGACGGCGTGACCTCGGGGATCCAGGCGCGCGAAGAGTCTCGCTGAAGCTCTGTCGATGCGAATGGTTTGTCGAGATATGTGAGCGTCGAGCGGACTGGTTTCGTATGCCAGAAGTCCGCGAGTCGATGCTGGATGGCGGAGATACGACAGCGGAGGAGCCATTGGAGCTGCCAGCAGCGGCAGCATCGAGCGATTGGCGTGGACTCGCCATGGCAGTCTGTCTGCAAGGGAGATAATTTCTATCTCAGTCAGAGAATAAGCTGGATAATCTCAGTCGTTCACAATGCGCCAAACGGACAGCGTAGTGATTGAAGCCGAAAGGGAATCATGGAGGCGGCAGGCAACGTTGCGGGGGAGCTGCGGCGGTGGCTGATTGGTGGCTGTCCGCTGGCCAATAAACACGCGGCCAACACACCTCATCACGACGCAGCTGAGTTTTGTAGAGTATATAACAGAGTATAATAGTATTGTTTCAAGCACAGGCGTGATTTTTAGCTCTGATAAGGTGTTCTGAGCCAGTGGTCGAGACGCTGAGGATTCAAGGGCTATTGTATGCTTGGTCCGCCGACTTTATGTCACCTTACGTCATACAGCCAACAATCGTCATTGCTTACAGAAACTCCTGCAAGACGCTGTCGAGGTTCCTCCCCTTGTGCTCTCGCATTGTCGCTCTGCTGTGCTTTCCAGGTACTTTCTGTCTCTTGGCAGCGGGTTCGGATGTCCCCTGTTGTTCCGGGTGACCTCGTCGTACCAAGTAAATAGTATCAAACGATGGCGTATTGGTTGACCGGCGCATTTCCCGGCCAATCTGGAAGCTGAGGATGGGGACATCGGGTGCTTTCGTATCTTCATTGTCGGTGAAGCTAGCCCTGTAGCACCCGTAAAGCTTATCATGTGCAGCATCGGAATCGTCATCATCAATTGGAATGTCCACCGGTTGCCACCCTTCGATTGCTTTGCTGCTCTTTCTGTAAAGACGGGCAACGTTCGGGCAATCACATATGACAAGCAGACGCAACGACGGAAACGATCTTAAAAATCGCAAAATAACCGGTGACACCTGCTTCTGATGCGAGATCCTGACAACCCTCAGATGCGCAAATGCACCGGACGCTGCCAGATCACTCCACGTCCGGACAATCCTATCATTAAGCGCCGTCATTGGCAAATAAGTCTCATTGGAAAAATTTTCCAGCTCGGATGATGTATTGAGCTCCAGCGCGACGAGGTTCTTGACATTGGCGATCTCCACTAGTTCCGGGACACTTGCGAATGAGGTGAATAGGGTCAATGCGACGCCCCAATGCAGAGTGTCACTCTTAATTTGATTCAGATAATCTCGCATTGGCATACGAGGCCCTTCGATTTTCATGAGACGGTACCGAGAGATCTCTCGGTATTGGGAGGGATATGCTGTCACCAATAGTTTCCACATGTAGAACGTTCTCTTTTTGCTGTAGACGAGTCAATGAATTGAACTGAATTTATGCGAAGGCAACTTACCTCTTTCCAAGACAATCCCAGAGATACTTCGCAATCGTCCACGGAACATTAGCAAACAGTTCCGGCGTCAAAATACTCTGGTCAGAGAGTGTCTGTCGCATTGCAGAATGTTTGAGTGATGGAGAACCAGATTCGCTGGTCTCCTCCCATCCTATTGTCAGATAGGGATTCTCATGGACCCAGGAAGGGCCTCTCGGCCCTTTTGAAGGTGCCACTGCTAAAGACATCGGGAATATGCTGTTCTGATTATAATGGCTGGGGTTGTCGGGAGGCTTGCATTGAAGCCGAAAAGTTATACAGCAAAAAGCTTTGAATTCGTCTCGATTGTACAAACTACAATCTCACAATCTCACACCCTTCGCGTTTGACAAATCGGAGAAATAAGCGACGCGACACGTGATTGGTCGAATATGGAATTCAGCATTTCTCTCGCTTTTTAGCATTTGTTCAATTCAGAGTCCTCTAGAAATTGATCTGATTGAAAAAGGATGTTCTAACTTTGAAGACCAATTGACATCGAGCGTTTCAATATCCCCCACTACATGAGTACAGTACAGCATTGACAAGACACAGCACACATTTGGTAGAACTGATACGCATCAAAATCATGCCTTGAGCGTGGACAACCGTCCTCCGATGAGAACAGACCCGGCAGGCAAATGATCCCTCTCAAATCAAGAACTTTTGATGCTCCGCGAGATTGCAAGATATACTAGCTTCGGAACAGCGACTTAAGGAGCTCCGGATTGTGAAGTCCAGAATAATATACGGCGTAGTCCTCCATCATACTAGCTGTCACGACATAGGTCCCTTGCTCGATCAAAAGCTCATGTGTTCTTTCAATCTGTAGTGGTTCCAAAGAAGCTCGAATCGGCGATTGTGGTCAACTCATAGTTGGCGCTTTCACTGAGTGGTTGCGCTTAGCGTCAGCCAGCATACAAGCGAATATAATGAGCACTTCAGGTCCACCATACTCTGCCTTAACTCTATGGCATCTTTTGGTGGCGTAACTACTCAAGGTCACAGAGTAGAAAGATCGATAAGATCTTTTTGATATTGATCCTCTAATGGTGATGAACGGCTGGCGGAAGCCCTTGGTCGAGCTGCAATGTCTCCCCGGAAGGTATCTCTGGTCAGATGTGAGTTCAAGAGTGTCGCGAAGTCATGAATTCGTTCAACATAACCGAACAGTACCGTAACAAATGAAAATTAAACCAGGACATGTACTCACTAGTGGTACATGCCACTCGGAAAATGTAACAACCAGCTTTCCCAATTCTCTACGTGCAACCATCCGTTGCGCCAGGCTATATCCAGCTTTCCATGTAGGGTCTCCAAGGCAAAACATTCAGTCCACGTGCATCGGACTGAACACAAATAGGGATTGAAGGAGAAAATACTAAAAACGTGAGTGCTATTCAAACTTACCAAAGTATTTCTGAGAGTCCCTCTTGAACCGTGTCGAGCATACGGTCTTGTTTCCTGTTTAGAGAACTCGGTTCATGGAGTATCAAGGCACACTGCTTGTAGATTCAATGCTGTCTCGCTGATAATTGGCATATGTGCGAAATCAACTGATACCGTTCCATGATTTTAAGTAGATGGCGGCAGCCCAAAAAACAGCAAATCCGGTTCTTGGTTCTGCGGTTGAGGACTGGCAGAAGGATGTCACTGCAAAGAGATCTAGTAGTGAATGAAGGTAATGGAAAGAGTGTACTGCAGTGTGGATGTGTATAAACGGGTATGTCATGGTTCTTGATAGAAGGTTACTTTCAAGCGAATGTTCTAATGCAGAAGAGAAAAGGAAATCGAGTATTTCAATATCAAGAAAGATTTACCATACATAATATGAACTGAATATACCACAGATAACACAGAAAACAAATAAACCAGGGAAAAAAAAAAAAAAAAAGGCATCAAAAGCATAGCATTCAGAAAAACACGTCCCACCATTGACTCTTTACAGGCGTGCCAGGTTCACGACTTCTCCCGGAGCATGATAAGTAGGCACTCTCATCTCCAAAGCAGAACCAGAGTATCCCAGATCCTCCGCGGTGAGAACCGCACATTTCTCGCCGATGAGTAGAGCAGTCTGGTAGAGAATCAAGTTAGCCAAGTCCAAAAATAAGAAGACAAGTAAGAAGATTAGGGGACGTACGCTAAACGTGTTGCAGCCCACGTTATCTGGACAGATAGACAGATCGCAGACCTTGAGGCCTTTCACGCCGTGGACGTTGAGACGCTCATCGACAACACCGTGCTTGACGAACGAGTTGCCCTCTCTGGGTGCCATGCTGCAAGTACCCAGCGAGTGCCATGTGGTTTCGACGTGACGTTGAACTATGAGAATTAGTATTGAACAACAAATTAAGTATAAAGAAGTTTGGCAAGACTCACCCCATTTCTCAATCTGCTCGAGATCATCCGCACTATAATCAAGCGGTGCTCGTGTCTCCTGCTTGTGAGAGTTGAGGAAAGTCGACGCAGGCTGCTCTCCCGGTCCCAGAGGATGGGACCAAGAACCATGTTGAATGCCAGCTGAATGGTGATTCGGTCCGGCATAGGCATTGGTCGTCGCAAGATCGAGGTCAAATGCGCGAGCCGGAGAGTTGTATTTGAAGTGAGGGTGCATGCCAGTCACCTCTCCTGCATACGCATTCATACGGCGAGCTGTCTCTCGGGACTTGATGTAGCCCCAGACCATGGGAGCCATGTCACGTTTGTCGTTCATGAAACCGGCATCGAAGTCCGGGTTCTCGTAGGGGTCTGAGGATTGGATATGGGTGAATCCACGAGAGAATGGGTATTCCTGTGCATTTCGTTAACCAAGAAATAATTCAAAGGTAGTCCTTCCACTTACCAAGAAATGGAACATGGTGAAGAACTTGCCCGGTGGCATGAGCATGTGATCACCGAACCATCCTGAAATGATCGAATAATGCATAACAGGCTTGTCCGGCTTATCCTTGAAGTAGGACTCCCATCCTTTCACAAAATCAGATGTAGGCCACCTCTTCATCTCCTCCAGTTCCTGCTGAGTCGGTCTAATCTTCACACCAGCATCAATACCATTCGTGGCTAGAGGACCAGTGCCCTTCAGGTTCCACTCGTCATAGACCTTCTTCTGAACTTCAGGGTCTCCCCGGATAAAGTCATCAAACGACTCAGTTTCAGGCTTAGCCCTGTACACAGAGAATGTAAGGTAGTGATCCTGGAAATTGCGGCCCACGCCCGGCAGGTCCACAATCGGCTTGACTCCAACTGCGCGGAGCTTCTCAGGATCACCAATTCCAGATCTTTGAAGGACGAGGGGAGAGCTCATAGTACCGCTGCTGACAATGATCTGCTTACGGGCTCTGAAGATCTTGCGGGGTGGGTTACGACCGTCCAAAGGCTTGGTTGGGATCGTTGCGACTCCGACTGCCCTGCCGTCTTCGATGATGACCTTGTCCACTTTGGTGTTGCACTTCAAGTGCAGGTTGGAATGCCTGCTTCGAGTGCTGTGGACGTATGCATGAGCAGCGTCACTTCGACGGCCTAGAGAAATCGTTAGCGACTTCTCCTCCAGTGTATAGAGAAAAAAGGTTCCTTACCAGTATCACGGTTGATCCACTTCAACCAATGTTCAGAACCGTGGCTATACAGACAGTTAGTCAACGGACAGTCAGACATCCCTCTCCGGAGCAATTTACCCAGTTTTGAGATCCTGCAGGTCATCCGTGACCGGGATGTCAAGAGACTCCGCTGCACGAAGAAAGTCCTGCATAACAGGGTACGTATAGTTCCCAAAAGAGACCTTAATGGGGCCATCGAAACCGTGAAGCTCTCTATTGTTGCAAGCACGTTGGTAAGTCTCGTGCTTTCTCATCAAAGGCAAGAGCTCCTTTGTACGCCATCCCTTTGCCTGCCAGTCATCGTAGTCCGAAGCAGAAGCCCGAGTATACATCTGCAGGTCCAGTTAGTGGACTGACCGACTGGAATTACTTCCTTTGCAAAATGATATCTCACCATGAAGTTGACCGAGCTACCACCTCCAAGAATATTTGCACATGGAACAATAGCTTTCCGACCGTCAAGATACTCCGATGGTCGAGAGTGATAGAATGAAGCGGTCTTCGAGTCCAGCTTCATGTTCCGGGGGTAGATACCGGGGCGGTAGATCCTAAGATACAGACAGCGGTTAATAAACGCCATTGCTCAAGACAATTGGTATATGCTCACCATGGATTGTTCAAGTTATCTTCACCAGCCTCAATCAAGAGAACCGAGAGGTTATGGTCGAGGTTGGCTAGACGGCCGGCTGGTACGCAGCCGGCGCTGCCACCACCGCAGATGATGATATCCACCTCTTCGGGGATGGTCATGGTGCTCGTGGCTATTTTTGGATCCAAGAAGTTGAAACGAATGCAGTACAAGCGATGAGAGGCGTTCAAGGACCGTTATATAGCAGTACTCAGGGATTGACGTACCCCGCGCGACAAGTGATGCAAAATGCAAAGAGATATTAACCAGAATATCCAACCATAGACTGACAACTGGACAGCGGCCGGAGTCTGATCGACGGGAGCGCTGAGTACGAATGCCTTTACTTGGCCATGCTTTCCCCGCATTTCAGACGAGAAATCCGGGAAAAATCTACAATTAGGGTAATGTACAGATTACTCGGCATAAAATGACCGGGGACGTGCAAACATACAGTGGAAATTGTGCAGGGGGTTCTGGTGTCACTAGTCTTGTTTGTGGTGGCACACGGAGGTAAACTATAGTACAAAAATAGGGTACGATATAAGCAGGCTCCGTAGAAATTAGCAAGAAGAAGCATCAGTCTATCACGGCACGAATTGAGGACAGAAACAGTCGGGTTTTGAGGTGGAACATTAGGCCGTATATGGATTGACAAGGCCAAAAGGACGAGACGTCTTTCAATGTGACGAATGGCAAATCAAAATCGATAGGGCATGTTTCCGCTGTCTGTAGTGTAAAGTTCCAAACATCTGCATGATTGGCATCGGCCGTATTCCATATTGCGGGGGAACAGTAAAACGGACATCCGTCCCCGCACAAGAATTGGAGCTTTGGCCGGACTGGCAGCTCAACTCTTATTCGCTCTTTCCGAAGATAGACATGGTCACGTAGATCCAATACCCTATATTCTCGTATACAGCGCGTCTTTTCTCGTCCCATATTCCCAGATTACCCTTCTCCGCGCGGACCGCCGGACGCATGCATCCTGCAGCTTCTAGAACTTCACCTATCCCACTGCGTCCTAACTCATCAATCCACTGAGTTTTCGGGGAGAGGATAAAGTACTGTGTCATGCTGTGCCACAACAGTACAAAGAAAAGCGACCAGGTGACATCCATCCAACGACACGGCACCTTGCCCGCAGATAAGAAAAGAACATGTTACGGGGCAGAGAGTATTTGCCATTCTTGACGGCAGATATCTTGTCAACTCCGCACTCGAAGTACTAATGTCAACTGTCATCATGACCGGGACTGTTGCTGGGCAAACTGACGTCGCTGCTCCAGAATTTGCATCCGCAGACCCTCAGAAGCCAACTCCACATCGAGAATAGCTCCAACTCCACGCTTCCAGGATTCCTCCAGACCAATCAGCTCCCCTTTACTGGATTCCTGCGCGATCTTTCTCTGTTTATTGACAGTCTCCGCAGCTTCCTTGGTCTCTGCCAATTCTTTCTCAATGCCACGCAGGATATCCTCCAACTGTGAGTTACCTATCAACCATGCATTCTTGCCATTTTCCTCAAGAAGGGCCAAGTTCTCGTGTCTCATAGACAGATGTGAACTGGCTGTGTAGGCCTTCTGTAATGTCCGGCGCCATTCATCGAGGTCCGGGGTAGAATTTCCCTCCGCATCAGTCTTTCGGGCGGGCGGCTCAGGAGCCTCGTAACGCGATAGGTCGATACCCCCAGTGAGTGGTAATCCGGCTGCCTTGCGCTCCAGCTCTTGTTGCATTAGAGGGGAAAATTGGGGTTCGGGGAAAGCGGGAATGGAGGAGTGGAGAGATGACGCATGATCTGGCGAGAGTTCTGCGGAGATGAGCTTCTCTGCGTTTGCTCGGGCATGCGCAGAAGGCTCATAGTCGATGTCTAAAAGAGATCGAAAATCGTTAGCCAAGGTGTCTACTTTGACGTGCATTCCGCGGATGAGCGTAACTCACAAGGAAGGGAATCGTGCGACTCGTTGATGAGTGTCATTTTGATTTGGGAGTATCAAGTCAATTTATAAGAGCTTCGGCTTTCCCAATTGACAACAACGAAGAAAAGACAACAACGAAGAAAAGACGGCGACGAAGGGCAATGCAGTCTCGACGCGACTGGCGACTGGGAGCTTTTCTTGAACGCTTTCGACGAAGGCGGTGAGACTCCTTGACTAATCATGGTTTCACGTGATTGTTTATCATCGTGACATCGTCTGGATTACGACCACATTCCAAGCTGATCATCTTTTGCTGGAGATTACCCTTGGTAAAGACATCCTTATATATCCTTAAATAGTATCAAACACTTTCAATGAGGCTGCTAATTATCTTACACAGGACTAGCTTTAACCTGACTGTTGTTGCCAAGCCGCGGCCCTAATTCGCTTTGTATAGGTTAGTATTTTGTACTTCCCTCGGTAATCCAGGAAATTTCACGAGAGATCGACTTCTGGAGTACTTCCGGCGTGCGGGGTTTCTCTAATGTGCTCGATTGAGGATTAATTTTTGAACAATGCTCCAGACATCAGCAACTTGCGCAAGGATGTCCAGTCTCAGGATAGGTGTGGTTCTATCCGGGGCGCTTATAGCAGCATTCCTATTATTGCAACTGGTTTTAAGCATCCAAGACCTAAAGCTGCCACTAAAAACCGATGGGAGGAGCTTTGCAGGGAATTCTAGCTCGAATGAGGATGTATTCCTCCTGGGTGCGGGCAAAGCCGATATCACAGGGTACAGCAGCATATTCTGAAACTCTCACTTAATATTTGCTAATGTCTCTTCAGGCCCACCGTTGAATTGGTTTTTAATGGCTTTGCAAACACGAATCAAGTCGGATCTGGTCTTCGACAAAGGATCTACTCTCGTGCGTTTATTGTTGCTAACCCAAGTCATCCGGAAGACACATTTATCTATGTGGTTCTCGACGCATTGACAGGAGATACTGGTATTCGCCATGGCGTGCTCGAGGGCCTCGCGAGCCTTGGTCCAGATTATGCGCGATACAACGAGCGCAATTTGGCATTGACTGGAACGCACTCTCACTCAGGGCCTGGGGCGTGGATGAACTATTTGCTCCCTCAGATTCCTTGTAAGGGGTTTGATAAGCAAAGCCACCAAGCTGTTGTCGACGGTGCTTTATTATCTATTCAACGAGCACACGAGAGCTTAGCTCCAGGGCGCCTCACATTTAGCTCCATTGATCTAGATGCCAACGTCAATAGGAGTCCATACGCGTATGACGCCAATCCCGAAGAAGAAAAAGGACGATACTCGGACAACGTGGACAAGACTATGACTCTCCTGAGATTTGATCGGGAATCGGATGATAAAACCACGGCTATCCTGACTTTCTTTCCCGTGCACGGCACGTCAATGTATAGCAACAACACCCTGGTCACAGGAGATAATAAGGGTGTTGCAGCATGGCTTTTTGAGCGAAGCGCTCGAGACGACGATAGATTCGCCGATGATTTTGTTGCAGGTTTCTCGCAGTCGAATGTCGGCGACACTAGCCCGAATATCTTTGGTGCATGGTGTGAAGACGGATCAGGAGAACGGTGTCGATACGAAGATAGCACTTGTGGCGGAAAAAACAAACTGTGTCAGGGCCGAGGACCGTACTTCCGTGAACAGGATGCGGGTGCCAAGAGCTGTTTTGAGATCGGAAGGCGTCAGTATGCCGCTGCTAGACAGGCATACGAGCAGACAGATGCCGCTGCTACCAAGATCGTTGGAAGCTCCCAAGTCAACTTTTTTCATGTCTACCAGGACCTTTCAAACTATACTTTCCAGTCACCCTTCAATTCCAGCATCTTGGCCACGTGCCCAGCAGCGATGGGTTTCTCCTTCGCTGCTGGTACCACGGATGGATCGGGCCAGTTCGACTTTACGCAAAACAACAGCTCCCCAGCTAAATCCAACCCCCTGTGGCTCGTCGTGCGCGACTTTTTGCATCTACCGTCGGACGACCAAAAGGCTTGTCAAGCCTCCAAGGAAGTTCTCTTTGATATTGGGTCAATGTCTCAACCATATCCATGGGGTCCGAATATCGTGGACATTCAAGTTCTCCGGGTGGGGCAACTTATGATCATTGTCTCGGCCAGTGAAGCCACCACCATGTCTGGTAGGCGCTGGAAGGAAAGCGTTGCGAAATCTTCAAGGGACATACTTTCTATTGCGGATCCTCTGGTGGTTCTCGGTGCTCCTTCGAATAGCTATGCCCACTACGTTACTACCGAGGAAGAATATGGCATCCAACGCTATGAAGGCGCTTCTACTCTTTACGGGCCAAACACACTTGCGGCCTACATTAACCTGACCCTTACATATCTTCCGTATTTAGGAAATTCGTCCCAGGTTATCGGATTGCCTGCGATTCCTTCTGGGCCTAGCCCGCCGGTTAACACTAACAAGTCCTTGAGTTTCATTCCGTCAGTGGTGTTCGATAATGCGCCATTTGGGAAATCATTTGGAGACGTTATTTCATCACCGCTAGATATTGTTTATCGACCTGGTGACACAGTACGAACTTCCTTTGTTGGAGCTAACCCACGGAATAGCCTTCGCCTCGAGTCCACATTTGCAGCGGTTGAAAGGCGAAATTCTGAAACAGGCTCCTGGGAAGCCGTGCGCACTGACAGCGACTGGAATCTTCTCTACCACTGGAAGAGAACAAACACCGTTCTTGGAATTAGCGAAGTGAGCATCGAGTGGCAGATTGAGGACGACTACTACAATCTTGGAAGTCCTAAGCCCTTGGAGAATGGAACCTACCGTATGCGCTACTACGGGGATTCTAGGAGCGTACTGGGCAACATCAAAACATTCGAGGGAACTGGAGAACCGTTTACTGTGGTAGTTGATTAGTCTCTTGCTAGATGTCCGAAATAACACAATCTTTCCGACGCTTCCGCACAAATGACCTATTGAGCTATCTTGATATTGTGTAACTGATGAGCATTATCCCGATCCCTCTGTCGCAGCCACAATCACTGACAGCGACTTTCCACGTGCTATTGGCGCATTCTTGCCGCGCGCGTTCTTTGTGTTTGAATTTCAGCCATTTAAGGCACTTCTCGAGTCTTTGTTCAACGACCCGCAGGATCTTGCGAGACGGCCCTTCCATTTCAACCTCCGCAACCCTGCGGCCTACTTGCAGCCCTCTTCAGAAGTCCGGTAATGTTGTCCTAATATGGTCTGATGATTTTTTGTGCCCGAATTTCCTTTCTTCACATCCATTCAACTTCTACGGACTCGACTCCGGGTCAAGTCTTCTTTCATGATCTCGCATGCTGGTGCTACTTTGTAGCCCAGAAACTGTTCAAAGAAAGTCCTGCTGGGTTTAAAAGAGCATCTCTTTTCAGAATGGGCCTCTTGCGCAATCATTCCATCCTTCCCTTTTATATCCACTCGCCTGCCCCCAAGTGACAGCAGGATATCCCAATTGTGATTATCAATCCTCCACCAACCGAACAAGATGCATTTCGCTCACTTGGCTACGGCCGCCTTTCTATTCGCTCACCCTTCCTCGGCTAGGCCTGTCGACGAACCCTGGAGTACTCTCCTCTCCATCCCTTGGCCATACTGGAACAAAGTTACTGCCGATTTCACTACAGTCGCCGTGAAGCGAGATGCTACACCCACGAACCTTCCGCGAGATGGCCCAGTCCCCGACTCCTACACTGTCGACGGCACCGCCTATTCCTATAACCCCTGGACGCATCCCATTCGCGGCGTCGTACCCACTGACATTCCTGATGCCCATTCTGATGCTGATGCCGATGCTGAGCACCCCACACCCACGAAGCTTCCGCGGGACGGCTTCTGGCCCGAATCCTACACTGTCAGCGGCACCGTCTATCCGTTTGATATTCACACACATGCCATTCGCGACGCTGCCCTGACTGACGCCCCGGATCCCGATCCTGAAGTCTATATTAACACTGATTACATTACATACGACATTCCTCAGCACGCTACCATCACAAAGTTTGGCAAGGTTGTTACGATGGACAACTTCTTCACCCTCGACGGCACCATCTATCCCTGGATCCCCCTCACGAACGCCATCCGCGACGTCGTCCCCACTGACATTCCCGAAGCCGAAAATTATGCTGATGCGTCCCCCTCCGAGCCTCTCTTCGCAGAAGCAAAACCCACCCTCGAGGTTAGGACCGAGGAGGCCCCTTCCAATGAAACCGCCACGCAGACCAGTAAGTTCTTCCCTGAGATCGTGCTGGTGTCGCCTGGTGCCTCGTCTACGGGGACGAAGACTCTCCCTTCCGATTTCTTTGAAGTCCACAGCACTAGCACTAGTAGTGCGAAAAGCGTGATCACTCCGATTGACCTTACGCAGGAAACGGTCATTACGCCGATTGACCCCTGGTGGACTACATCATCGAGCGATCGTGTTGGGACGACGCTCGTCAAGATCGTTGTTACTCACACTGACTACTATGATGAGAAGCTTACTACTACTTCTACGCCTACGACTAGTAGTGTGGTGACTGATATTGGGACTTGGACTAAGACTGTTCCGGTTTAAGGAGAGTCTTTTGGTTTGAACTTTGTTTTCTTTGGTTTTCGTCATGGATTTTGTGTATTGTGTTGTGTTTATGCTGCGCAGGAATTTAACACCAGGTTTATTATATTGCTCTCAGTGCACCACTAGCAGGTATTGTATATCATGCTTTGGAGCTGATATATCCTAATCCAATCCTAAATTTGAATCAATTGAATAATGCATTGCCTAGATCAGAAACCCACCCTAGGAGAATAATATAAAAACATAACCAAGTCATCCATCGTAATGTGAAAACAACAAAAGAAAGACGCAAATAAAAAACCAAGCAAATAACCCAACTCCATACCAAACCGATCCAATTTAAAGCTCCGACAAAACACCCCCGGCCTCCGCAAACTTCTTCTGAAACTCCTTCACACTAGCCCATTGCCTCAGCTCCTCTTCATCTCGATCATGGTCACTCAGATAGCTCATGCTCCGCCCGTACTGCTGCGGACTACTTGCTGTCGTCGCGGGGGCGGATAGACCCTCGAGGCGCATGAGGGTGTCGATGAAGGCGTGGAGGTAGGTTTGTGTTTCGGCCATGGTTAGGGGGTGCGGGCCTGGTGCGGAGGAGTCGGTGGCTGTGTGGTATGGAGAGTGGTCGTCGAAGGTGCCGGGGTAGTTTAGGAGGGTGGAGGCTACTTGGCGGATTTTGGAGGTCTGTTTTGATGTCAGCGAGAAGTCAGAAATAATAGTGGGAGGGGGCTTACAATGCTAACGCCATTAGGCTCCATGTTGATCTCGTTGACAGAACGCAGCAAGACCATGAGATCGCGAATGACCAGCCGGCGTTCCTCCGCCATCATACGACCGATGAAATCAGCCTGCGCATGTGTATACTGCAGCATCGCAATATCCCCCGGTGATTCGCCCTCCAGCTTCACCGTCGACCCTGGGGTCGCAGGGGATCCGTGTTCTAACGGTTTCTGATGCATCATTTTCTGATGAGCCCCGTAAATGTTCCAGTACTTTTCCACCAGGTATGACCGTGTGCCTAGTTGCGAAGCGTAGATGTTCGCCTTCTGAATCTCGTACTGGATGGCGCGACGATCTTGTGCGTCCGGGTCTTCCATGGCGGCTCGGACGGGATCGAACTTGCGCTGTTCTGGACTTACTGGTGTTGCCAGTGTCCATTGGAGGGATAATTCGCGTGGTACATGGGCCAACGCATTTTTGCAATTCTGTAGACACTCCCAGAGTAAGCTTCGTTGTCGCTCATAATCGAAGATCAGACCACTCCCGAATGCAAGTTCCCATGCGTGGAGCGAGTTGTACGAATTGAAAACTCGCACGTTCGCGTTGAACCCCGCCAGACGCGAGACCGTGCTGGGTGGTTGCGGCCCTGCATGCGTCGAGAACAGGAATTCATCATCAATCTCCATAGGCAGAGGAGGGTACCGCTCTGTCGGAGTTTCCGGCGGAAAGTGAGCGCTGATGTCCATGGAGCCCATTTGTTGTAACGTTCGAAATCCCACCAGGGTCGTGTAAAAGAGACGCCGCCCCAATTCCTGCTGGATAATATCGACTTGATACCCATCTGCGAGTGTTGCACCAGCAGCCATTGGATCTAAATCTGGCGAAGCCGGGCTCGTGGGATTGCTGCCAGCTAATCTCGGGGACTGCCGACACAAATCATACACCTGCAACATCGTACGGCATTCCGCTAGATAGGCACGGCAGCGTCGCATATTCCACACATACCCTGCGCAAAGTCCCAGGAAGTAGCTTATGGCCGCGTCATAAACCGTGGCCGTCCGATCGAGGTATCCAGTCCCGCGTGCCTGCACTGCAACATCATGGCACCGCTTGACCAGGGCCATTGAGTGTGGAAATGCAGCCTTTTCAGCTGCCGTCCTTAAATGTTGCTTTGGCCGCCTGGGGAACGACGCGACCAGCGACCCGATCATGCCGGCCAGGAGGGCCAAAAAGGTAGGATTTGTAACATCCTCGCGACGCTCGAATGCTGCGCGAAAGGTAGGTTCGTGCGGTACGGGGACTAACGGATGGATATAGGTGAAGAAATCGTCGATGAGCAATCGTACTGTGGGTAATGGGCATATCGATTCCGCAGACATCCAGGAGGTAGTGGTACTAGTAGGCGGCGGCGGAACTGGCGCTGATGCTATGTCGGAAGTTGAGGGACTGGGCGACGCCGTTGGAGAGCCCACGGAAGCAGTGGCAGCAGATCCTGGGCTTGGGCCCAGTTTCTGTTTCTTAATGGCTTCAGCATGGCGATTCGGGGGACCGCGTCGTCGGCTTGGTCGTTCGTAGGTACACGGAATGTCCAGACTGGCACAGGAGCGACAGGGCGGGCCACTGGTGTCGCACTACGCAATTAATATCATGGCAATCAGAAGAAGAGAGGTATGATGAGAGAGATACCTTGACCTTGCGGATACTGCAGGCATCGCAGGCCTTGCGCAGTCTGGTTTTGCTGTCCATGGAGACGATGACGCAATGGGGGCTATTCCATGCTTCAGGACATGATCAGGGCGATATACTGAGAACGGACAAAGTAGAAGAGAGAAATAGCATTATAAGAAGGATTGAATGTTTAGACAAGGACAGATCCGGGGAGACCGGGGGGTGAGGCTCAAAGGATCAAGGGTTTCCCCAGAGACTTTTCGGTTCTCCGGCGGGGGGGAATGCGGAAGAGGCTGATCTCGGTACAATCAGGGGTACCGGCATATACGGGGTATACGACTATACCGGGGTGCACCTGGCCTAGAATGTACAGATTAGCTGTTCTTTCATGTTCAAATTCTCTATATGATCATCCCTCCCCCACCATGTCTCTGCTAAGAAACCTCCGCTATATGAGTTAGAGGATACATTATGGACCGATGCAACGCTATCCATCTTGGTGCGGTTTCAGTTCTTTGACTGCAAAAACCCTCAGAAAGTTTGGGAGGGAGTTATCTCGTGTCCACGATGCCTTCTACAAGGCTGCGGCCGTGTTCGCGTACCGTGAAAATCCTCCCGGGGGACTTCTGAATGACTCGTGACGATTGCCATCCTTGAACTCGAGTCCACAGAGACGTATGGCGATCTTATACGCCTGTTAGTGGCCAAAGTCGTCGTGCTGGTCCTTGTGAAGGTCAATTGCATTGACCTTCGAGACCTTTAGCGGTCAGCCGCTTTGGGAATGGAAAGGATGCTTGAAACTCGATCACGATGGGTACATCTTTTTGAGAGACTCCGTGACTATCGTGCATTCGCCATAGGTAGTGTACGTTTTTCTAGACCTTGGTTGACTTATTGTCAACGCATATGAAGAACTGGGAGTGGTTTTTGTACTCTAATAACCTACCCTGGTTACTATGTCAATCACTTTATTATCATTCTTTGGATCTCCAGTACTTGTACGGAGCCTGTAGTGCAGGTGTTGTTCGGATGAAGCTGTTAGGGCGTGCTTTAAAGGTACCTTCCCTTTCTGTCAACCCATCAACTTCTTACTCCCTCCCATTTCTTGCGACGCTTATACATCGCGAATCACACTCATTCTTCTCATATCGGTTGGCATCTATACTATAGGCAGTTGTCGAAAAGTTTTCGACTCCCTCTGGGCCGTTTCTCGACTTGTTCACCTTCCACCAGCTATCTATCATTCAGCTCCGTATTTCTCTGCTGTATTCTTCTTCTTCACGTCAAGAATATCATCTACGAATATGAGGTAACTCAGAAACCCATCTAATCAACAAATGCATGACACTGACACCCACATCAAAGTTATTTAAACTATTACCGCATCGACACCAGCCACCGCACATGGAAGAAGACCTGGCCACAATACACCAAAGATATCAGACAGATCATGCGCGCCTCTGGAGCCTACAAGGCTGATCCTGATAGAATCGTCAAGCACTGAATTGGATACAAAGGGCACTGCGAGGGATTCTTCGCAACTGCTAATAAACCCTATGAAGTTGGCGTTGCCTGTGTCTTGTTGAGAGCCTTCATGCTGGTGCCGGATGCTTGTCAGATTGTGTGAGTCTTCTTATCTTCTGTTTTCTTTCTGATTGAGGACTGTGCTGGTTTTGGATATTAGTTCTGGTGATTGGGAGGACTGGGAGCCGGCTTGGGCCCTTTACAAGAGTATGTTGGGGGGGAACCAGTGTGCCCGTGGGACCGCGGTGACTATACAAGACCTACTTTAGATTCTCGATTCCGGAGGCTATGGAGGAGTTTCCGAGGGAAGAGCCGGGATGGTTGACGCTTTCTCAGTTTGGTTTAGATGATGGCGCATATGCTGGTGATGATAATTTTATCGTTATGGTTATTATTCGGGTGGCAACGATTAGGTTAGGTGGAATAAATACACGCAGAGTAAGCTCTTCTGCCTGGATTTGACGTCGAGTGCATCGTAGTCTGCTTGCCTAGTGTAGTAGAGAAGATGTCATGACTATAGGCAGAAGTTGGGGTCTTCTTAAACCCTTCCATCTATTTACTATTGAACTAAATACTACTCTCTTCGGCTTGAGATATCATCTATCAAAATGCGGTAAGTCAAAACTAGACAATCGTCAACAAAAACACACTAACACCGATAAGTTATACACACTACTATCGCATCTATACCAATCACTGCGATTGGAAGAAGATCTGGCCTCGACTCATCAAAGACACCAAAAGAATCATCCGCGCTTCCCACGTGAAGGTGACTAACTCCAGAGGATACGACTTAAAACCCGATGACAAGGTCCCATCCCCCACAGTCAGCAAGAAGGACGGAATCGGCATTAACGGGATTGGTCGTAATGCACACGAACCATTCACCATCAGCTGCAAAGGTCGTATGTCTATGGGGTTCACGAAGACTGCGCGCAAGCCGTACGATGATGTGGTTATGTGTGTGTTGTTGAGGGCGTATATGCTCGCGCCAAGTGTTGTTCAGGTTTCGTAAGTTTCCTCCTTCCGTTGTATTTGAGGGTTCAGGATGATGATTATGCTTTATAGTTCTGATGAGGACTGGATGGACTGGCAGCCGGCACGGTATAACTATTTATAGGAATGTTTTTGGTGAGGAACCTTTGTGTCCGTGGGAGAATAACGGTGTGATCCCTTCGACCATGGATTCAGGTCAAGATATGCCTCCTTCCACCGGCTGCTTTGGGATGCTTTGGTTTGGCGTACGGAGATGATGCCAGGTTGAGATGATGTTGGGAAGGGCAGAGTAACGGGTTTGTTTGCTATTAGGGTTCTTCGTATAATGGACATCGAATACGTGAACAGCGTTCATGTAATTAGCTAATTGCGAAGGTGTCACTCTTTTAGATCGTTCTAAGTAGTAGAAGGAATGTTCTGGTTGTAGGCAAGCATAGTGGGTGTTAAACTGCACCTTCCCTTTCTGTGCCGGTTTTCCTCTATTCACTTTCATCCTCCATCCCCCGTCCACCATCCACCTTCAACCTCCCATTCATTTCTCGCCCACCAAGTCCACGTTCTTCTTTCATTTCAATTCCAGTATCCCACTAGTCTCTCCATCACGTCAAGGATAGCATCCAATCCACCACAATGGGGTAAGCCAGAACCATCCAAACAACCCATCGACACCTACTAACACCAAAAAGCTACACCCACCACTACCGCATCGACACCAGCCATCACGAATGGAAGAAGATCTGGCCTCAGTTTATCGTCGATGTCAAACAAATCATCCACGCCTCTGTAGTCGACGTGACCGGTCCCGATGGAATGCACTACACCAGACCCGACCCTGACGAGGACGATAGCAATAACGCCCGCCCAATTCCACCTCCCGTCATCAGCGTCAAGCGTGGAGTGGAAATCAATGGAGTTGGACGTGACGCTCATGAGCCGTTCACTATCGCCTGCGATACTCATATTAATATGGGATTCTGCAAGACTGCGCACAAACCCTACGACGACGTGGTCACTTGTATCTTGTTGAGGGCTTTCATGGTGGCTCCGAATGCTTGCCAGATTTCGTGCGTTTCATCTTTCTCCTTGTTCGCGATAGGCAAGTCGAGCTAATTTGAATTTTAGTTCCGACGGATCGTGGCACGAGTGGGAACCGGCTCGGTCGACCTACAAGAGTTTGTGGAAGGAGGATGCCGTATGTCCCTGGGATGGCGGTGATTACGCGAGCTCCAAGGCCAAGCCTGACGATGCCACTGGTAGTTCTCGCCTTCGAAAGCTGTTCAAGTGGCTCCGTGGAGGTTATGAGCGTGAGGGTTAATGGTTCACGGCTTCGTTTCGATCCGGATGTTGGCGATGAGAATTGTACTGCAAGGTTATATGTGCGAAAGTGGTAGATGGTGTTGACACTGCTTTGTTATTACGTTCATTCAGATATGCCTCGGGGTACGGTAATGCAATGCTTTATGGTCAACTTTGGTTCGCTTATAGCGTACAGAGTCGCGACAAGGCCAAAGCAAGCTGCCAAACTATCACGCGAATAAGTTCCATTGCAAAGGCTACAAAGCCAGTAAATAATATCCAATGTAACAAGCCCAACAGTACATCATATCACATAAACATGGCATTGGTATATTCAGTTTCGTCAATCGTGGGTATCGGTAATATCTCTTAGCCCACCTGCATCAGGTGGTATGTACACGCTTAGGCCGCTTCCTCGTCGTTATATCTCGGAATTTCTGGCTCACGTCGCTGCTCCAACAGACCACGTTTGTTTTCCAACTCTGAAGCCCAAAGAGCAGAGCCGACGGCCGTCGTCATCAGGAAGAACATCGAAAAAATCGGAACCAGCTGTAGCAGCAAAGCCACCGTTCCAAACCTGCCATTGTCAACAACCCGAACCAAGAGAAACAAAGATTGAAAAGATAACTCACGATGTATACTGAAGCTGCCTCTGCCGAATCCGCTCCTTCCTCTGCTTCTTCGGCACATCCAACAACTGAAAGTACCGCCAGTGGTGAAACGGTCCAGCACGATAGCCCGTCAACAGCAGGAACATCGGCACGCCAGCAACGGGGATCAAGTTCAGCGGCAGCAGAATCACAAACTCAACAATCTGTCTCAGGGAAAACGGCGCATACACAGCCCCCTTCATCGGTTTCCCAAGCCGCTGCACGATATTATCTCCCTGGGGATATAGCACCCGAGAAGTCGTAACTAGCTCTCCATGACCTTCATTGACTAGTACCGCATCAAATATATCCACCAGCGTCTCGTCAACGAAGAATGCTTCGAACAGCGCGGCCACGATGGCTGCGCCTTCGCCCAGGACTAAGAAGGCACCGCTGATCCAGGCGGTTTTGCCTTGGAAGATGGCGAGGAAGGCGACTTGCGGTATGTATGTGAAGAGGAAGAGGAGGACGTAGATAAATGTCGAAAGGAGGATGATTGGGATTAATCGAGCTTTAAATAAGGGCCAGAGAAAGCGATGGGTGGAATAGTACAGGATTCCCTGTTAGGCGTCAGCATTCAGTCTGTTTTGGGGGAATGTCAGGTATCGTTGTCGAAACGTACTCGGAAGGGAAATAGCCAAGCAGCGCTATTCATATTCAAAGATCGGGTCATGGTAGATATATTTTTATACCAACAGTGGTATTGTTCCTGTTTAGATGACGAGGCATAAAACGACGTCGGTTGTTGGATGCCAAGACAGCACTATTTTTATCGATAAGCGCTCACCGCCCGGCATACATATAAAAATCCGAAATTTTTCTCATCCTCTGAACCTTCTCTTTTTTTCCTACCAAAACTGAAACTCCTTTCTATTCACTCTGAAATCCCACATCGCTCAATGGATATCTGGAGGGGAAATGAAAGGATAGAATGAATTTGCTTGCTTACCCCGGATTCTTCTTTCTTGCGTGGAGCGTTCGGAAATACAACTCGCAATACATCTCTCTCAACAGCCTCACTAGTATTGCTTAAACTCGACATGTAACATGGCGGTTCAATTTGTCTTTATAATGATGGGTAATCGTCTGGATAATGTCTTCCAGGCTGTGCAGGACTGCCGTGGGCTCGAGACTCGGCTCAGCTCTGTCTGTCCATCCTGTCAAACTGCGGTCGATCCAGATGGCCTTCAGGCCTGCGTTGCGCGCGCCATTGATGTCGAATGGATTGGCACTGATCACCCAGATGTCTTCCTTTTGGGATGCTAATCCCGCCGTCTCCGCCAAGTGGTTATACACTGCCGGCGCTGGCTTGAATTGTTTGACCTCTTCAACTGTGACGATTTCTTGAAAAACTGCCGAGTATGGTGCGAGGTCCTTTGATTTTGACAATGAATGGGATACCATTGTCTTGGTGCCGTTGGTGAACACCACCGGTACGACACCGGGGGTCACTGCCAGTCGACTCAATGTTGGTCCGACATCCGGGAACGTTCCCATGTTCTCGAAGGCGGCCATGAGCCTGTTGATGTGCTGCTCTGCCGGATCGGCTCCGGGGGTTTCTGCTAAGGTATGGGACAGGGCGTTACGAGTTACTTCGGAGAAGGGTAGAAAGCGTCCTGTCAACGGTTTAGTAGTGTGAACAGCATCGTAGAAACGCAGTCACGCACCCAAACTGTTCAATCTCCAAGTGTACGCCAGCTGGTGCTGTCTCCATGTCTTTAGGATGGCCTCAGCGTTGGCTTTTGGGAAGTGCTTTTCCAGTTCTTGGGCGATGGTCTCCATAGTGAGGACAGTCCCGTAGATGTCCATGGCAATCACGACTTTCTTGGTCATTTTGTAGAATCTATGACTGCAGGAGCTCAATGTATCAATTGATTCAATTCAACTGGATATGTACAGAGAAATCCCCTTAATACCCCTGGGGGTAGACTAGAATACGCGGGGACGAAAGCTACTTACTAACGATGACATCAATCCGCGATCTTCTCACATCGCGTGGATTTCCATCACCACCGCAAAGAGCACCATGAACTCCAACTATGAAGTCTTCCGCGATATTCTGTCCGGCATTTTAGTCGCGAGGTCCAATGAAAGGCCTCGCGAGCCCTCAAAGCGCAAAGCAAACAAGGCGCGGAGAAATAACAATTCGAGCAGCAATAATAATGTGAAGGCCACGCCCGTCGTCAAAAGAGAACCTATTCAGAGGGCTAATCCCGAGGATTTGGCCGAGTTTGTTGATGTATTTACCGTTCCTCCCCCTACAATTGGAGACGAATACTAAAGTAAGCCAGTTCCTCGCCTCCGAAATCTTCACCCACCTCCCCGACACCCTCCAAACCCTTTCCTACAGCACAACCCAACAAGATCTCTCCCTCCGAACAGACACCTACCCAACCCCCCTCCCAACCCCCCTCATCGAAACCCTCTCCTCAACCCTCCCATCCACCGTAACCGAAACCCTCACCGTCTACGGCCTAATCCCCGACCCCACCGACATCCCCGAAACCCTCCTCTCCCCACTCCTAAACGAGTACGTCTCCAGCGTAACAGCGGGACCACCAGTTTGGGCATCGACGCGGACAGACGCATGCGAGATCTGTGAACGGGATTGGATACCGCTTTCGTATCACCATTTGATTCCGCGGGCTGTGCATGAGAAGGTGCGCAAGAGAGGGTGGCATGAGGAGTGGATGTTGAATAGTGTTGCGTGGTTGTGTCGGGCGTGTCATAGTTTTGTGCATCGGATGGCGGGGAATGAGGAGTTGGCGAGGGAGTGGTATACCGTTGAGAAGATTTTGGAGAGGGAGGATGTGCAAGATTGGGCGAGATGGGTTAGTAGGATTCGGTGGAAGAAGACATGACATGACATTATTCGTGAATAGAAAGATAGAGGCATAGAGCTCGTGGCATCACATTATATCTGTGGATAAATGTATTGTACATGAAGTCATATCATTTTTGAACCCCCCGAAACACTTTTGTCATAAAACACCCGTTCTATATGCGTTGATATGCAAGCTCCCAAGACCCGAATAAAAATACAATGATCCAAAGGATCACAAGAATGGAAAGAGAAGAGAAAAGGGTATATCACAGATATCTCTTCTCGTAGATATCCTCATAACACTGGACATGGTCGCCGGGGGCGAACTCCGTCCAGCCTTCGAAGCTGATACCACATTCGGTATCTTTGCGCATTTCGGCCACGTCCTTCTTGACGTTCTTGAGAGAAGTCATCGAGCCTGAGAACGTAGTTAGCAAATGCCATCTGAACCAAAACACGGGAAAAGCAACTCACCATCATAAATAATATCCTGACCTCTCAGAACCCGAACCTTCTTGGTCTTTTGGATAATTCCATTGCGAACCCTACAACCCGCAATGGCAGTCGTCTCCCGTTTCTTGACGGTGATATCGAAGACCTGGCTGATCTCCGCCTCTCCCGTCACGCGCTGAGTCACATTGGGCGGCAACTGCTCACTGAGGATCTCCTTGACATCGTCCATAAGTTTGTAGATGACGTTGTGGTCCATGATTCTCACGCCTCGCTGTTCTGCCATTCGCAGCATAGCGTGATCGATCGCTGTGTTGAATGTGATGATGTTTCCACGGGCAGCGGCAGCGTGCTCAATATCAAACTCTCCCACTGGCCCGACAGCGGAACGGAGCACGTTCGGGTAGACCTCGTTGTTGCCAATCGCAGTGACTGAGTTCAGGACAGCCTCGACGGATCCATCAACGTCCGCCTTGATGATGAAGTGCACCGGTTTGGGACCGGAAGTAGCCTGTTCAACTTCTACATGATGACCGGTCTGTTCCAGTTCTTCCTGTCGACGTTTGTCGAGAAGCCCACGGCGAGCCTCGTTGATGGCCGTGGCATCTTCGCCGAGTTTCTGGGTCTCTGCCTGCTCCAACCGCCACTCAACCACATCCTTGGCTCTCTGTTCGGAAGGTGCTTGTATCATCTCCGTGCCGGCGTTTGGCTGCTCCCTCCAGCCGTCGATTTCAATGGGCATACCGGGTGTTGCTTCATCAATCGTAACGCCAGCCTCGTTACGGAGGGTGCGCACACGAGCCCACGCATCACCTGCAACGACGATATCACCCACGCGTAGGGTACCACGCTTGACGAGCGCGGTGGTCACTCGACCGTAGCTCTTCGTTGTACTCTCAATAACCCAGCCTTCAACGTTACCTTCTGTGTCGGCTCGGTGGTCCTGCATGTCAGAAAGAGCCAGAATGGCTTCTTCGAGTTCCACCATTCCTAGGCCTGTCTTACCGCTCACGCCAATAGCCTGGACATCGCCGCCGTACTCTTCGACGTAGACATTATTAGCTGCGAGGTCCTGTTTCACCTTGTCGACATTGATGTCCTCCTTGTCAATCTTGCTGATAGCAACGACGATGGGAACCTTGGCTCCAGTGGCATGTCTAATGGCTTCGATCGTTTGGGGTTTGACACTGTCGTCTGCAGCTACCACAAGAACGACAATATCTGTGACGTCTGCTCCTCGACGACGCATCTCCAAGAAGGCTGCGTGACCGGGGGTATCCAAGAAAGTGATGGTCTGCCCAGAAGGCATGGCGACACTGAACGCACCAATGTGCTGCGTAATGCCTCCATGCTCTCCAGCAGCGATAGATGATTTGCGCAGCCAGTCCAGAATAGTGGTCTTGCCATGGTCGACATGGCCCATGATGGTGACCACAGGCGGCCTGGGAGGCAACGAGGACGGGTCTTCTGGTCCAGGGGCAGCAGTCAAATCGAACCCTTCCTCGGGCTGATCGAAAATGGGCTCAAAGTTGTACTCGACCGCGATTAGACCAGCCGTTTCTGCGTCCAAGACATGGCTATATGTAACACCCTCAAAGCCCATTTGTTCCATCCGTTGTACGAATTGAGCTGGCCGTACTCCAATGACGTCCGCAAGATTACTGACGCTGATGAACTCGGGCAGGAAAATAGGACTTGGGGCGACGTGCACTTCCTTTCGCCTTGTCCTTTCTTTCTTCGCGCGCTTTCGATCTTCTCGACGACGTCGGGTTTCCTCCTGGTCGTAACCTTCCTCCTCTTCGTCGTTCTTCCGTTGTTTCCGGCCATCACGACGCTTATGGTCCTTTCGGCGCTGTATCACTGGTTCCTCCTCCTCCAGACCCCATTGCCGTGAGTCCTGCTGGTTTCCCTCGATATCCTGGGATTGGAGTTCTGCAAGTTTCTCTCTGTCAATCTCCTCAATCGGATCGACGGCAACCACATCGTCTGACTTTGAGATTGGCTCTCCAGCGTTTTCGTCGCCTAGTAAGTCACCTATATCTTCTGACCACGCTGAATATTTCTTGCTTCTCCGTGCTGCGGCTTGCTCTGTATTGACACGATGCCGCACCTCTTTAACCCTCCTTGGTCTTGACGGATCTGTTTCAGGCTCAGATCTTGGGCAGCCACAACGGGGGCAAAAGAAATATTTCCCAAAACAGTTGAATCCGCAGTTCGGGCAGTGCCAGTCAGATTTGAAATGTTTCCTGGGCTTATCGCCGCCGGTCCCTGCGTCCTTGGAATATACGGACCGGGGAGTCAGTCGTTGTCTCTGATCCCGGGGACCCGCACCACGAGCGTCCCTATTCTCCTGCTCTCTCTGTTTCCGCTGTGCCACCATCCTCTCGCGCATCGCTTGCTCGGCTGGACTCAAAGTAATCGATTGTCGAGCACCACCCCATGGTCGTTTCTGAAATGGCGAATCGTTGATACGCGACTCTGTAGTCTCTTGCTCTTTTTTATCCTCTTCTTTCTTGGGCTGCTGCGCCCTCATCTTGTCGCGAATCGCCTGTTCCGCTGGGCTCAGGGCAACAGGTCGTTGAGTTGACTGCCCGCTGCCCCATCGTGATGTGAACTTGGGCTGTGAAAACGAAGGACGAGATTTGCTTCCATCTTCGCCATCATTATTCGAACCGAACGAATCGAGCGCTGCGGGGGAGGAATGAAATGTCCGTCGGAGACCGTAGTTCGTCGGCGTTATTCTATGTGCGGCCGCAAACGAAAGATTCGCAACACCTTGACGGCGGGACAACTGCAGTTTTGTCAGCACAGCGAAACTAGTAAAATATAAAGCAACTCACCTCTAATACCACCCGCCTCTGCATCATGACCGACAATTGCGCCTGTCGTTTCCCTCGGAGAGCGCCTCACGGCGGCTTTTCCTCCGTTTCCCGCGCCGGGGTCACGTGCCCGTCGGTGCCCCCGCCCAATCGGAGTTTGGCTGACATAATCTCCGTCCCACCTCACGCCATCGCGATAAGAACGAGAGCACATCGGCCTGCTTCCTTTTGCAATTTCTTTCTTTCGGTGGGTGTTTAAATTTTCTGTGTGTGGTCTTAGCGGTATTGTTCAATTGGGCATTCAATTCTGCCCGTAATTTTTCGTTCGTTCCGGTCAATTCCCGCAGAGTCGCCAGTAACCGCAGCGGTACCGCATCAATATGGAATCGGAGGCATTTGAAGATATGCAAAAGGGGGGAGGAGCCCTCCGAGCAGTTAAGGATTTGGCTTCTGGTGCTGTGGGTGGTATTGCACAGGTTCTTATTGGTATGTGCCAATTGATATTTGATATCTAAGGAGCATTGTAGGTGGCTGGAAGTATTATCATCGGCGACACCCCACAATGCTTCTTCTACCATTCTAATTGAGGAAATGCATGATTGAATATGCTTTCTCTATGCTGGGGATCAATTGGCTAACATGCTGCAGGACAACCATTCGGTATGTGAGGCAAAGCGTTGCATAGACTGCATCGTTATCTGACTATTAGCAGATATCGTCAAGGTGCGGCTGCAAACAACGACACAATACGCCAATGCTCTTGACTGCGCCAGCCAGATCTTCAAGAATGAAGGACCCGCGGCTTTCTACAAGGGTACCTTGACCCCGTTGATTGGAATCGGTGCTTGCGTAAGTAGCATTCTATACATAGTCGACTGTCCATGATCTGACAAGTACCAGGTCAGTGTGCAATTTGGCGCTTTCCACGAAGCCCGTAGGCGCCTAGAAGAGCTCAACAAGAAGAAATACGCCGACCCCACCCTCTCATACGGCCAATACTACCTGGCCGGTGGTTTTGCCGGTATCACCAACTCCGTTCTCTCTGGTCCCATCGAGCACGTCCGTATCCGTCTGCAAACCCAGCCCCACGGCGCAGACAGACTGTACAGTGGTCCCATAGACTGTATCAAGAAGCTCTCCGCCCACGAGGGCGTGACGCGGGGCCTTTTCAGAGGTCAGACTGTGACCTACCTCCGTGAAATCCAGGCCTACGGTATGTGGTTCTTGTCATTCGAGATGCTCATGAACCAGGATGCCAAGCGCAACAACATCAAGCGTGAGGATATCTCCAGCTTGAAGGTCGCCTCGTATGGTGGTTTGGCCGGTGAGGCGCTCTGGCTGAGCAGTTACCCGCTGGATGTTGTCAAGAGTAAGATGCAGTGCGATGGGTTCGGTGCTGAGCGGCAGTTCAGCAGCATGAGGGACTGCTTTAAGAAAACTTATGCTGTTGAGGGATTGGCTGGTTTCTGGAAGGGTATTGGCCCGACTCTGCTGAGGGCTATGCCTGTGTCTGCTGGAACCTTTGCTGTGTACGTCTCCACTCGTCCTCCAGGCATATAAGCCTTGGGAAATGATTACTGACTTTATTCTAGTGTTGAATTTACCATGAGAGCTCTGGGTTAAAAGGTCTACTTCGGGAATGGTTGCGCTTGTCTGCTTATGAACATAGATGCCTTGATATCCAATATACTTTGCGCTTTGTATTCAACATGATCAAAAAAGCAGGTTGAAATTTGTCTGTACCTTCAGCACCTGGTCCTTTACTTTGGGCAATTTCGGTATATATAGTTAGCGAATGCAATCCAACCCAATGAAAAAAAAAAAAAAAAAAAAAAAAAAAAAAAAAAAAAAAAAAAGAATCGGATTAAATCGCCAACGAAAAATCCCCAAAGAAATCCTGCCACGCAATCGGGAAATAAAACAAATTCAGCCCCGGAAACTCCCACTCAGACACAAATTGCTCCGGCACAAACGACTGCAAATCTGTCTGCGCATCGAACAGTTCCCAGAATGGACCTGTGGCCTCAGTACCTGTCTCCGTATCCATCTGGCCATTGTCCTGCAACGTTCGTCCATACTTCTCGATACTCATCTTCAAAATCTGCAGGTAGATAGTACTCCCCGAACCAGCCTTTGTCAATTCCTCAAGTAGCGTTTCACCCTGCCTCAGCAATTCTCTATGCTCTTCTTCCCGTTCGGGAAGGAGCCGTGATAACTTGAGCAGAAGGAGAAAGCAGAATGCGCACTTCGCCCAGACAAAGTCCATCGCGTAGCGCAGTTGGGCAAGGTAGTGGTCTGGCTCGGTGGTTATGAGTGCGAGATGCTTTTTGGCGGCGGCTTTGGCTGTTAAGAGGATGGATTGTTCTGTGGGGGATATTGCGCTGTATCTGTTAATGCCTTAATAGGTTAGGGTTGTGGGGAATGGGACGGATGCGTACGCGACATTTTCAACGCCCATGGATTGTAGGGCTTTGCAATGGAGGGTTAGTTCGGCCCAGCATTTCTGTACGCGTAGGGCGGCTAGAAGGAAGGGCTTTTCTTCGGTTGCGGCGGGAGAGTTCTCTGCATATGTAAGTATGGATATCGATTCTGGGAAATAAAGAAGTAAAACAAACCGATGATGCGTAGCCAGTCACTTCACAGTCGTTAGCCATCATTCGTTCAAGGGCAATGGGAGGAACTTACTCAAACCAGAGATCAAGGTCTATCTTGGTCTCGTGTACAAAGCTCGTGATATCCAACCTGTCGAGAGTTCTTGAGCCCAAAGTATCGTTGATGTTTGCTGGAGGTGTCAGTATGCGGCGCCTCAGATTATCAGATATGCTAGATTCTTTACCTCTCAGAATATTCAACTATCCACATATGATCAGCAACTTCGATGAATCTTGTAACAGTTCACGACATACCTCAACCTGAGCAAAAAGACGTAAATCCAAAACAGTTGATGAAGGACGACCGAGCAGAACCCTACATCGACGCGCGCTTCCTCCGAATCGAATTCCAGGTGGCTTCCCTCCATCAACGCGAAATCTAACAAAACATTCATATCAGTAAGCGTTTTAAAAACAAGATGATATACGCACATATGCTCCAAAACCAGAAGTCCAAACCAAGTCCTAGACTCCCGCATCAGAGAACGCTCTTCTTCGAGATCGTGACACGCATCCGTTTCCCTCATCGCCAGACGCTGTATAAGCTTCTCAAAAGCCCCGTCCAAATTCAAATCCAGGGCCATTCTGGTTGCGAATGAGAGGAGCAAAGAGCGTTCGGCGGAGTAGCAAGCGGCGATGAGTATTCCCTGGACGGATTCGAGACAGTTTAGGTCTTTATTTTGGATGATGAGGTTGCTTGACTTCTTGAGTTCTGCGTGTAATACGTCTGATATTTGTGATTGGGGTTCTTCAAATCTTTCAGTAATGGTTCTTGGCTATCCTTCAGATAGTGCTTACTCGTCTCAACGCGATAACCTATTGTGCAGATGGCGTTGAATAGAATGGTGCTTCGAGAGCGCACTGAAACAAAGGTATCATATTCCGGGTTGAAGACTGGGATATACCGATCCTGGTTCATGTAAGTCAAAGTTGCAACCACAATCAGCACAATAGAGTAACTTACACATCCATTAAAGAACCTGCAATGCTTATATATCAGCCGTTCAACGTTTCATAAACCAAAATATAGCAAACTCACGTTCGGAAACACGACATGGCACGCTCAACAGTAATCAACCCCTTCGAAACGAAATCCAAAATCGGTTCATTCAAAATCTGTATCTCAGCCTCAGAGCGTTTCCTCTTCGTTCCATGGACGATCTCTGGCTGTCCGGGTGCCTGAAGCAGAGGGTCTGAAACATCTTGGAAAGTGGATGTACTCTGCTGCTCTCGGTCAACAATAGTCAACGAAGTAGGGGTAGGTTGCGAGTCGCGCCGAAGAAGAAGCTGATGCATCTCATCAAATTGCTCCCGGAGATGCTGCACTTCAGATTCGACCGTCTCCAGCCTCCTACACCAAAGTCAGAGTTCCATGACTGTAGTAAATACCTGGTTTGTACGCACGCTGTGACAGGATCTTTAGGGGCTTCAAAGAATACGCATCTCTTCTTTAATTTGTCGCATCTGCAAGAGTTAATCTTCATCTAATATTCCACTTCCGGGCCCTGACCTTGTACACGGCTTCTTTCCATCACATTTTACCTGTTTCAGTTAATCAACGACCAGAATACCGACAATAGCGTACTTGCCTTTGACAGCCTACATGAACTGCATGCTTTCTGTCAATCCGTCAGTCAGGGAATATCCGATGTTTTGCCGTGGTTTCATAGATGTACCGGGATTCGCTTCGTGCCTGTTGGATACGGAGCTGATATGATACATGCAGATTCATCTGATGACATACTGCAATGTAAGGAAATGATAAGATTAAGCTTGATGTAGTAGTTTAGGTGTCAATATCAGACAATGAGGATAATGCGGGGAAGCCGGAGTTCACCCGCTTAGTACATAATATCCCTACTATTTACACAGAACTGTCCATCAAAAAAAAAACCAAAGACAGAAAAAAAAAAAAAAAAAAAACAAATTCAATATACATAGACAAAATCCTCGTTATCCAAATCTGTCAGATCCCTGAATGCATTATCATCAGCCCCTTCCTCCTGCGGGACTTTGCCCTCTTCTTCCTTGAACACTGTTCCAATGGCGGCCATGGATTTATCGACGATTTTGGCGCTCTTTCCCATGGAGACTCGTTTCTTTTCATGTCTCTTATTCAGAAGGAGGAGGTATGCTGTGTTCAATCTACCGGTGGGCATATCTTATCAGTCGAGAGGGTGATGAATGGTATGAATAAGCGATGGCCAAAACTTACAGACTAAGCAAGATTAGAACGCAAAACATTGCGAGACTCGATATTAAGCCTCGTCTATAGAGCGGTGCATCGGCGGTTGTGTATAGGTTAGGACCAACGACCTACATGATTTGCGATTAATAACTCGAGCCGTCGCAACGGGGGGCTCTACATACATTACCAGTACATTGACCGATTAACAGAAGGCCCGTTGTGACCTTTTTCTTCGTTTCGCCTGCTGTATTTCCGGCAGACCATGAGTAGATCAGTGGTGCTGAACGGGAACAAAACTGGTTAGCCCTAAGCGTGGATAGCGTACACGTTTCGACTTACTTATGCCTGGGTAGACAGATATCTATATCACCGTTAGCAAATGAGCCCTTCGGAAGCTATGTCGTGGTCCCTTACAATATAATACCCCGCTAATAAAGGCCCCTTATGAGCAGCATCATGCGTAATACGCAACAGCATCACGCACCCAGCAATCGAGGGTGGACATAGCAAGACAATAACAGGTCCCTTTATTTTCAACATCGTGGCAAACCATGCCCCTCCCATGGTAGCGATGAGTTGTACTGCGCCAAAGGGTATGTTAAAGAGGATTGTTTTGAACTGGTCAAAGCCGAAGGATTCGATGATCAGGGGGCCGAATGTGGATATGCCACCACTTGGAAGTCTGGCTTGTGAGCGGAACTATACTTATATCCGAGTGATTGGGGAAACACGTACGATATAGCGAACATCAGCACAAACCAAAACCATGTCTTTGGGTCTATACAGGCTTCTTTAACATGGTCCCATTTCCATTGATTGTTTTCGACACCCTGTTGATTCATTCGGAGCCTGCATCGTGTTAGTATATAACCCTTAATATGTGAGATAACCCCGGGGAACACACCTCTCAATTGCAACAAGCTTATCCTCTTCCTTGAGAAACTTGGCTCTTACCGGAGAGTCCGGCATAAAGACCCTGGAAACATCAGCCTTGACAACAGTGTCTATATGACTGGGTCAATCTCACAATACAATTGCAGAGAACGTGACCGTAATAAGACCGAAGAACAGGAAGATTATCTTTTCACGTCAGTTTTCCCACCGTTAGGGTCGAAAACCAGGACCCACCTGGTAGGGCTCAAAGATGTGAGACTGGATATGACCAAGGCCATATGTTATCAAACTCCCAAACTGCCCGTATCTACTTCAGTATCTGATCCAGCAAGTCTCTGGAAATCCAACTTACCATATTGACGACACCGTTCATCGCGTACCATGAGCCCAATCTAACAGGTTGTTCAAGACGTCGATACCACATCTGCGTAACCGCAATAAAAGCCGGAGCTAAATCAAGTCAGCTCTATCCCAGTCACAAGCATAGGGAAGGCAAGGAAACTCACGAATACCAGCCTCAAAAGCACCTAAAAACAGCCGACAAACCAACAACTTCGCAAACGTATCCGACGGCGTCATGCAAGTCAACGCAATTCCCCAAAACAGCATCGTACAAGCCAGGAACTTCCCTAGCGGCACCTTCACCAGAATATATGCGACGAGCGGTTGGACAACCAACTGGGAGAGGTAGACAACCGAGCCAAGCCAGGAGTATTGTTGGCCGTGAAGGTTGGCATCTTCGATCAGTCCGAACACGGATGCGTACGATAGGGTGGTCTTGTCAATTTGCTGTAGGAAGTAGATACCCAGGAGGATTGGAAGGAGGCGCAGGTCGATCATCCGAAGAACGCGGGTGTTGATTTCCTTTGTGAGGATGGGCGAGCGTCCCAGGTCGTTGATGAGGTCGGCAGCGTCATCGTACTTTGGTTGATCGGGGGTTCGGTGCTGTGGATGGGTTTGTGGTTCGATGAATTCGACATGTCGTTCTTCAGCTTTGGAGATCTCTGCTTCTTGGGACATCTTTCACGGCAGTAGACTGGTGGATGAGAAACAGCAAGCTCCCTCAGCTATCAAGAGCACAAACAAAAGAAGGGAATTTATCCCGTTTATACAAAACTACCTGGTGACATAGTGTGGCCATCCTCAACCCCGTGGAGAGGGGAAGAGGCTAATGCGAAGCCACAGGAACCAATACCGTCCATTCTACCAGCATACCCCGGTCATTTCGCCGCATTGACTTTCTTTGATATTCTCGTATCCCTGTACTTCTCTTCAGCGGCCCAAGTCCGATGTCATGCAAGTATGGCGGGGTGTAGGAATAATGCACCCCGGACTATCGGCTTTCGGTCGAAATATCCGATGGTTTCATCAAACATCCACCAACTGTACAGCTTGCTGTATCCATTACCTGGTAGTTAATTCAAGCGAAATCCATATCAATTGCTGCACGTTATCTTCATGCTGGAGAATTATGCTGGAAGTGCCTCCGGCGCCTGCGTGTAAGAGTTGTAGTTGAACTAAGCATCGAGTTCCTCCTTGAGACTGTCCAGGTAGCCCTATTTATGCACTTCATCAATTTAGAGAATTCTTAATATGTTTAATCTGCATATTGACCTCCTGTATTCTAGTTCTTCATCTAATTCAGTTCTCTCCTTCCTATTAGATCATCTTTCGTATATGCCCTCCGGCATACTTCTTTCCATATTCATCAAAAATTATATAAGCTACACAGGGTGTATCAAGCAATCAAGTACAACATATCAAGGTGTGGACTGTATCTGTCGCATGATCTCAATGTTCAGTATTGGTGGTAATCGCATTGGCCGTCGCGCTGCACGATGCTATTTGTACAAATAGAAGTAGTAAGTCCCAGCATTTCCAAAACTCTTAGTATCCATTGCCCCGGCAACTAAATCGTCACTGACTCGTCGAAAGTGATCAATGATGGGATGATTATCATAAATCATTGCGGTTGATTGAACACCCCGGAATTCAATCTGACGAAGCTGCTCGACATCAGGGTCAGGCATTTTGAAAAGTAAATTGTCTGTAGTGGGTACAGCTGAGAATACTTACACGTGCATGTCCCCAATCCTCATTACAGGCTCTTCTGCCATCTTTTTCAATAACGATAGGGTCAACAGATTCAATAGAATGGAACGTCTTTCCCAGCCAGTTCATGCCTTTGAGTTGTGCATGAGCCGGGTGGCCAGTATCGAGACTACCACCTTTCCATTCTCCAATCAACACATCAGGCTTAACTGGCTGTAGTTTGTCAAAGACAGCCTTGATGTCAGGTTCCGTTAAAGTGCCAGCTTGTTTAGTGAACTCGATGAAAGTTTCTTCTGGGCTGCTAAAAGACAATATATTAGCGACGCCTTTGGGCAGGAGAAAGCTATCGGAGTATGTCATACATCGCCATGGTGAAGAGAATTTGACTCGTTTCTTGAGTCGATGAAGACTTCTCTCGTATTAGAACCAGTTTGCTTCGAAAGATGTTTCGCGGGGAAAGTACAGGATGAGGGACATTGTTTAAATAGTTTAAATAGATGGCATCATCAATCATGCCATGTTGTTCCCTAGGTCTGATGCTGGCCCACGGGATACTGGCACCGCGGGATACTGGCCCCGTGGAATCCGGAAACACTTACCATAGTTAACTAGAGCTAATTCGAACCGTAATGTACCCTTGCCTTCCGGAAATGTTCAATTTGAATACTGCGAGAGTGACATTTCCGACAACTGTGAATTATGAAAATTCATTAATGCTATACACTTTTTGTAGTTCGTGCCGACACTGAAACTTGTAGACCATATAAATTAATCTTTTTTTTATAGCGCAAACATGTTTCTTCTTCTAAGATTACAGAGCGTAAATCTAGATGAGCAACACTATCCTGAGAAAGCACAAAGCAGCCTAAAGCAAGCATGTCAAAGAGATTTGGGAATCGCATTGTAGCGGGATTGATGCTTTTGACCCATCTTAGAAAACATCTATTCAAACCATTTAATTCGCATATCAATGATACCGTAGGCTCTTTCTTTCTTTCTTTCTTTCTTCTTTTTTTTTTTTTTTTTTTTCTTTTTTCTTTTTTTTAGTGTAAGTCAAATAAGCAAAGTCCAAGCCAACCCTAACTGTCGTTTGGTGGAACATCAGTTTTCTAAGCATTCCTAGTACTTGAAGCTTTCCAAAAGATTCAAAGAATTGCAATATATATGAGAAAATCAGTTATTGAAATGATCAGGGTAACTAGTAATTTTATGAACCTGATTGTTACACCTTGATGGACGAGTAGAAATGGCTGAGAAGGCGCCGGCTATCTATTGAATGCATCTGATAATTGAGACAAGGAATATACTTTCTTCATTAGCATATAATATACTCTACGGCCCAACTCCGATACCATGCAATGTATGATGCAGTAATCTATTCCGGTCTATCAAATGGTCCGAGAATACACGTGGACGATGGCGCGGGGAGACTAGCAATAATCCGGGGTATCTGGGAATGGAGAGGAGAAGTCGGAGATGAGCCCCGAAATCCGATATACAACCATGCAACACAACTCCTCAATGTAATTGGGGGGGGGGGCTTGAAAATGATTCAAATACGGCAGTAATGCCATCTAATTATCTCTCGTAGATTCAGATCCCAAACAATAATTCAATTGAGATATCATTAACAATCAACATGCCTCAGAAAGAGTACTCCCCCCGGGACTACAAACAAGTCCCAACCGAAGACTCTCAAGTCCACCTCTCATCCAAAGCGAAAAACAACCAGTCTTTCGATTTCACCTTCGAGCCCATCCGCAAGAACCTCTTCCGGGTGACCTTCACCTCCCCCGACCATCCCACCCCGCCCTTTCCCAGCGTGACCAAGCCCCCAACCGACCTCGCCAATGTCAAACTAGCCGTGAAAGACACCACCCCGACAGTCAAAACCCTCGAAGTCGGCGACATAACCGCCTCAATCGACTGGAGCCACGCCCCTGTCCTCACGTTATCCTGGACCAGCGACGATGTCAAACCCGGCTCCGGCCAAAAAGCCCTATACAAAGACCTCCCACTTCGCTCATATGTGGCAGATGGTACTGGCATCGCGCACTACACCGAACATGACCGCGATGCTCTGCACGTGGGGTTAGGTGAAAAACGAGCGCCTATGGACCTAAGCGGTCGCAACTTCCAGCTCTCCGCGACAGATTCCTTCGGGTACGACGTGTACAACAGTGATCCACTGTACAAGCACATCCCGCTGCTCATCAAGGCGACTCCCAATGGCTGCGTGGCGATCTTCTCAACCACGCATGGACGCGGCTCTTGGTCCGTAGGTTCTGAGATTGATGGTCTCTGGGGCCACTTCAAGGTCTACCGCCAGGACTACGGAGGTCTAGAGCAGTACCTCCTCATCGGCAAGACACTAAAAGACGTCGTACACTCCTACGCCGAACTAGTCGGCTTCCCCCTCCTCGTACCCCGCTGGGCATACGGGTACATCTCCGGCGGCTACAAATACACGATGCTCGACGATCCGCCCGCGCACGAAGCCCTCATCGAATTCGCAGAGAAGCTCAAGAAACACGATATCCCCTGCTCCGCGCACCAGATGAGCTCCGGGTACTCGATTTCTCAAACGGAGCCGAAGGTCCGGAACGTGTTTACGTGGAATCGGTATCGGTTCCCGGATCCTGAGAAGTGGATTTCCAAGTATCATGGGTATGGGATTCGGTTGCTTACGAATATCAAGCCATTTCTGTTGCAGTCGCATCCTGATTTCAAGCGGCTTATGGGGGAGGGTTCGTTTTTTAGGGATGCGGATACGAAGGAGCCTGGGTTTATGCGTCTTTGGAGTGCTGGGGGTGCGACTGGGGGGGATGGGTGCCATGTGGATTTTACGTCGGATTTCGGGTTTAAGTGGTGGTATCACGGTGTGCAGAGTTTGAAACGCGTGGGCATCGACGGCATGTGGAACGATAACAACGAATACACCCTTCCAAACGACGACTGGGAACATGCCCTAGACCACCCGTCCGTTTCCGACGCTGCGCAGAAACATCCCAATGCCGTTGGGCTCTGGGGTCGTGCGCTGCATACGGAATTTATGGGTAAGGCGTCGCATGATGCGCTGCTGGATCTGGAACCGAAGTATCGGCCGTTTGTGCTGACGAGGAGTGCGACGGCTGGTACGATGCGGTATGCGGCGAGTACGTGGAGTGGTGATAATGTGACCAGTTGGGAGGGGATGAAGGGGGCGAATTCGTTGTCGTTGAACGCGGGAATTTCTTTGCTTCAGGTAGCCCTACCCTCTCCAGAAGATAATCAATCTGCTAACGAAACCAGTGCGAAGGACATGACATCGGTGGCTTCGAAGGTACCCCTCCCATCCATCCCTTTACCTCTTGAAGAGCTCAGCTAACAGAATAGGCCCTCAACCCTCCCCCGAACTCCTCCTCCGCTGGATCCAACTAGGAACCCACTCCCCCCGCTTCGCCATTAACTGCTTCAAAACCTCCCCCACAAACAACCAAGTCGGCGAAGTCATCGAACCATGGATGTACCCCGAAATCACACCGCACATCCGCGCAGCCATAAAACGCCGCTACGAGATCCTCCCCTACATCTACTCCCTGGGTTTGGAGAGTCATACCACTGCGTCCCCGCCGCAGAGGTGGATTGGTTGGGGATATGAGAGTGATCCGGAGGTTTGGGGGAAGAAGCTCAAGGATGGTGAGGAGTTTTGGTTGGGGGATAGTATTCTTGTTGGGGGTGTTTATGAGGCTGGGGTTGATGTTGCGAGGGTTTATCTCCCTCGGAAGCAGGAGGATGGGGAGTTTGACTATGGTTATGTGAACTTGAACGAGCCGTATACTTACCTCGCGGCTGGGCAGTGGGTTGATATTCCCTCGCACTGGAAGACGAGTATCCCGCTGCTTGCGCGGATCGGGGGCGCGATTCCTGTTGGGAAGGACGTCCAGACTCGCGTTCCTGGTGATGACACTGATGCTTCACTGGCCATCCAAGAAGTCGACGACTACCGGGGTGTGGAAATCTTCCCGCCTAAGGGAAGCTCGCACGGTCGTGTGTTTGAGAACAGTTGGCTCGAGGATGATGGAATTTCGAAGAAGCCAAGGATCTCGCGGTTCAATGTCAAGTATAGCTCGACTGAGGAGACGGTGGTTTTGGGGTTTGAGCGAGAGGAGTGGGGGTTTGGGCCGGGTTGGAAGGATTTGGATGTGATTTTGCATCATGTGGATGAGAGGAGGGTTGTTTCGGATGTTGGGGGTGTGGTTGAGTATAAGGGGAGGGATGGGAGGGGAAGGGTGGTGTACACTCTTAAGACATGAGATTGAAGACAGACGCAACGACAGCGATGGTGAAGTGACAGTGACAAGACAAGCAAGTGTGAATAACCCATAATTCATTCATTGATAATACACATTTTTAGCACCGAACCTTTACAAAATCTATACAGTACAGTCCCATAAATGCTTTCATAACGGGGTAACAAAAATAGATGAAAAGAGTAAGAAAGAAATATCCGCTTACTGGTTGGCGGCAACCTCCGCTGTCCGAATATCCTGGTTCTCGGGCTGACGCTGAGGCTGACGCTCAGGCTCAGGCTGAGATTCCGATGCCCTCTTGTTCAGACCAAGCTCCTTCGGGTCAACAGGTTCGTATGTGAATCGGCCCTCGTGAGCATATTCCAACCGTCTCTTCTGACCAGCCTCACCTGCCCGACCCAACACACCAGCGATAACACCAACAGACCGCAAACTGTCATCGTTGGCCGGAATGGGATACGTAACACGGGCAGGGTTGGCATCGGTATCGATGATACCAATGGTAGGCACATTGTTAAGACCGCACTCGTGCAGCAGAACCTCGTTCTCAACGGGGTTAAAGCAAACCACCAGATCCGGCTTCAGAGCAGCATGCTCCTCCAAATTCGACTTCAACTCGGTAATCTCTTCATCCAACGCATTGACAACCTTGGTCTCGCATTGCCCCAGAATCTGTTGTCCATTGGTCAAAGCACCCGGAATCCAGCGCTCAAAGATATGGTATCCTTTGGCCAGTTCCGCAGCACGCACAACCGTCTTTTTCTGGTCCTTCCGGGTACCCGCAAACAGAATCAGACCGCCCCGGGCTGCAACTTCTTCCACAACCTTTGCTGCACGGCGTAGGTATGCTGCGGTCTGGTCAAGAGAGATGATGTGAATACCGTCTCGGATACCGAAGATGTATCGCGAATTTTGGGGATTCCAGCGCGACGTCGAGTGGCCGAGATGTGTCTGGGAGGCAAGAAGCAGTTCGAGGGTGATGTCTTTGGGCTCGGGGGGGTTTTGGATGAGTTCATCGGGGTCGTAAGCGTCTTCAATGACACTACCAAGGCTGCGGCGTTTTTGTCCTGGTCCAAGTCAGTTGGCTGCTCTTCCGCACGACGGAAGGGAATCTGCTCCAGCGTACTTCTTATTTGTCTCTTCCTGAATGTCTCCTGGGCCGAAATTCTTAGTTCTTCGAAGCTCTGCAATTCCACGGGTTGATCCGGTTGCACGGGCTGCTCTTGGGTAGGCGTCTCAACTGCGGTCTGGACGGGGGTTTCGGTTGAATAGAATCGGCTGAGCATGCGAGCTGGTCGGTTAAGAGCCAGGAAGCGGCCTGGGGGCAGGACACGAAGCAGTTAGCGATATCCAATATTAATTGAATAATTGATACTCACTCTGCCGCACACACAACTGCCGGACAATCATGTTGAGCTCTACGGTTTGTCTGTCGATTCTCGGGGATTCGCAGCGAGGAAATCAAATGTCCGCGCGAACTTTTGATGTCGGGCTTGGCATTGCCTGAGGCAGGAATACAACTGCTCTAGTCCCGTGACGGATCGGCGGCGGGGTTGTCAACACCCAATCTGGAGAAAATACAGAATACGATCGTCTACACAAAAGCAATTATTCTTATAGAGTGGACATAAAAGTAGACCGCGACGGAATGAAATTCGTATCGGTATCGTTAACTAAGTCATGACATGCTCATGGTAATAACAATGATGGAGCCTTAAGCAATAAAACAAAAACAGACCCAACCCAGCAACCATGTAGAGATAATAAAAAAAAAAAAAAAAAAAAAAAATGCAATAGCGTATCAAATCACAGAACAATCAACCGCGACAGTCTATTTCTTGAAGAAACCGCCGAGCTGGTCCATCATGCCAGAGCCGCCCTGGGAGGAACCGCCGTGCGAGGAACCACCGTACTGCGAAGGGGGACCGTAGCCCGGAGGCTGTTGCTGGCCCTCGTCCTTGTTCTTGTGCTTCTTGACAGCATCCTCTGCGATACTGCCCATGATGGCACCACCGATTGTTCCGAGGAAACCGTGGTTGGCCTTGTGACCAGCGAAACCACCGGCCGCACCGCCTGCAAGAGCACCGGCGAGACCACGCTCACCGTCCTGGGCGCCGTCGGGAGCTTGTTCGTGGGATCTATCAAGACAACGTCAGTACATCTGTGGATTAAATAGAGATGGTTGTTTTGGTGGCGACTTACTCGTGCTGGCCGTACTGGTGCTGGTCGTGGGGCTGCTGCTGGCCGTAGTAGCCCTGCTGGTGGTGGTGCTGCTGGCCGTACTGCTCATGACCGCCCTGGCCGTACGGCTGGTGACCATAGCCTTGGTCCTGATGCTGGCCGTATCCCTGCTGAGGGGCGTAGCCACCCTGGCCATAGCCCTGACCCTGGCCCTGGCCATAGCCCTGGCTACCGTAGCCGCCCTGCTGGTAGCCGCCGTGGCCGTGGCCGTATTGACCTTGGTTGTAGGGATCGTAGCCAGACATGATGTTGGTAGAGTACTGAAGGTTGTAGAGAGTAAAGAGTTGAAGAGATGGATTGAGAGTAGAGAAGGACGGAAATGGATGAAGATGGAGAAGAGGGAAAGCGGGAGGATCTCTTCCTTTTATAATGACCAAGTGGCCACCTGATCGGAGGGGAAGTCAAATCACAAGGCTGAGCAGACCCCACCACCGCGATACTCGTACATTATTACATATTTATTTGCACTGCCCAACGCGCCTACAAGTACATATCATGTGTTGTCACTGCATTCTTTCTACTGGTCAATTGTACTATGACTCTTCTACAGAAAAATTCGAATATACCAGAATGTTACTCTATACAGCAGTCCTAGTGACTGTCCAGAATACAGAATAACTAGTTAACTAACATTAGTTAGCATTATGTATGCGATGACTCAGCGGTTCGGCCATCCCGCTGGGGAACAGTTCTTGTGCCGCAGGGCTGAGCATATTACGATACAGATACAGCGCCAAGATCTGGGCAATTGCTCCTATTGGACCAGCATAGTGTTCGCGAATATTTCCGTGCCTAGAGCCGTTGCCTAGGCCCCACTATCTATCACTACAAGAGAAGTATAGCGTCGTATGGTTGATACAATAGTTACACAGCCACGGTGGCTCGGCCGGGCTGTGGCGATGATCATGATGAAATATCTTCTAGAATTCCACGGTTATTCCACGGTATTTCCGAGGAGATATGTGAATTGCAAGGCTGAAAATACTTGCAGCGAAGGATTAAAGAAATGAATCAGCCTTGGCATTGAACCGAATATCCGGCGACTATGAAGCCAAGCAACAGGCAGCCATATTTCGGGTCATTACAGAGTACGTACCATTCACGAGGATTTATACTTTGATGCTGACTGAGCATTCATAATTCAGATATGAATGCACAAAGTTTACTCTGTAGAAACTCCTGTTCGTGCTGTATTCTCCGCTTGAGATTATCGGAGATCTTATACCTCGATATGTTCTGCGATAAGGATGTTATGCTATTATGATAAGGACAGGGACCAGGAACAATTACATCATGACCGGGGATGCAATTAATTATGGTTAACCTCAGCGGTAGATCCGATACAAGGATCAACAACTATGACTTTTTCACTTTTTTTTCTAATAGTATATACTCTGTACGGAGTACTCTAAAGTACTAGTACTTGATAAGCTGGCAGCTCGGTTCACCGATTACAGTTGAAGATCATCACTTGAAGTTGATCAGCTGAACACACCGGCGGGTCATTCGACGCTTCAATAACGCCTGAATGTAAACTTGTTTCTCCTCTTCTCACTTTCCTCTCTCTCTCTCTCTCTCTCTCTCTCTCTCTCTCTCTCTCTCTCTCTCTACAAGTACTCCTCGCTGGCTCGAGTTCTTCACCAGGCCAGATTATATTGAAAAACGACTAAACGACTACTTAAGTAGTGCATTTGACCTACACAACTCCTACGACCGTCAAACTAGCCTACATTACACCTACAAAGGAGCAATAACACCAACCATGTTGTTCTCTCCCTTCCTCTCCCTATTCTCCTTTCTGGCACTCGCTCTCCCCGTCTCTTCTTCAGCCATACCAAACCACCATCACCGCAACCGTCCAACAGTCTACCTCCTCCGACATGGCGAGAAACCCGCAGACCGAAACAACCACGAGCTGACCAAGGATGGCTACAAGCGAGCAGAGTGTTTACGCACGGTGTTCGGAGAAGACTCTCCATTTGATATCGGATATATCCTCGCGCCCCGCGTAAAGAAGAGTAAGTCTCTTTTTCTTGCCCTTTATCCATACATGTCTAACACGGTCCTCACAGACGGCGACCACAGACGCTCGTACGATACTGTCCACCCTCTCGCTAAAGACCTCGGCCTTTCTGTCGACACCTCCTGCAAGCGCAACCATGCCAAGTGCGTAGGGAAGCAGATCAAGCGGTATGACGGCGAAGGGGACATTCTCGTTTCGTGGCGCCACGGGAGGATGACAGATATCGCAGAGAGACTGGGGGTCGAGGAACCGCCTGAGTATCCCTATCATCGGTGAGTTATCTCTCCAACCATATCCTTCACATTGCTCTTGCTAATGACTGCGAAATAGGTACGATCTCGTCTGGACGATCCCGTATCCCTATGACAAGGTCACGGAGGTCTGGAGTGAGGAGTGTCCCGGATTGGATGAGAAGGGCCATTCGTCGCCATTGAAGATTCAAGCGTAAAGGTATGCTGGCGTACGGCTTGTGTTCACGAGTGTTATGATGGATTCGGTTGCTACATTAATAGTCTGCATTTACGGTTCTTGCTTTACCTTGCAATTTGGTGTAATTCCGTAGTGTGCATTTTGACCACAAGCAACACAATGAATGATTTTATCTGGAGTATATCAGTCAATTGAGGGCAATTCGCATTCCAAAGTCCTCATAGAGATGGAGTAAACAGCACAGACCAATGTGCGGGCGGTGAACCAGCCGAGCGGAGAAAAAGTGAACGCCAAGATTTCACCCAAATTTTTCCCAAAAGATCTATCGCGCTTCAAACCACCGCTCTTGTCTCTTTTAAGGACATACACCCACCCACACACTCCTTCGCATATCTAATACTAGGTGGATTGCTCTATTGTGTCGCAGTCTGGAAAAAAAAGGCAGAGCACAATGGACGACATCGAGGTAGGTGGTGCCTTTCTGCCCCCGCCTACGGTGTCGGGGAGTTGACGAACCCTTTTTTTTTTTTGCTATATCAGGATCGGTTACGGAGTCATGCGCAGGCCTTTAATGGGCTGTTGTCGTTAATACCGGCAAAGTACTATTACGGTGAAGATGGCAGTGTACGTCTTTTACCTGATTCTCATGCGTTAGCGCTAGAGCGCTTTTCTTCTTGCCTTGCCTTCCTTTCCCTGGACAAACCCAGTTAACCATTGAAATCCGGACAGGACCAATGGAAGCGAAAGAAACAGACCAAGGAGGAAGCCCGTGAGGCCAAACGGGCCAAATTGGATCCCGACACTGCTAAAACGGCCAAGGACGTCATGGACGAGAGCGCCCGGAAGCGTAAGCGCGATGAAAAAGAGGCCGGGTCTGGGTCCGGAGACGATGATGGATCGTCACCGTCGGACGATGAGAACGCTGAGAAGCCCAAGGAGGGCTTGAAACGAGCGGATGGCGTTAAGAAACAGAAACCGGACGAGGAATCGGAAAAGCAGGGCAAGTCAGCGGAAGAGGTAGAGGCGCGCAAGAAACAGAAGGAAGAAAAGAAGGTGCAGAAGAAGGTTGCCCAGAAGGAGAAGAAGAAGGCCAAGGATGCTGCTAAGAAGGACAAGCAACCGGAAGAGCAGAACAAGGCCCCGCAACAGAATGGAACCAAATCCGATGACACTAAGAAAGAGAAAAAGCCGGAGCCTAAGCAACAGGTAAACGACGATGACGATGGTAGTGATGACGAAGAGCACGAGACCGAAGGACTCTCCCTCGACTTCAATGAACAACCAGAACAGACATCGACCGCTTCCTCGACATCCGGCTCTTCCGCCTCGAATCCTCAATCTGGCAGTTCGTCCGTATCCTCCATCGCTCCCCCAAATAACGAGTCCGCCAAACAAGAAACTTCCGAGCCCAAGACTCCTAAACCAACACCAGAGGAGTTGAAGCAACGGTTACAGAAGCGCCTGGATGAGCTCCGCGCAAAACGCCACGCAGATGGCCTGAATGGCAGACCCGCACGGAACCGTCAAGAACTTATCGAAGCCCGCCGCCAAAAGGCAGAGCAACGCAAAGCGCACAAGAAACTGCTCCGCCAAAAAGCCAAGGAAGAAGAAGAACAGAAGAACGACGAAGCCCTTGCCCGCCGTTTCTCCCCAGGAGGCTCCGGCTCCCTCCTTGCTTCCCCACGCTCCCCCGCTGAATCAGTCGACAACGCCAGCTACTCTTTTGGCCGCGTCGTCTTTGCAGATGGCCAGCATGCCGACCCCACTCTGTCCACTCTCCGCGACAAGCCCAAGAAACACGGTGCCCTGGACCCCGCCTCGGCCCTCCGCGCAGCAGAGTCCAAGAAGACCCGCCTCGCCGAGATGGATGAAAACAAGCGCGGCGATATCGAGCAGAAGGACATGTGGCTCAACGCCAAGAAGCGGGCACACGGCGAGCGCGTGCGCGACGATACCTCTCTCCTCAAGAAGGCGCTGAAGCGCAAGGAATCCGCGAAGCGCAAGTCTGAGCGGGAGTGGAAGGGGCGTGTTGACACTGTCAAGAAGAGCCAAGATACGAAGCAGCAAAAGCGCGATGCTAACCTGCGCAAGCGACGTGACGAAAAGGGTGGTAATAAGGGAAAGAAGCCCGCCGGGGAATCGAAGAAGAAGGCCAGACCTGGGTTTGAGGGTAGCTTCAAGGCCAAGGTTGGTGGGAAGAAGAAATAAATCAAGTCTGGGGTAGGTTGATGTGCGTACATATACACTTGTCAAAAAGAATGCGTTTGGAGGATCAAAACAAAAAGCTGGATAATAGGTGTTTGAGGTGTTTCTACTTCTGTACTGTTTTACTGTCATTTTTTGAATGCCCAGGGGGTTATCTGCTTTTTGATCTGTTACATGTATGCATAGGGAGCGATTTATATGTTGATATCAATCAATCTATTGTTCTTGATTGTTTCTCTGGTAGCTTCATGTTATATGGAAGTCGTAGTAGAACAGCTTAAGAGACAGCTTGATACGTCGTGTACGGAGTTCATGATGGATAGAAGTTCATTTCGTTGGCCTTAGACTAAGCCATTGCTTGTAATCTGTCCATAACAGACCTAACCACTCAACACCAAAAAAAAAAAAAAAAAAAAGCCAGTACTGCAATAGTAACAGAGATGACCATCCCAAAACATCAACATCAACTTCTCAACCCCCGAACACCATACACAACATCCCACTACACAACATCCCAATACACATCCTCCAAATCCAATGGCACCCCCTCCCCAAACACCCCATCCCCATCCCCATACTCAACCACCCTTCCCCAACACCCAAGCATCATCCTCGCCAACCTTACATACCGATCACGATCCATCTGCCCCAACCCCAAATCACCCATTGTCACCAAATCAGCATGTACATTCGCAATCCTCACAAGCTTCGGAAAACCCCGTATCCCCTCGTGATACTCAATCCCGTACAGATTCGCAAACCCGGCTTTGAAATCAGTTACGTTGTACGGATCGGACTCGTGTTTTATGATGGCCATGTCTGTTACTTGTTGGCCGCCGTTGGCGAAGGAGTCGCGGTACTGCGGGTTGGGATTTGGGTGTGCGAATTCTAGGAGGATTGAGGTGCGGAATACGTAGGCTTCGTCTGTGGATGGGGCGAGCATGCAGGCGAGGTAGTCGAAGCGGGAGGCGAGTTCGTTTATGTCTATGGGGGGTGGCATGGTTTTTGGGGGATTGGGGAGATGGGGTTGGTGGGAGGACAAGGTTGTGGTTGATGTTGAAGGGAAGGTCTATAAGGCATATGCGAGTAGGTAACGACAGGAGGCTGATACCTGGCATCGTGACGACACAGTCTACTAACTTGAAGGGTATATCCAACAGTTCCAGATGTGTATAGTTCAGCTTGCCATTGCTAGTCTATCTCTCTATCTTGAAAAGAAATCGTCCGGAGCAACCAAACACCGCAGAGCAACCTAATAATAGCAACCCTCAAACACCAAACTTCCAATCAAACCCCAACACAGCAGGCCGTTTATTCCAATATCCGTTCCAACCCTCCATAACCACCTTATTCATCCGCTCACACCCATCCCCCAAACAATCCGTAATCTGCAACCCAGCATAAACATCCACCATCTCCCCCAACCTCGGCATCAACCGTACATCGTTTGCAGATCCAAACTCAATACCATAGAGGTTATAGAACCCATCCTGTAGGACTTGTGCTCTTGAGGAATCTCGTTGGGCCTCGGATTCGATTATGGAGATGTCGGTTTGGATTTGCCCGCCGGTTGCGAGGATGTTTGTTATTAGTTCGTTGGGGGTGTTGATGAGGTCGTAGTGGTTGGAGAATATTTGGAGGAGGAAGATTCGGTTTAGGTATACTTGGTTATTGTATGGTTGTGAGGCGGTGGACATGTTGCCGGTTGTGGCTTTGATGTAGGGTTGAGGGTGCTTGTTTTGAGGTATTGCTGCCCATCCGGTGACATATTGTCGGAGTCCTAGTAGGCAGCAGTTGGGATGACAAGGATACTTCCTTTACGTCTGGTCATAGTCTGGCCGATTGTTGCCTGCCAGGTAGGTGCTGGAAATCTATGACCAACTAAATAGTAATAGATAAAGACTGTAATGGATCTTAGAAAGGCTGCTTCTTGTTCACCATAGATTGTGTTTAATACTACGGCTTAGGGTTAAATTCTCATTCTGTTTCGAGGCGCAAATCAAAAGTCTCAGGCAGATGAACATAAAAGCATAATACTCCATATCATAATGTATGAATAGACCAGATAATAAAACATCGGGGTTCTGAATATAGCTCAAATGTTGCGGACAGACATCCGATATCACTTGCCATTAGGTATCCTAGTTGGAAGTCTAAAATGGGTCTCTACCCTACCTTATTAATATGCCAGCGCCGTAACATGCTCACCATTGCTGCGTCATCAACCAAGACCTAATGAACCTAATCCTAATTCATGAAGGGGGACTGCCTTCTCTCCAACTTCCTACGCCCAAGTTTGGACGCTGATGTCCTTATTTTCAAGCATATTCACCTACCTAGTACAATACGAGAGATATTGGTGATGAAATATTCTAGAAATGTTGTTGCACGGAATTATACCCTCTGATACCACTAAGAATACACACAAATAACTACAAGTTCAATTTAGTCTCCAAAAATTCAACATCATTTACATCCGAGTACACTGCTTCTTCCCCTTCCCCCGTCTTTTCTTTCTTCCCTTCATTAACATGCCCACCCAATATCAACGTCGAAACAAGTGTCGTCAATCCTGTCACTTACTATCGCCTGGGGACCACTCCACCTGTCACGGAGCATAGACATTCACTGAGCATGGACAGTCACTGAGCCTCGCTTAAACCCTTCGCACACATTAGATAGCTCGTCGCCGGCAGGCCTGCCTCTTTCCTTTTCTCTCCTCATGTTAGAATTTTGTCAGATAATCTACCAATATACTCATATTGCTCGGGACCGTCACACCACCCACACCGATCAATGTCAGAGTCTTGAACTGGACTGCAGTGCTCTAACAGGGCTATGTGCTCTCCCAGACTAATTGTCTCATGGCAATTCTTATCGTCATTTTCCTGTATGTACTTGTTCACCCTTGTGGTCAGAATCAACAAGAACTTTCTTCTCTTGGCACCATCAACAGGCGGCTAGTAAGCCACTCCATCCAGGTCTGCATTCTTGATATGCTCTGTGGAATAGTATCGGTTATAGCAGTCTTCGATCTCATGTAACTTGTCTTCAAGTGTAGGGAGCACGAGGTCCATTTTGTGACGATTGGAACGGAGTGAGCGTGCCTGTGGACAGAGTTGAATCTCTTCAACACTTTCTCCTTTCATTTTGACATCGTCGAATGTCATCGGTCCATTCATTACCCATACCCTGGACGTAGATATGAACCCTCAAGTCACCAGGACGCGCCTTGATCGTGACATGGAAGTCATCCTCTTGTGTCCGGCCAGTTGCCGCGTCCGTGGTTATGTCATGGAAGGAACCCCTGAAAGAAATTTAGCATATTGGATCCAATCATAGATGGTATAGTATCGTACATTATTCTGGCCCTGTCTTTACCGAGTCTTGTCACACAGTTATAGCTCAGGTGTTCGGTCGCAGCTTTTAAAGAGATTGGACCCGCCCCCCTCCCCATTGTGGCATAATGCATAATGGCCATCCTGCCTTTTGCATTATCGGCCCACTTCTGGGTGATGCCGTTGACAACGCCCTGGTGCAAATTAGCGGAAGGTGATTTGGGATAGGCGGCCATTGTTCAGGAACGACATAGAAGTCTAGCTCTGTGGCACTGAAGAGAAGGTGGAATTGAGTAAGAGTAGGAAACTTCTCCGCGAGGTAAAATGGCAAATTGGGCCTGGGGTGTTCGCAATGTATAGTATTTGAGATATGTGGGAGGTAAAAAAGGAACGAGAGAAGTGACGGACTTTTATATTCAACCTAGATATTCTGGGAGTATAAGCTAGCTCATCTGGAATGATAGTCAGTAACATGTTCGAAAATTTAGAAGTGGGAAGGCAACGCTGAGAGAGTGTCGGTTTCCTAAGTACAGATGAGATGACATTGACGAAGATGAAAGAAGAGAGTTATCCCATATGAATTTGTTTGATTCACTGATAGGTTCATGGCCATTTACAACCAAGGGCCATGGCCACTGAAGATGAGTGAATTCAATACTAGCACATTTGACTGAATGCCTGCAGACGATTCAATAAACGAGATTGAATTTGACTTCGTAACAGAGTACAGAAAGATTTGAACCGAAATCCGCCCTGACCCGACTAGTACAGTTTGCTAATACGACAGACTGAAGTGATATGTATGTACAAGATGAAAACAGAAAAGATTTTCTAGATCCTTTTCCTTCTTTTGGTGGTTGCTTTTCGCAAGGAGAACCAGGAACTGGGTATTCGAATTGAATTGTATTATGGTATCGGTCTGGTTTTACCGGTAGGGAGCATCAGCTCTGGCGGCAGCGGCAATTTCAGGCTCCCACTTGTCACCGTTAGCCAGCAGCTTCTCCTTGTTGTACAGCAGTTCTTCACGGGTCTCGGTGGCATATTCAGCGTTGGAGGCTAGGGGGTAAAATCGTCAGCCATGTCATCATCCTCAATTGGCGTGTATAGGTCACTTACTCTCGACAATCGCGTCAACCGGGCAACTCTCCTGGCAGTAGCCACAGTAGATACACTTGGTCATGTCGATATCATATCTTGTCGTCCGGCGACTTCCGTCCTCGCGTTCCTCGGCTTCGATGGTAATGGCCTGGGCAGGGCAGATGGCTTCGCAAAGCTTGCAGGCGATGCAACGCTCTTCACCGGTGGGGTACCGACGGAGGGCGTGCTCACCACGGAAACGAGGGGAGATGGGACCCTTTTCGAAGGGGTAGAAAATTGTGTATCTACAAGAAGCCATATCAGTTCGACATTCTTTCTCTACTGTATTGCCACTGGGTATGAGGGACACTTACGGTGGTCTGAAGAACTGTTCCAACACCACGTACATACCCCGGAACATCTCTGCCAGCAAAAAGTATTTACTGGCCTTGTCCACCGAGGTTTCAGCACCCTGATCCCATCGTTGGGGAGCGGGCAACCGGAAGCCAGGTTGAGGGGGACCGTAAGGCGTAGCTGCCCGGGACACCGAGGACGAGAAGTTTGCGGTCGAACCCACGGGCCGGAGGGAAGAAGTCAAAAGGTAAGGCGATGGCCGGCGGTAGGCGACCAGCCTCGCAATAGGCTTAGTGGATGCCATTGCGAATTGACCAGAAACGAATCCAAGGATTGGAGATAAGGAAGGTGGTAGGAGGGCCGGAGGTTATCGAGAGGTGAAGGGATGCAATAATGGAGGTTCGCCATGAGCGGCTTAGGTCATTTCTTTCCGAGCGGTGCTGATTGGCTGGTGCGGCGGCCTCCCCCGAGCCGCAAAAACGGCAAAAACGCAAGTCACAACCGGAACTTCCTCCACGCCTCGACTCTCTCTTGCGCTTCGCTTGTCTGCGTTCTTGTTACTTGACTCCTTCCTCTATATCGGAAGCCGACATCTTATTCTTCTCTTCCGCATACCTTTTTTTCCTTTTACTCAGCACCATGTTCCGTTCCGCCGTCGTCCGCTCGCTGAGAGCTTCCGTGCCTCGTGCCGTCAGAACCCCGGCATCTTTCCAGATCCGTAGCTCTCCCATTGCTCGCCCGGGTCAATTCATCCCTCGCTTCGCCTACCAGGGTGTCCGTCTCTACTCTGCCCCCGCTGGCCTGAACAAGGAGGAGGCTGAGGGCCGGATAGTCAACCTCTTGAAGAACTTTGACAAGGTTCGTTTCGGCAAACCTAGGAGGGGATATATGGGTAGAGGGCAATTCAGCTAACAGAATTTGGTATGACAGGTCAACGACGCTAGCAAGGTCAGTCCTAAGCTCTGGTGCCGGGTGGTGCCGTCATGATTCAAAGAGGGGAAATTGGAGCTATACAAGGGATTCATCAAAAGAAGAAACATCATTCTAAAGACTTCTGCGTCCTACAGATCAACGGCACTTCCCACTTCTCGAATGACCTCGGATTGGACAGCTTGGACACTGTTGAGGTTGTGATGGCTATTGAGGAGGTATGACACTGATATCATCGGATTAGCGGGAAAGCGATTTTGATACTGACATGGTACCAACAGGAATTCAGCATTGAGATCCCCGACAAGGAGGCTGATGGTATCCACAGCAGTAAGTATCCGGGTTGTATTGTTCGGAGCCGAGTGTATACTAATTCCCGGACAGTCGACAAGGCGGTCGAGTACATCCTTGCTCAGCCTGACGGTCAGTGCCTTTCCTTTGACCTGGAAAATATGAACTGCTTGCTGACTGCATCCTAGCCCACTAAATGCTATATTAATGAAGGATCCGGTGTAGGTGGGGTAAAGGTTGGATAGAGAGAAGCAAAAAAAAAAAAAAGAATACTGGCGCGATACTCATCCAGGATACTCTCGAGCATCCTGGCAAGAATCGACGTCTTTGTATGCTGGTACAAGCCGGTTGTTTGTTTCATCCTACTATATCGTGTATATCACTCTGAAATGTCGTTCTGATCTCTCTCTTCTCTTCGATTCTCTGGGCTACACATATTAGTATCTCTAGAGCAGCTCGCGTGGCATATAATCAGCGTCATGTACTCTACAAATTATGATTCGATTTTGTGTGCGGGTGACAGTATCACTGCGATATCCGAATGCGAACACCACCGGACGACCTGACCACCAGCAGAGAAACCACTCGGAGCAGTAGACATACTCAATCCCATACGGATCAGCAATTCAATCTATTACTAGTAATTATATACCTCACGTGTCCAGTACCTGTTTTTTCCCGCACTCACGAGAAGCTCAGCTCGGCCAGCGTTGATCCCGTTCGGGCACGAGAGCCTCTTAATCGTTCCTCCGGCTCTACTCAGCCTCTCTGTTTCTTCCCTCTTTGATCTTTCTCATCGGTCCTTTCTCTCGCGGGGAAGTTCTCTTGTGTGTTATTCTTTGTATTCTATTCTTTATTCTATTCTTTTTCTCTTTCGTCGAAGAATCGAATTCTGTTGGCAGTTCTTCAGCCCCCCCTGACCTGATCATAATAATTTCCCTCCCGCCCAAAACGCCAGACTTTCGGTCTACGCAACTCTCTTTCAACCTCACCCTCGAATTCCGCCTCGAAGCGACAATTCGTGTCGCACTCAATAGCGACTCTGGATTGTTTGATTAATTGAGTCTCACTCGGGCTATACGACTCTCCTTCGTTCTCTCGCGCGCACCCTCCCTACCCATATACCCTCCGATCTCTCGCCCGCACAACAACAACACACCTGTTATCTATCCCCCATGTCCTCAGCCGGGGGCTTGACTCGCCGGAGAGGCGGTGGTCGGGCCGGTGGCGCAGACGACAACGATGACAGCAGAGTTTCTTCGCCCATATCCCGGAATGGCTCTGCATTGGATCATCGAGGGCCGGAGACGTCGTTTACGAGCGGGGAAAATGGCCATAAGATCGTGTTCGATCCCAGAGATCTCAGCGAGACCGAGGAACGGAGCAAGCAACCGAAGTTGACTTTGATGGAGGATATACTCTTACTAGGATTGAAGGATAAACAGGTGGGCTTCTCTTCTTTTTCTCCTTATCTACCGCCCCTGTTTGGGAACGAGTAGCATGCGCATGCGACAGTCACTGACACTTGGGATTCTCTTGCTCTTAGGGGTATCTATCGTTCTGGAATGAAAACATCTCCTACGCCTTGCGAGGATGTATTGTCATTGAGCTGGCGCTCCGCGGTCGGATAAGCATGCAAAAGGATTCCTCCCGACGACGGTTCCCACTCGCCGATCGGGTCATCGAGGTCGTTGACGATACATTGACCGGGGAAGTCTTGCTGGACGAGGCCCTGAAGATGATGAAATCAAGTGAAAAGATGAGCGTCAATGAATGGATCGATCTGATGAGCGGTATGGACACCCAAGCAGCTACCGGAATTGAAGCGTGCGCTAACGCGACAGCCAGGTGAAACATGGAACTTGATGAAGATTGGTTATCAGCTGAAGCAAGTGCGCGAGCGACTCGCAAAGGGTCTGGTCGACAAGGGCATCCTCCGTACCGAAAAGCGCAACTTCCTCCTCTTCGACATGGCCACGCATCCGGTCGCCGACGGAGGCGCCAAAGATGACCTTCACCGTCGCGTGGGCGCCATCTGCAGCAACCGCACGGTGATCCTTCCTGCCAACACGTGGTTACCCGAGGATGCAGAGTACCGTTATCTCCGCTCGATTATCATGGTATGTGCGGCGTATGCGGCCAACGTGCTGGAGAACGCTCTGGTCACGATGAGCCACGAGGCTCGCGAGAGAGCCTTTGCACAGGTGGACGAGCTTTTGGCAGAATACTCTCAATGGCCATTTGCCCGGAGGGCTGGTGGCTCGCAAGCCATCGGTGCCAACTTGGCCCAGGCCATCAATGATGAAGTGAACAAGAGCCCGGATCGAGAGCTTCAGATGGAGGTACGTCCACCTTTTTCACTGTTCATGATCTTTTGATACTGACAATGGCTAGATTGTTGCTGCATGTTTGAGCGTGTTTACAAGACTTGATTCCTTACTGTAGCGGTTGTAGTACCGCTGTTCTAATATACTCCCATTTATCTTTCTCGTTCTCGACTTTTTAATCTTTTTGATCTACCGTGCCTTCGAACTCGGCAAGGTGGTAACCCTTGGCTCCCTTTCTTGATGTAGTTCGACAACATACGGGTTGGAACTGGGGCAGAGCATGCATTTCTTTCTATCTGGTGTACAAAATCTTTCTTCTGATTTCAATCTGTTTCACGATCTGTCTGTTTTCTCAGTACCCCATACCCTTTGCTTCCGAGAAGATCTACATTGACAAAAGGGGATGTATATGTGTGTTCGATAGAGTGCATGCATGAAACAGAGCTGTGTCTTGATATTAATGTGACTGACTCAATTCATTTCTTGACATCCAGATGTGTTTCATGTTAATTGGTGGTACGTAGTATGCTGACTTTCAATCTGTAGTCTAACTCGTCGTGTGCAACCTTTTCGTCTGAAAGCACTCAATTAACCCTCATAACAAACATCCCGCCCCGTCTCGCCCCTGCCGCCCCCGCCGCCCCAGCATCCAAAAGATCAGCCCCATTAACCAAATCCACAATACTCTCCGCCCTCCCCCGCGGCGCCTGTTCCTCCTCAACAAGCCTCGCAATCCGTCCAAGCGCGTGTCCATCCGGCTCAACCGCGATAAACCGACTAAACAAGCCCCGTTTACTCTTATCGTCTTTCTCCAGATGCTGCTGCGTCTGTGCAGGCGTCGAGTCCACGGCTGTCAAGACGGCGCCGTGATCTTTGACAACGTGTGAGGAGTGTGCTTGGCGGAACAATAGGCCGTCTGCACAGTCGAGGACGATGTCGACGGGATCCCAGCGGTTGCTGCGGAAAGGGGTTGCGAGGTCGAAGGAGGGGTCTATTGGGAGGGGGGCGACGATGGTCTCGTCGACGTCGTGGTTGTGGCGGAGGGCGGATTCTTGTTCTGGGGAGGAACATGTCACGCAGATCCAGGGACGGTGCTGGTTCGGGAAGAGGGATTTCGAACGGAGGAGTTGCACGGCTTGCATCCCAACTTCGTTATCGTAGGCATTTGTGACCAGCACGCGGAGATGCTTCCGCTTCCCATTGCTCGCAGTCCGGTCTGGGTGATCGTCCAGCCCAGCATATGTAAAAATAGCCTGCCACGCCGTAAGAGAAGGTAATGGAATCGTAGCAGCCTCCGCCGCACTAATATTCTGCGGCTTAAACGCCAACTCATCCTCATACGCAAGTACATAATCTGCCGCGGCCCCATCCCTCGAATAACTCACCAGCCCAAAAACCACATCATCGACCTTAAACTTCGGCCCCTCCGCATTCCAATGATCCTCGTTCGGCGTGCTAATCACCGTCCCGCAGAGGTTATGCAGCGGGACCTGCGGCATCGACTGCGTGGGGTTTAGTAGTCCGGCTAGACGTACTTCATCGTGCGAGAAGGCTGTTGCTTGGACTTTGATTAGGTATTGAGCTGGGGAGGGCTTGGGGACGGGGAAGTCGGTGTCGAATGTTATGGAGGTTTGGCTGGAGACGGCGGTTGGGTCGTTGGGGATTGTGGGGAGGGAGGTGTAGTAGAGGGCTCGCATTGTTGGGGGGACGAAAGTTTGTTCGTCCATGGTGGCTGAGAAGGGCTTTGCGGGTTTCATGTTGTATTTCCTGGGTTGTAGATTCGGTTGATATGCTTTGAGTATAAGGAAAGGCTGCCCTGGTAGAAAACAGCGAACAACCTCAGAAATGACAGTTTGAGAGATGTATAGGATTATTTCAGAATCTTTTCAGGTCAAGAGACAATGGTATATAAAATGTCCGATTTTGTATGATGTTGTGAGGACCGTAATGCCCATGTCCTAATGTTGACGTATGTATAGTTCCTCATAAGGTTCCGCGCCACAGTACGACATCCGCAAAAACTTGCTGAATTCTACGCACCATTTCATCAGGACAGATGTTCTGGAAAATTCATTCTGCAGAATGATGCTGCGAGATGGGGATTTTGATATTGTTATTGGTTGCTATATTGCGGGGGATGTATGGGCGTTGGTGCAGATTGAAGATCATCTCGGGGAGAGGTTTCCGTATGCATAGCTAAATCGATATTCGCTGCATACTTGAGTCGTTCATCATCGTTTTTAAATGAGTCAGGTAAGGGTGTTCATCTAGAATTACATATTTCCGGCAGGGAATAAGTCATGCTGAATTGCGTCCGGCACTTCGTTTTCAACCAAAGGAACGCAAGAGTATCCCGACTCTATAGTAAAAACGCCGGGTGGCTATCTTCTAATGGCATAAGTTGCGCGGTAGCTTGGTGTCACGGAGCTCAGCTGGGATAATGGAACATCAACTCTTGTGTTCTACCTAGGTAGCTATCGACGAGAATAATCAACATGAGGAAAGAAGAAGAATGATGTGCCATCAGCGTTGACGAGACTTATATCCTTTGCTTCCAGCACGTGAGAGTTATGCACGTGACCAGACCGTCATACTTAGATGCTCAAAGAAGGTCAGCATGTCATATAAGGAAAGTCAAGGGTGCTATGCACACTCGATAATTCTCAAGTCCTTAGCCGTCTTGGGAGGGCAAAGCGCTCTTATGCTATTCTAGTCCAACCTAATATCTTGAAAGGGCTTGATAAGCCTATCTTGTAAGTGAATTCGATGTTCTGTCGCAAGAAATGGCGGTATCCCTTTGTACTTGTAGTGAGAGGCACAATATATATTTTGAACCGTGAGACACAGCCAGCTTGGTAGTATTTTTGACTTATTCATAAAGCATTGTATACTCGGAATGGTACCCAGTACGAATGGAATCTTCTGGCGATTCCTTATGACAAGCAGAAATCAAGAGAAACTTCCGATTACCAGAACAAGAGCGCATTTACAGGATTCCTAATTGAGTTAGTCGCGAATCCTGACAGCGGAGGCTAACCCGAAAAGGAATAAACTCGTCTACGGAGTAATATGTACATATCGGACAAATACGTGAGTCGGCTTTTAAAGGGCATATCTATATATAGCCAGGCCAGATGGAGTGTACAGTACTCCGTATGTGCTACACATGGTTTAGTCTCAGCTCCAAAACAGAGTCCACGTCGATATCACGTGACCCCAGTATCAGGGCGACTCGATTTCTTTCCTTACTATGGCTCGTTTTTGTTACCGTGTCATCTTGGACTACTATAATGATGCGAAGGACTTCTACAAGCTCAATTTATCATGGTCCAAGTCCTTCACAAGGCACATATCAGGTCCGAGAACTTCGATCATTGGCCGTGTCATTGATCGGAATCCACTGTGGAGTATATAGTAGGTATGAAGCGGTGTACTGTCGAACCTTCTTGGAAGAAGCAATGTTATATTGGCTCAGGTGGGTGCTCGGAAGAGATGTGATACCAATCTGCTTTGTGCAATCCATGAGTGGCTTAATCGAGCTGTCTTCTAGATCTGTTATGTCTCCCGGGGAAATTCACATACCTGACAGATACGCACAAAACAGAAGCAAAAGGAGTATGGAATACTGCGCTACAAGTTGCTTGAGCTACCAACATGGGCAGCTTTCAAAGCAAATGTGAGGCCACGCGCCTCTCAATAAAGCTTCCAGATAGGGAAAGGGAGTATATATCTATCAGCTTCTGACCATGTCATGCCAACGCTAGTGTGACCCTTTTTGCCGGTTATTACCGCCTACATTCTGTCAGTTCTATTAACTAAATCAGATGCACTGTAATAACTTCATGTAACTATATGGTTTGCATGCTATCTGACAGGCCAGTTGAGATCCTATTCTCTATTTCATGCCATGCCTCAATTGCTGCTTTCTTCAGCAATTCCTGGAGTGAAGGTGAAATATGCGGCTGCACAGGCGGTCAAAATAGTGGAATAGATATCACAAGTGCAGTTCAGTAGTGGCTTCAATGGTACCCGTTGATCACAGACTCATAGTTCATCATGTTGATCAGTTCCGATATACTATCACACTCCGGCTTCAGCTGCAGCATGCGGAGAATTGCCCATGGAACTCAGAGAAAATACTCTATTTGCTTCAACAGTTTCCTATTGGCCATCCGACTAGCTACCCCTGATGGATCGATGGACATGGTCAGGCTTGATGGTGACGACTCCTATTACATTACAGCCAGCATCGTATCCAGGCCTCAACCCAAGAAATTCAGCAAAGGGGACTTATATCTTCTTTATCGGGGTGCAGTTAGCCAGTGAGCACGCAAACTAGAAAAGCAACTTACTTTGGACGGCTATGCTGTTCATTGGTATACCCTTCAACAAACCCCGCCTCCGGACTCGGACGTCATATCGTTGATCGATTTGGAAGGTCCCTTTTTCGACGACCTGTCAAGCGTTGATTTTGCCGCTTTCAAGCAATGCTTCTCCGCTATGAATAATGTCCGCTTGCTATGGGTTACGAGATGGATACAAATGGAATGTGAAGACCCTCGCTTTGGCCTGTCCTTGGGCCTAGTTCGGACTTGTCGACACGAGATTGCAGAGGACTTTGTAACCTTGGAGATTGATCAGTTTGACGGTACTGCCATAGAGTCTGTCGTCAAGGTATTAAACAAGATCAAGTCACAACGAGAAAAGCCGTGGTTGTACCCCGATTATGAATTCACTCTCCGGGGTGGTGTCATTCACACTCCTCGCTTCCAGTGGAGTACTATCGATGACCAACTCACAAAAGACGCGGATGGCTCAGCGTTGAAGGCGCTTGATATTGGCACCTATGGCATTATCGGCTCCTTAATATGGGCATCAGCAAGCCCATCGCTAGTCCTTGCAGAAGGCGAGGTTGAAGTTGACGTGAAATATGTTGGTTTGAACTTTAGGGCAAGTGCGTTTGAGCAACTAGCAAGCTGGGAATGATGGGTTACTAACTTGCTCTTGTTAGGATACTCTTGTGATGTTGGGACTTTTTAGCGACATGAGCGAATGCGGCATTGAAGGGAGTGGTGTCGTTCGCAGAGTCGGATCAGGCGTTCAAGATCTCAAAGTGGGGGACTACGTTATCCTGGCCTCGGTAGGGCTACTTTGCACTCGCAAGGTCCTACCAGCAAATAAATGTCTGAGACTTCCTGAAAATGTTACGCTACAAGATGCAGCTACAATATTTTGTGTCTTCACTATGGCCATCCATTCTCTTGTGAACATGGGGAATTTACAGAAAGGCCAGTCTGTTCTGATTCATGCTGCATGTGGCGGCGTGGGCCTTGCGGCGATACAAGTATGTCAAATGATTGGTGCCGATATCTACGCGACAGTCGGAAGTAAAGAGAAACGCCAACATCTTACTGAAGCCCTGGGAATTCCGGAAGACCACATCTTCGATTCTCGGAGTCCGCCATTTCTCCAAGGAGTGATGGCAAAGACCGGCAACAGGGGCGTTGATCTGGTTCTGAACTCACTGTCTGGCGTATTACTACGCGCTTCTTGGAAATGTGTCGCGACCTTTGGGAAGATGCTTGAACTTGGGAAGCGAGATTTTCTTGGCCATGGCCAATTGGACATGAGCATGTTTTCTGGAAATCGATCGTTCATTGGCGTCGACCTCCTGCATCTTAGCATCGAGGACCCACAGGCTTCATATGAGGTTGCTCAACAATGTGTCCGTTACTTTCAAGAAGGAAAACTGAAGCCGATTCAACCCATTACCGCCTTCGGGGCCGACAAGATTGCAAAGGCTGTTAGGTACATGCAAACCGGTCAGCATATGGGTAAAATCGTTATTCAGCTTCCGGATGATCCATTGGCTCTACCAGTATCCAAGATCCAGGAAGGGGCCACCTGTCTGCGCTCTGATGTTTCCTACCTTCTAGTTGGCGGTCTGGGTGGGATCGGACGTGCTGTTGCGAGGTGGATGGTTGAAAAAGGAGCCCGGCACTTGGTTTTCCTTTCACGGTCTGGCCAAGCATCTCCCGAAAGCCAATCTTTGGTTCGAGATCTTGAAAGTCAAGATGGCTGCACCGTAACTGTTGTGGCAGGGAGTGTGGCGAACATTGAAGATGTCCGACGTGCAGTTGCTGCATGTAAAAAGCCGATAGGAGGAGTCATGCAAATGACAATGGTGCTGAAAGTAAGTTAGCCACGACTTCCCCTAGAAAAGGCATAATGCTAACCACGTTTTTTATTGCACAAACAGGATCAGCTTCTGATGAACATGGAGTACGAGGAATGGACAGCCGCGCTTGCTCCCAAAGTCCAAGGGACATGGAACCTCCACAATGTTCTGGGCGACACACAGCTGGATTTCTTCGTTCTGTTTAGTTCATTGTCGGGTATTTGCGGCTTGAGTGGCCAGACGAATTACGCAGCAGCAAATACGTTTCTGGACAGTTTTGCGAGGTACCGACAATCTCGAGGATTGATTGCAAGTGTGCTTGACATCGGCTTCATGGGCGACGTTGGATATGTCTTTGAAAAAGCCACTGGTATTCGGGAAAAGGCGTGGTCTGTTGCAGTCTCGGTTCTGGAGGAGAAGGATCTACTCAAAGGCCTGAAGACTGCTTTCCTTTCTCAATCATCGAGAGGGCCTAGTCAGCTTGCGATTGGCCTTGCTACTACAAGGCCCCTTTCTGATCCGGGGGTGATCCCAGTATGGAGGCGCGAGGCGCGCTTTGCTCCATGGGAGAATGTCCTGACAGCATCCAACGGACCGAATGTGAATTTGAAACACCAGGCATTCAGGGAATTTCTCATCACGACTGAAAATAATCCTGCTTTGCTGGATGACCCATCGACGGAGGTGAAGGTGACTATCGAGATTGGTAGGATGATAGCGTCTCATATGTCCTATCCCGAAAACATGGAAGTGGAGGAGCTGGCAAAAATCTCCATTGATTCTCTAATGGCCATTGAAATCCGAAGTTGGTGCCGTCGACATGCCGGGATAGAAGTTTTACTAACGGATATATCGAACGCGGAAAATGTGGGTTGTTTGAGAAAAATTGTCATTAAGATTCTCCGTGAGAAATACGACAAGGCCGCTCCGACAGGTAGTCAGGAAGCTTCGATTGCGTTGGCAGCACCACCAGATGAATTCGAACTCCTCCGACAGGATGCGAACCTGGGAAAGACCATAAAACCTGTTTCTGGCCCGGTCCCTGATTGGCTCTCTGAAAATGAAGGCCGAGTCTTTCTTACTGGAGCCACTAAGTTCCTAGGATCTTCTCTATTATCTTTCTTGATGCGTCTACCACAGGTCAAGACCATTGCTTCTCTAATCCGAGCACCTGACGCCGAGACAGGGCTGGCCCGGGTGAAACAGACCTTGGCCAAGTATGAGCTCACCGTGGATTCTGAGTCCAAACTCCATGTGATCCCGGGAGACTTGACTGATCCGACTTTTGGCCTTGGTCAAGAGAAGTTTGACGAATTTGCGCAATGGGCAAGTGTAGTCTTCCAATGATGGGGCTTATGTCAATTACATTCTCCCATATGTCGCTCACCGTGCCATCAATACAACTGGGCTCCTTCACATTCTTCATTTCGTTAGCCACATGCGTCTCAAGCCTATGCATTTCGTCTCCAGCATGGCGGCAGTAGGGTCCAGTGAAGTTCTTACTGGGAAAGGTGTTTGGGAAGACCAGAGGCCCGCTTTGGATACAAAGCGTTTCAAACAGCACGTGGGATATACTCAGAGCAAGCTTGTTCAAGAAAGCATTGTGTGGGACGCCATAGACCGCGGGTACCAAATCTCCATCTACCGTCCCAGGCTGATTATGGGACACAGCAGCACCGGCGTGGGCAATCCCAATGACTTGACAAATCGAATGATGTACAACTGCATTCTCACGGGGTGCTATCCAAATCCACCGCGGCAACGCAACCAATTCGTCCCTGTGGATTACGTCGCTGAGGCTTTGGTGCGGATTTCTCTGTCAAACGCTAAACTGGGTCATGTGTACAATCTTGTTCACCCAGACCAAGCTGAAACGACCCTGGTTGAAACATTTGAAGCTCTCAGTGCTTGCTGTCCATCGCCTTTGCAGCAAGTTTCAAGTGCCGAATGGGTTCAAGAGGTTGCCAGCAAAGGTCAGCGTAAGGTTAAGATGTCCCCCCCCCCCAATGCTGGAAGAGCAGTTGTCACAGTTTGAGATTCTGTGGGGAGGCGGAAGTCCCGGTCATATGGCCCTGTTTAGAACGGAGAATGTGCGTCGTGCGTTGGCCGGATGCCCGGAGGTCTTGGAAGTTAAGTCGGTGGCTGAATTGGTCAAGACATATTATCCGCACTGGGTGGATATGACGAATAGTTGATCTCGTACTTTCTACTTGGATCAGGATGAGAGAACGCTCATTGGAAGATGTTGTTGCCGTTGGGGATAGATACTTCGGAGTCTTGTATTACTAGATATTCTTCAATACTATTTTGATTTTTGTACGCACTTGATTGGTATCCATTGAATACCTGTTATTTTTATTAGGACATCATACAACGTTTCATCCCCTCTGCAATTTGCAATCACGCATCTTTGGTGACATTGCGATTCCACGCTTCCACCTCCTTACACATCCCATCCAGCGTGTTAACAGGCGCAGAATACCCCAATCCACCCTGCTCCGGCTTCAACCGTGCACGCGAATCATCCGCAATAGTGTGCACATTAGACACAGAAAACAAAGCAGGCTGCAACTGCGCCAGGTCCCAGGACAGAGGGGGCAACAACCACGGCAAATAGCGGTAATGAATGAGGGCATAGAACTCAACAGCATATGACATGAGGAATAGTGGGACCGCGGAGACGTAAGTGAAGTTCATGGGCGTTTTGGAGAGCGTGGTGAGCAAGAGGTAGACATCGCTGAAGCTGACAGGAGGGTTGGGGTCTGTGACGACGAAATATTGGCCGCCAATGTCGATGTCCTTCTTTGAGATTGGAGAGACAAGTTGCTGCTCGTAGAGGAGGTGGGCGATAGAGACGTTTTCGGCGTTAACGAAGTTTTGGATGATTGGTGCTGTCCAGCTATTTCCTTCATTAGCTTTTCTATCACTCGCGGGAGCATGTATGAGACTTACGTAGGATTACCACTGCTTCGCAAGTAAAGTCCAAGAATGCTACCACTGCCATCCGCACCAATACCGTAGATGCCATTCGCGGGACGAATACAGCCCGTCCTGAAACCCGACTCCGCGCTATCCGCACCACGCACCAGATTTTCCGCTTGGTACTTCGACACAGCATAGTTTCCAAAGAACTTGTCGTGCTCCTTGGGCTGGTCACTAGCTCGATCGCTCAGCACTTGCACCAGACGCTTTGGCGCGTTAATCCATGGCGGAATCCAGAACGACGCTCGTCGCAGTCCAACAGAGCCAGAGGACGTGGCGATGAAGCAGCTCGCACCTGCAGCCTTTGCAGCTTCGAGCACGTTACGAGCTCCACCGACGTTGACTGTAGTACAGAGGTGAAGTAGGGCCTTGTGGCGCTCTGCTGGACGGATGACGGCTGCGGTGTGGTAGATGGTTAGTGGGAGTTGCTCGATTTCCTTGCTGGGCCAGGGTTGCGTAAAGGCGTTAGAGACTGCTGTCTTGTCCGTGATGTTGGTCTTGATGAAGACAGCGCCCTGGTCTAGGACTCCCTTGCGAGGTGGCTGGAGATCCAAGATGCGGATTGCTGCTGGGTTTTCACCACGGGCTAGGAGGTGGGTGACGATCCAGTTGCCCACGAGGCCTGCTGTGGTTAGCATCATGCTTTTCTTTTCGAGAAATAAGTAATTACCTGATCCACCAACAACAACATAGCGACGGTTCTGCTTAGGGGGCAGATGCTGGGTCACGTCGACGGAAGAGTCAGTGTTTCGCTCATAGGCTTTCTTGATCCCTTCAACGGTCCAGCGATGAGGTGAGAATTTGAGTGCCTCATTAGGGACTAGAGTCATTCCACGATTGACATGGTAGAGGTAGAGGGCCAGAGTCAGGGCCACGAGGGCGGTCACGATGAGTATCATTTGAGGATAGCAGTGTGTAGGTTAGAGAGGGGAATGGGAGAAGGAAAATCGGAAAAATCGAGGGTATGACAACGACAGCGACAGTTTGACAGCCAGCTGTCAGCATTCACTGTCTCTGTACTTTACACTATGTCTTCCCGAAATATCTAGAGCGGAGGAAAACCCCTGAAGTGGAAATTCCTCGGAGTTATTTATAGCGTGGCGATTATCAGATTAGATCTCGCTTAATCCGTTAGACTATTCATTGGAACTATGTATTCACTGTTTCTTTTCTCGTTGCTTTATTATGCATAGTTTCTGTGCAATATGCATATCCAATGGTTGAGGGATGTCAGACACGGAGAATAAGTATTGTCTGGAGTAACCACGACGATGCTTCATAAAAATTTCCGGTATTCGCTCTTCTAAAGCAATTCCTTATCTACATTGATTTGAAAAGGTTTGAATTTAGGACCCCTGAAGATAGCTAGACAAAGGAACAAGACAAGATATTGTAGCGGTGCAATGACCGGAATAAAGCAGGATTAACCAAGTCTCTTGTCTCCAAACTGGCTAGTCAATATGCATGTTCGGAAATGGTATGTTGCGAGAATAGCAAGTTAATCAACTGTACATCATCAGCAAAATTCTATCCACCAAAAAAGAAGCCAAATACCTCATAGCCCCCTCGCCAAATCCACATCCTGCGCATTCCGTACAGTCCTCTCATACTCCCCCAACGAAACCGGTCCAGCCGGGAACGCCATAACCGCTTCAACATAATCCTCTTTACCAGTACCTTGCACTGGCTTTCTTACATATCCAAGGACATTCACCCAAGCGCCCACACGCAGTTCCTCGGATGTAATCGTCTCAAGTAGAGGGTTGATGTCCACTGCTATAATGGCGTCTTTTCCTGCCTGGCGGGGGTAGTTGTGTTCGAAGATGAGGTGGCCTGTTGCGACATTGTAGGTTCTTACGCTTGAGGCACTGTTAGTTTATCTTCTGGTGGTTCTTCCATAGCAAAGCGAGCATGTATAGATGGGCTGGAGTCCACGCACCAGCCCAGGAATCGCACTTTGGAGTCTGACGGAAGAGAACGGAGCTGTGAGAGAAAGACCAGTTTAGAAGGCAATGGTGTAGTCATTCCTGTTTTTAATTTTCTCTGTTTTTCGCATACCTGAAGACGATTGAAAGGTGCTCTCCGAACAACCTAAAAACAGCGGAAGTCACGTGCCACCGATCGGCGGCGCGTCATGACCACCGGAGGGGAAAAGGCAAGCATCATCTCCAGACACTCCCCAGCGAACACCTCGGATCATCCCGATCTTCGATTCTAGCAGAGCTCGATCGCTTGTTCTTACGATCAGCAGGGTCCCTTTCACGCCTTTTCGCCCTCTTATCGCCCGGATCGAAAACGCTGTCGTTATCTCTTCATCCCACCACCTTCTAAGATCGACCAAGACGACGAAACAGACCGAAACCACGATACCCAAGACCCTTCGCAACAACCGCGGAAGGCAAGATGTGGTCCTGGTTCGGCGGGGCAGCAGCCCAGAAGCGCAAGGATGCGCCCAAAAACGCCATCCTGATGCTGCGGGAGCAGCTGGACATGCTACAGAAGCGGGAGAGACATCTGGAGAATCAGATGGAGGAGCAGGAGGCTATAGCGAAGAAGAATGTTACGGCGAATAAAACTGGTGTGTTACCATGTGGCTTTTTTGTTTTTTTTTTTTTTTTTTTTTTTGAAAGGGGATGGCGGGTTCTGACACTGGAACAGCGGTTGCGAAAGCGGCTCTTCGGAGGAAAAAGGTCCACGAGAAGAACCTTGAACAGACGACGGCGCAGATTACCCAACTCGAACAGCAGATTTACTCAATCGAAGCGGCGAATATCAACCAGGAGACTCTGAATGCGATGAAGGCGGCTGGTTCTGCCATGACACAGATTCACGGGTCTATGACGATCGATAAGGTCGACGAGACAATGTACGTATCTTTCTGGTGGGGATTGGAAACAATGCAGGGGCTAATAAGATCAGGGACCAACTCCGAGAACAACACCAACTCAGCGAGGAAATCGCTCAGGCTATCACCAGCCAGTCCGTGGGCGAACAACCAGACGAGGACGAGTTGGATGCCGAACTCGAAGGATTGGAGCAGGAGGCTATGGACGAGCGTATGCTCAAGACAGGGACAGTACCTGTGGCCGACCAGATCAACCGGTTACCTGCTGCCGCGAATGGAGAGCGTAAGTCTACATCCACTCCCTTACATGTCAGACAGTTTCTAACAACGACCAGCCAAGGACAAAACGAAGCAAGCCGAGGAAGAAGACGAGGAAGCAGAGCTCGAGAAGCTCCGTGCAGAAATGGCCATGTAATGATGCATGCCCCTCGCCTTTTATTTTCGTTTTAGCGCTTTTTCCTTCTTCTTTCCTTCTTTCCTTTCAAGCCTTGATGCATGATGAATGTTCTACCGGGAATACTTTGATTCTTGTTCTAATGCTTTTATTCCTATTCATACTCTATTGGCGTAATTGGGTTACCGTTTCTGGGGTTGTGTTTGTTTTAGATTCGCTGATAAACCGGCATACATGTGCTCAATGGGATTTACTACCTTTCCACGTATCTAGTCAATCATTTGACATTTTTTATGGATTATTTGTATGATAGAGGTATCCTCGAAAGGGACTAACAAACATGAAAACCTCGATTAATCAGTTTTGCAGCAAAAACGAAACTCCTTTTCTCCTAGAAACCCAATCCCATGCCATCGAGCAAAGCATAAAAAGGGAGAAAGAAAAAAAAAAAAAATCAAAAATCAAAAATCAAAAATCATAATCATGGAAACCACGCGTAACTCTTCAGCGGCGTCGTCCTCGCCGCATCCCTCCCCTCGTTGCCCCATCTCTCTTTCCACTCCCACTCGCTCGCAGCAGACTCCAGCAACGCCTCTCTACAATCCGATGGCAACTCGTCGAGGATCTCCGGAGTAACAAATTCGGGATGCTGCAGGTTGGCGGTGCTGATGAGGCCATTCGAACCGAGATCGTGGACGTCACCGTCTGGGCCTGGGATGCCGAGGTTGGAATGGGGTGGTGTTTCATAGTGGATGTCGTGGATGGCGAAGCGGCGGGAAAAGGGAGCGGGCACGGCTGGGAAGGGGGATTGCGTGGTGGTGTCTGGTTCGGTTTGTTTGGTGGAGGTAGTTTCGTCAAGTTGGTCTTGGGATTCGTCCATGTTCTCATCCTTCTCCTCGTTTTCGTTGGAGGCGGGTTCTTCGCTGTCGGCGCCGTTTGTCAGGCTTAGAGATGACAGGCCCTGGGCTAGTCGAGAGGCGACTCGGGGGTCTGGCGGGGGGACACGCTCCCAACGTGCGTGGGTGGATTGCATGGTCTTGGGGTATTGCATTGCGTTCGTATGGATATCGTAGGATCCTCCCAGGTTTGTGCGTCGGGCAGTGAGGATGGATGAGTTGTATGTGCTGTGGCCTGTTAGCATTTTCAAGAGAAATGAAAGGGGGAAAAGGTGACACCAACCTAGCTTCACGCGCATGTTCCATCATCCAGTTAACGCCAGTCACCGTCACCTTGCGCTTCTTCGAATCCACAACCTTGCCAGTCGGCAGAGGAATCGACGGACCTGCAGTGTGATAAACACTGCTGGCACCGTGCCATGCGACGTACTGGTTCCGATTGTACGGCTCCCCTGGTGGGGGGAGTTTGTCCTCTGGCACTGCCAACTCGCCTTCCACCTCACCACGCTCGCGCGCAGGTTGCACGTAATACTCATCGGTGATCTTCCTACCTCCAACAACAATCTTGGCACCGAATTCACGGAACACGGACCGCGCCGTCACCACACCAATAGCACGTCCCTTGTAGGAGTGGGGGATGATGTGCCTGTCGATGAGGTCGCGCTTGGCCTCGTCGTCGATAATGATCTTGTAGAGCATGCGATGCTTCTGGAAGAACAGGTAGGAATCCCGGAAACCAATACACCGTGCCGGTTCAGTGGAAAGCATGTATTTGCGGTCGCCGCGGCTGAGGATCGTGAACGTCCGGACTCGGTACTCTCTATCACCCAAAAGGTTGCCATTATTGTCGACCTTGGTCTCTCCTTCAGCATCTTCCGGCAGAACCACCTCATCGTTCGCAATCTCCATCGCCTTTCCTTCCTTGTCAACCGGGGCCTGCGTCACATGCGAAGCTCCGCGATTGCGCGCCCATCGACCACCACTGGCATTCGGACGGCCGCGTCGTCTCTTCGCAGGGGTACCGACATGGTTCGGAGCGGCACCGTCATCCTGCAAATCCCAGTCCGGTGGGCGGTTCTTCGGCGGACGACCAATGCGGCGCTTTCGCGGAATTGCAGGTCGACCCAGACGAGATGGCGAATCCGGGTGCGACGGGGTATTCGAATCCTGCGCTGGCGTCGCTGTGGCTGCTGGAGTCGCGGTTTCAGCTTCAGCTTCTTCTTGAGGCTGCTCCTGCTCGGCTTCTTCGGGCTGTTCGCTTTGTTCGGTTTGTTCTGGTTCTGGTTCTGGTTCCTTCTCGGACGCGTCTTCTTTGACTTCTTCCTCTTCTTCTTCCTCTTCCTCCTCCTCCTCTACGGGGGAAGGTTCTCGCGAGGGGGCTTCGGCTTCGGCCATTTCTTCGTCTGATTGTTCCGGGGGTGGAGGGACATTTTCTATACCAGTCAGTCAGTCTCTACGTGTTTCTGTTTCCATCGACTTGAAGAATCGAAAAAAGGGAGGGAAAATGAATTGACGTACTGATAGATTGAGCCGCTGCCTGAGCAGCTGCTCTAGGCTTCCTAGCCATAGCTGGCACGGAAATGTAGGGAACAAGGTGGAAAAGGTTCGTAGACCAGCTCTAGAGCTGCGCGGGAAAAGAGGCTCTTCGCGACTTTGGCGTCGAGCGACGGGCAGGATCCCGTAATGCAGCCCGGGCCGGGACTACTATTCCTCCGATAATTGTCGGTGCCTGGGGCAACAAGGAAGTCTCAGTTGGCACGTGATATGGGCCCTAAGCCCTATGGAGGCTTGGCGATAAGTCTAAGACCCCAATGACGTCACCAATCCGGGCGCATCCATATCGACATCGGTCATTTGCCAGCATTAATGCCTCTATCGCGCATCAAACCCCTCGTCTATACGAAGCATCTTATTGATCCGGAAATCGAAACCAGGCCGACCGATGACGCACTCCATGCGCCTGTGATAGTCTATCTTGGTCGAGAGGGGTTGCACTGACTACATCCAGTAGAGATCGGGTCGCCAGCGAATCTGAGTTTGATAATGATCCTTTGAACTACTCACATTCACATGCGAAGATGCGGTGGGAGTGATTCGCTGGACTCGGCGCGATATGCTCTGATACAAGCGGGATTAATGCGGGTACCCGGCTAGCCATTGAGGGGCGGTTGTAGAATCCAGTGACTGGCTGCTGCTGTTGTGATTATTGCAAATGACTCGATCCACTGGTCGAGTCATTCAGTAGCCGCGTCGGATGTAGCAACAGGCGCCTGCTGCTAGATGTATTTACTCGTATTGGGTAGGTGGCTGGTTGTTCTGCAGTGAGGGAATAGGCCGATCGGGGTTGTTCAAACCACTCATGAACTAATGTAAGAGTCAATCGATATACATAGTATTATCCCCTCATCCGGCCGGTAAATTTTATCATCAAACCCGGGGGAGTGTCGAGATGTACTAGTATGTCACGATGCACCCGCTATGTGCTGCATCCTATGCTTTGGACCCTCCGATATCACGATAATAAACCACGGCTGCTGTGACAGGTGATTTGCAGAAGCAAGGGAGCTGACTCTCGGGAGCTCCGTGGTCTTATGTTGAGGGCATATGCATGTTTATCCTCAACATGGTCCAGGCCGTCGAATTTGGAATATATATCATCATCCCGGGAGATCGTGACTCAAGACTCGAAAATAAAGCGGATGGTTATGCCGTTCTGAATTCTAGTCTGGAGGTCCTAGCAACTTCGCAGCCAACAGTATCACAAAAGCCCAGAACATGGGGGGGTTGGATAAAGAAACAGAAGATGACGGCATCTGGCATGCAGCATTATCATTTCCACCGCCGTATCCGGGAAAAAATAGATACAATTCAGAGGAAGGAGGATTCCAATCCTGCAGAAGAAGCTTTGTCTGGAGGCGAAGTCTTCATTGTGGATGCTCTAGAGTAAGTATGCCGTAGCGAAAGCCAAAGGCATGCATACCATCTAGTCATCCTGTTAACGTGAGTTGGCATGAAATGATATTATCTACGATCACATAAGTGGTTCCTTAAGCTTGATGATTTCTATAGATATGTAGTCTCATTACAGAGAGATGGCAATGATTCTATATTTACTCCGTCCCCGGACTTGTATAGATAGGATCGATTACCTCCAAAGTCAGTTGATTTAACCATTCAACATCTGATCTATTTGATTGTTCACCCGTGAAAATACTTATTATTTCTTCTAACTTCGCGCCTTTTCAACAGCAGGAATTGAACCATTGGATAACTCGGTCCCTGTCCACTATTATTCAGCCTCGACGCCACCAGGCATTCTGACTGCAACTCAAGCCATTGAGGCTGTTCATTTAATATGACTTGATTAAAATAAAACATCAAATCCACTCCACCGTTTCTCTTTCTTTCTATAATCGTTCTTCTATTATTGTTGTTGTTTCTTGTGTTGTGGTCCGCCCCGCATCGATAACTCTTGAGTAAGAAGAATCGTTCCTCGATCAGTGACTGTACTTTATTATTATCATCATTACTTTTTCTCGTTTCTTTTTTTCTCTTTGAATATCAACATATCATCAGCCTTATGTCTCAGCTTGTTCTGCAAATAAATCGGTGACCTTTAATAATAACGCTCCATCGTACACCTCCCGAACCCCGAAGTCGTCTTCCTTGGCTCCGTTAACGTCAAAGTTATTTTCCTTTTTTAATTTTTTTCCTCGACCGACTTAGTCGACTCCGCACACCTCGACCTGCCAGTTTACCACAACTACGAAGACAACATTTGGCAAGTACAATTACCAACATTCGGGACGTTCAATCCTTATTTCCGCGCTCCTTCGCATTCACCGACGTATTCGAATCTTCTCTCGCTGCGGTGGCTAACGGGGAAAGCCTAATCGCCACTCTGCAGAGTACGGAAGTCCCGACTACTCTTACGACTTATTCTCCCCGCCATTCAGCTTGACGAACCTCCTCAATTATAGCCTCGTTCTCGATACACCGTATATTTTCTGTCGTGGAGGAGTATTTTATGGAAAGAAGTTATGACAACTGCTCAGGGTGGAACAGAGCTGCGTGAGCAGTCGATACCGTGAGTAGCCACGAGCTTTCCTCTTTTTTTTTTTTTTTTTTTTCTCTCCATGCTGTCTGCCTGTGGGAGGTGGCTCTCTATTATCCTCATTATTCTCTTCATTGTGGGTGGTAGCTTTGTGGAATATGAAGAGAAAGGAGAAAGGACAACGGTTGCCGCCAGACGGACAGACAATCCTGCCCGGGTCTATACCACGCAATTTATACCCATGCTTTCCTTTCTTTTTTGGCCGTTGCCCCTTTAATACACGTGCATACACTTTGTCTTTTGAGTCACATTACACCGCGATGAAAATATAGGAACCGTGCCCAAGATCTGGTCGGGTCGGGAGTTTTGTTCCTGAAGCGGTTTCTTGACCCCCTGTTCCTTGTCACCTGTTCCTGCACCAAATCAGCAGCCATGTCAACGTTCATACACATTGCTAACCGCTTTTTTAGACAACCTCTCCCCCTCCAGGATAACACAACCCACCGATCTCAAATGGGATCCGACAGTCCCACTCCTACCGGTATCACTACCCCGCAGCCAGACCCGACAGATAAGCTTCAGCCCTCCATCATGAACAATTACTTCCAGGTTGGTCCCTCCTCTGGTCCCAAATCAACGACCTCGTTTTCCTTGCCCGATCCCATGGACAATCCACAATTAGATGCACCTGTCGCAGATGCTCCGGAGAGCCAAAGCTCGTCTGGCCGCTCTTCCGTTTCCTCTGAGTCCTTGGTCATGATGGGCCCGGGCAAGTCTTCCGCTGCCCCGTCAGACAAGAAGCCTCACGTTTCGGAGAATAAGCCAGTGACTTTGGGTCCTGCAAACCTACCCACACCTCCCCATTGCTCCGCCCATTCCCTTTTGCAAAAGGAGCCGGATGAGACAGAAATGGCGTCCTCGGTCCCAGAAAAGGGCATTGGTTCTTCTATTTTCACCACGTTGAAAAGCTACCTCCCTATTCCGTCCGGAGGAACTGCGGCGTCGGTCCCAGAGTCTACCGCACGGCGTCACACGTCTCATCCAGTGTCCAGTATTTCGGACAACACCGTTCTTGCATCTCATTTCTCCAACCCTTGTCTCCCTTCGCTAGTGGATGCCCCTGCAGTCGACCATGACAAGCCACCCCGTGTTTCCATGTCTTCTGAGAATCTGGTCAAGCTAACCATGAACGCGGCTGATGCGTCGCGCCTAAAGAACACGCCTCCTCTCACACCTCGCGCTATGTCTAATGACGGAACTCATTCCGAGAGTCATCCTACCGACGATAACAAGCCGCCTACATCATGCCCGGAGCAATTAGAGCAATCGAAGCCGCAGCAGACGGACCAAGCGACAGAAGAAATTGCCGGAAAGTTGGACGAAGTATTCCCGTCTGGCTCATCTTCTCGGGACCGTTCCTCATCGCCCCAATCTAACCCGGCGGTCGGCTCCCTCAAGGGCAAGCTAGTTGTCACTATTGCCGAAGCCCGAGGGCTGCGACCAGGTTTCGATCCGTATGTGGTTTGTGTATTCGAATCGAACGAAGTCATTTCCAAGAGTGCCCACGATGAAGAAGAAGCTTCGATTGAGCGACAGCAAAAGGAGCAAGAAAAGTCTGACCTAGAAGCGGGCCGGCCGATCGCCATTCCCATGAAAAGTCGACAGAGTAGCAGCAACAGTCTGCCTAGTTTGTTAGAAGGTTCTGATCAGAAGGGGAAGCTTATGACTGATCCTCATTGGAATCATGAAGCTGTTTTGTACGTTTTCCTCCCAACCACTGGCAACGTGAGTTGGTTGCTAACAGAAGCAGTGATATTCTTGGCGAGCAATCAGAAGTCGATGTATCTGTCTATGACCGGAGTAACCAGGAAGCATTCCTGGGACATGTACGGCTAACTATCAACTTGAACGAAGAAAACGACCGAATGGATGGATGGTACCAGTTGACCGCCCGCGGCGCGGGCGATACACAGGTGTCGGGGGAGATCCGGATGAAAATGCGGTTTGAGACAACGGATAAGAAACAGGTCGGACCAAATGACTTCCAAATCCTCAAGCTCATCGGCAAGGGGACATTTGGTCAGGTCTACCAGGTGAAGAAGAAGGATACGCAGCGAATTTACGCGATGAAGGTGTTGTCGAAGAAGGTGATCATCCAGAAGAAGGAGGTTGCACATACTCTTGGCGAACGGAACATTTTAGTCCGGACCGCAATGGCGGCGTCTCCGTTTATTGTCGGGCTGAAGTTCTCGTTCCAGACCCCTACCGACCTGTACCTGGTGACAGACTACATGTCTGGGGGTGAATTGTTCTGGCATTTACAGAAGGAAGGTCGGTTCCAAGAAGCGCGGGCGAAGTTCTACATTGCCGAGCTCATCTTGGCTCTTCAGCACCTGCACGAGCATGACATTGTGTACCGGGATCTGAAGCCGGAAAACATCCTGCTTGATGCCAATGGACACATTGCGCTCTGTGACTTTGGTCTGTCCAAGGCCAACCTTACCCGGGATGAC